AATATCTACAAAGTTTGTTCAAATAAAAGCCCAGGGGTCAAAACTGGCCCTGCCCCAGGGGTGTCATTGTTTTTAACTATATGTGTATAGTAAAAACTTTAAAAATCTTCTTTTAAAAAACCCAATGAGCTAGAACTTAGATGTTTAGCATGAAAAATCTTCTTATGGGTGTCTACCAAGTTTGTTCAAATAAACAAATAAAAGCCCTTGGGTAAAAATTGGCCCGGGGTGGGGGGGGGGTGGCTATATACAGGTGAGCGACCTCAGGGCCATCATGGCCCTCTTGTTATGATTTCATTAAGAACATTTAATTTTTACGTGATTATTTTGCCTTTTTTTTTCCATAATTGTGTAAAGTTCTTTTTTTTTCTTCCAAGTAAAAAAGTAAGTAACAAGGCAGGTCTTGAAAATAACTGCCAGAAAGACACTGAAGCAAACTTCCTTGATGATCATGAATAGAAAAAAAATAGTTTTATTTTGCTTCATTTGATATTGCTGGGCTCTGAAGTAACTGAAGAGTAAATATGCATATATTAACAGGCCATCTGCTTGTGAGAGAAGAAAAAAGAAATTAATATGTGAAGTTTAATGCAGTTCTTTACAGACAACAAAGTGCATGTCTTTTGATAAAATCTTAATTTGAACAGCTAAATGTAAAATTTAATATTGACTCCTTGGCAAAACAAAGTTTCATTTTTAATGAGGTTTTGAAACACAGCTCATCCATTGATCAATATTTTAGAAGCATTAATATTTTATCAGTTTAGTTAAAGCATATTTATTATTGTGAAATGTACTTGTATTTATTACTTTCCAGTTCAGGAAATTTGAGTTCCCTTCCTGGAAATAACCAGTACTGCATTGGTGATGTGTCATATAAGGATGCATGATCATGGCCCATGTAAGACTCGAACCTATGATCCATGAGTTAACCACTACACAGCTGCTGCTGGTTTTATATCAATGAACCCTGTCAATACCTTAAACCCCAGTCACACTAGAGCTTACGATTACTTGCGACCACCGGCGACTTGTAAAACTGACGACCATCAGCGATTGTCTGCGACCGAAACCATTTTTGCACAGATAAATTTACTTTTGCGAGTATCGTAAGACAAGTCATCATTGACAATCGCACGACAGGTCATAAGTACACGTACGATGGTCTCAAGATTGCCTGGGATTACTTACGACTACCTGTGACATAACATGCGATCACTTACAACTTGTCGTACGACCATCACACGATTACTAAAGACTACTTAAGATTATCAGTGACTAGTGGCAATTTGTAAAGACTGTCGTAAGATTGTCGCACTTCCGAACGACCATCGTGCGACAGCCTTAAGACCTTATAAGATCACTAGCGACCTGTTTGATCGCAAGGAGGTTTTTGTGCAAGCTCAAAAACCTCTCTACGACTGAAATTGGTTGTGGGACCTAAATAAGATAACCTGCGACTGTCAAAGATCATCGATGACCGTCGTAAGACGTTTTAAAGATTGTCCGCGACCAGAGGTCACTAGTGATCGTGAACTGGTCTTCACTGGTCGTAAGCTCTAATGTGACTGGGGCTTTAAATAAATGTTGAGTGTTGATTTGAGCACAACTTGGAAATTTTAAAATTCTTTAATAAAAATGTATTTAACCCATTGAAGTTTGAACCCTTGTAGGGAGTTTGTCAAATCTAGGTCCTATAATTATGTCACCAGTACAGAATTTGGTTTAATGACTTAAGCAGTTATTTAATCCTTTTAATTTAGAAAAATAGATATCATTTTCTTGTCAACTTGATGAATTAAAATTTATAGTTATACAGTTGTAGAAAACAGCAAACAAAATGATTTTCTGACAAATTTGTTTGTAAAAAAAAAAATGATTATAAAGGGCGTAGAATATTAATACTAATAAAATGTGTACTTTCGTACTTAAAACAACATGATCGGCAATTAATGTTTGCACAATATGGTTTGTTTGTACAATGAAATAAGTGTAAAAGTTGGTGCAAATTTGTTTTACCATGTATTTATTTCTTGCTGAGTCTGTAATAAAAAACTTTATTTGAGTTTAATTGTAAATTTAATGAGTGAGTTGAACAATTAACTCTGTTTTTTAGCCTACTTATTACAGGTTAGCATGCAATAATGTGGTTGACATATTTTCTCTTAAATAATGTTTTGCAAAATAATATACACATTTAACTGTTTGGGAAATTTGAATAGAGAATTGTTTTATTTTAGAGACTAACATAAAAATATTACATTGTAGGCTTTTAGGTTTAAATGTGAAATGTTAATCTTCCTTGGGTATGAATATCCTAATGTATTACCGCCATAATATTGCTGAAAAATCCCCAAAGAAAAAGTCTTTAAAATCATGCAGTTTTCCCCAAAAATTGAATTTACATTTCATTGTTTTTACAAGTTTTTCCCCCTTTTGCATAATTATATACCATGTAATTTTATCCCAAAATTAAGGACAGGGCTGCTTCCCCAACCTGTGAAAAAAAGCTCAACCAAATTTTCCAATATACTGATAAGAAAATTTAGGCAAAATTTGAACTTTTGAAAGTAGGCTCTCTAGCAGGAGAATGGTAAAAGAAGTGTTTAAAATGAGTAAAAGTTTAATACATATTTCAAACATTTAAGAAGAGACTTTCATTTTTCTGCAGTCATTTGTTAGCTGAATGTTATTATTTTGTTTCTTAATTATCAAAAGGAAAAAATTTTTCATCAAGATGATATAATAGATTATTTAGAGTTCCCTTATTTCTTAAAAAGAGTCCCGGTAATGTCCAAGTGTCTTGTAACTTGTAATTGGTTTAAATTCTGCATGAAGGTGTCCTTTAAGGAACATAACTGACCTATATTGTGAATTTTTCAGTTCCTGATAGTGCCCATTAAGGTGGTCAGTCATACCTTAATTTCTTAAATGGACTTGTCCAGCTTACATTTTTGGAAGTATTTTAATCTTCTAGTAATGGTAGTATCAATAGATAGTTGTTCAGCTACAGTATATAGAGCTTGTTCAGAGACTGCATGGATGTGCAGGCTGGCGGAGCTCTGTGTTAAGGTCATTTTCCGTGACATCACTTTTTTCTAGTGTTTTATGGACCGTTGAGTTTCTCTTCAGGAATCTGATACAGTAGCTTAAATTTTTTATTACACAGAGGAAACTTTTTTATTCTCCTTTTGGGAAATATTAAGAATAAGATATTTGGCCCCCAATTTAGGCACCTTCCATTCATACTGAAAAAAATATCTGTGAACATATAAAAACAATCAATTTTTTTGTCATTATAACCCAGTTGTTCTATTTATCAGTCTTGCATAGTTTTCTGCTGTTATATTATATTGACATTCTTGACGCATGACTAGATAAATGCCGTAGCTGAAAGTTGAATATTGTCACAAAGCATGATCAGTTTATATCTCTTTACTAAGCATTTCCATTTCATCATTAAAACCATGTGACCTCATTTTATGAATAATCAATTATCACTCATTGATCGCACCTAAACAATTATCTAGGTACAAGGTACTTTATATGAGACAGATTTCGCGCGAAAGAATTCACTGACGTCACCAAATTTTTCCAATACATTCATTAGTGTGATAAGTATGACACATTGGAAAGTCCTCGTAATTCTATTGCTGTATTTTAGTCGTAGAAATTCAGTCTCAACCTTAAATGGAATTTTCTTGTTTAATGCCTAGTTGAAAGAATGTTATGTACATGTTCAATTAGCACAAACGACTGTTTGTTGTAGAGGCTTGTGTCTATTGAGACATAGGCAATTATTTACTTTAAATCAAAGCATCGGTGGTATATGTACAAACATTTCCCAGGAAAGTTGATTTTATCTGATGTAGGAAAAAAATGACTTCAGATGTTTGTTTGCTATTCATAATTCAACCTTTATACCCAGTTGAATTTTTAGCTTCCAATTTTTGGAACTGTGCATTTTCTCTGTTTGTTGGGTATAATCACGATGAAAATTTAAAGTTAGTCAGCCAACAGTATAGAGCCTGGTCAGACTCCAAGTAGGTGCATGCATGGTTATACTGGTGGCAAAGGCAAATATTAAGGGTTGCAAAAGGGTAAGGGTTGAAGTTAATACAGATATACTGGTTATGTTTAATTGCAATATATTATTAATATGTAATTAATGTTATTGAAAGAAAACTCAAAAATATCTAAATGTGCCTTCTTCACCATATATGTATAAAAACGTTTTGATAATCGTTACAGTACACACTTTATACTGAAAGGGTTCAGTTGAAGACTTAATGATTTTAGTGGCTGTGACCTCAGTTCTTTTAGCAAAGAAAAGAACAGCAAGTGTCAAGGATGAATGGATTACATTCTGTACAATGTACTCTGTTTCAAACAAGAATCCATCAATCATTTTAGTTCATGACCAATTCATCGATATATATCTTTCAATTTATTAATGTCTGATACATACTTTGCTTGGCTTAAACACACAATCATGTATACAAAGGAAAGAATAAATTATGTTTAGTTGTTATATTTCTGTCCAAGTGCAAAATTAATGATGTCATAGCCAGTGAAAAAGACGGGTTTTTTTTTTTTTTTTTCAAGGCAACATGTAAGATGTAATGTAAGCTAAGAGGGCTTTTGCATACCTTATAACAACTGTTGATTTTTCAAGTAATGGTGTAGAAGGAAAAATAAGAACTTTATGATTAAATGGAAGAAATGAAGAATATGAACATTTATATTCAAGATTTCATGGGATCACTGTTATAGTTCTTTTTTCTGTTATTCCATCTATGACATTGCCTTTGTAGCCCAAACTTTTGACAGTGTTCTAAATGTACATTTAGTCAGTTGCAAAGTAAAATATTGACAGTGTTCTTTCTTTACCCAAGATCTTGACATTAGTCTGTGCAACCTAAAATGTTTACAGTGTTCTTTTTGACTAAAAACCTTGACATTGTTCTTTGTGTTGCACTGGCTACCATGGTAACAAAATATTTCAGGATAGTATTAATTTTAATTTTTCAGTTGAACGCCCAAAAGCGATCAGAGTAAGCCCTGCATCATCTTCTCTACGCCGAACAAGCTCCCTCGATACAATTGGTCCTTATTTACAAGGAAAATGGCCAGTAGATGTGGGAAGTCATCACCATACTCAGTCATCTGGTACTTTTATGGCAGATAAACAGACACAGGTTAGTTCATTTAAGGGCTTTGTGCCAGTATTTAAGTCAAAAACTCTTGTTTGAAGGAAGTCACTGTAAATTCTTTTTTTCATAATGGATATCTTAGCCTTTGAAGTAATTTTTTGTCTCAAGTGGTTTATTTACCATTTAAGTACATTTTCGTTCTGTTATTGACATGAAATAACCAAACTGTTGGTAGTTTGGTTGTTTAAGGTTAACTTCATACTGATAACAATTGTAATCTAAAAGTTTTAGATACCTTAAAAAAGGCATTTTTTCTGTACCAGTACTATAATCTTTTTACTATGCAGGTAACTCAAACTGCATTGCATCTTGCTTGATTTACAAGAATCATTTGCTAGAGTCACTCCTATGTTGCTCCTTTTGAGCTGTTTAAATTGTTTTATTCATTTTTATTCAATGTTCGCGTTTACTGAGTAAACATATCAATTTACTCGCTAAAATTGCCAGGGAGGAAAGAAAAAAAGGGCCGTTAAGTCCCTGGGAAGAAACACTTTCCAGTTAGGGAAAAACGCTAACACTGTTATTAGCATTTAACTGTTATTAAGATGCCAGTCTTGCCACTTTTCCTAGTACTCTAAGCACTGTGTTTAAGGAGGCTCTATTTCAGGAATGTGTACTTTTTATACCCCCGCACAACAAAGTTGTAAGGGGGGTATACTGGAATCAGCTTGTCCGTCCTTCCGGCCGTCCGTCGGTTTTTTCTTGTCCTTTGACCCTTAGTTTCATATTTGGCATGGAGGTTAGTCATGATTAGTAGATGACCCCTATTAATTTTGAGGTCACTAGGTCAAAGGTCAAGGTCACAGGGGCCTTGACTTCAAAAAGCTTGTCCACCCAATAACTTAAGATTCCTTTGACCTACAGTTGTCATATTTGGCATGGAGGTTAGTCATGATTAGTAGATGACCCCTATTGATTTTGTGGTCACCAGGTCAAAGGTCAAGGTCACAGGGGCCTTGACTTCAAAAAGCTTGTCCGCCCAATAACTTGAGATTCCTTTGACCCACAGTCTTCATATTTGGCATGGAGGTTAGTCATGATTAGTAGATGACCCCTATTTATTTTGAGGTTACCAGGTCAAAGGTCAAGGTCACAGGGGCCTTGATTTCAAAAAGCTTGTCCGCCCAATAACTTGGGATTCCTTTGACCCACAGTTTTCATTTTTGGCATGGAGGTAAGTCATTATTAGTAGATGACCCCTATTTACTTTGAGGTCACCAGGTCAAAGGTCAAGGTCACAGGGGCCTTGACTTTAAAAAGCTTGTCCGCCCAATAACTTAAGATTCCTTTGACCTACAGTCTTCATATTTGGCATGGAGGCTAGTCATGATAAGTAGATGACCCCTAATGACTTTGAGGTCACCAGGTCAAAGGTCAAGGTCACAGGGTCCTTGACTTCAAAAAGCTTGTCCGCCCAATAACTTAAGATTCCTTTGACCCACAGTCTTCATATTTGGCATGGAGGTTAGTCATGATTAGTAGATGACCCCTATTGACTTTGAGGTCACCAGGTCAAAGGTCAAGGTCACAGGGGCCTTGACTTCAAAAAGCTTGTCCGCCCTATAACTTAAGATTCCTTTGACCCACAGTCTTCATATTTGGCATGGATGTTAGTCATGATTAGAAGATGACTCCTATTGATTTTGTGGTCACCAGGTCAAAGGTCAAGGTCATAGGGACTTTGAATTCAAAAAGTTTGTCCACCCATTAACTTAAGATTCCTTTGACCCACAGTCTTCATATTTGGCATGGATGTTGATCATGACTATAAGGTGACCCCTATAGATTTTGAGGTCACTGGGTCAAAGGTCAAGGTCACAGGGACCTTGACAAAAAAAAAGGTTTTCTTCTCAATTGCTAAAGAATGTCCTGTCCGCAATGTATTGATTTTGACATTTTCACATTTGAAGCATGTAGAATACATAACTTAGCAATGCACTGGCTTAGTAACCTCAGATTTGGCAGGGAGGTTGTCCTTGAGCTCTAAATGGCCACTGTTGATTCTGACAAAGTGGTATGCGGGGGTATTCACGCCATGATAGTGACAGTTCTAGTTAAGTAAGGTTGCCATAATTTCACCTTGCAATTTTGTCGGAATAGCAAAATTGTTGTTAAAAGAAATATAGTACACAAAAAAAATTTATGTAAAGACATTTGGCCAGATATTGATCAAACCCTGAACGTTGAAGAAAAAAATGTTTTTTGCATTAAAGCTTAAGTTTTTATATTGATTTCAACTGATAATTATTATCTGCAAGAAACAGTTTATCTGTTTGCAGCATTTATGGTCTCATTATCAAAGAAAGCAATTGCATGATGTACTTGTACAGAGAACATTATTCTCACAGAGCTCAATAGCCTGTTTTTTTTTTGTCACTGAACTCATTTCATTACAACAGAAAATGCATTGAAGAATATGAAGTTTCATTGTAGTCTTGTGCTTTACTGTTGACGCATGAAGATATATTTAAAGACAGTTTAAAGTGGCCTTCAGCTTTTCTTAAAGTTGAATATGCTAATTTTTTAGATACATTATTTCATATAATTGTCAAATCAAAAGAATTAAGAAGAAAAATGAACATTTCTGACAATAAAATACATAAACTATAAGGAAACCCCTCAATACCTCTAAGCTTTCTGGTGATCCTCTACTCCAGCTAAAATTACAAGTCTTGTATACGAGACTGTCAACTAAGGTTCTGTGGAATAATGCTTTACACTGTTTTCTCCTGGAATTTAGCAATTTCTATTGCACAAAGCTCAAAAAAATAAAATAGTAAACAATCTTTTGGAGTGAATCACCCATTCGGGTTTTTATTGGTAACAATAAATAAACGGTGATCAACAGCGCTTTATCTGTCATAAATTCAGTCCAAAGAATATTACCAATTTGAATGAGTTATTTTTAGCTCGACTATTCGATAAGAATAAGTAGAGCTATTGTAGTCACCCGAGCGTCGGCGTTGGTGTCCGCGTCGGCGTAACCACTTATGTTAAAGTTTTTGTAATAGTTCAAATATTTTCAAAGTCCATTGACATATGGCTTTGAAACTTTGCACACTTGTTCACCATCATTATCCTAATCTATAAACAGGAGGAGGTAACTGTATCAAGCATTTTGAAAGAATTATGCCCCTTTTTCGACTTAGAATTTACGTTAAAGTTTTTGTAATAGTTCAAATATTTTCAAAGTCCATTGACATATGGCTTTGAAACTTTGCACACTTGTTCACCATCATGACCCCAACCTGTAGACAGGAGGAGGTAACTGTATCAAGCATTTTGACAGAATTATGCCCCTTTTTCGACTTAGAATTTACATTAAAGTTTTTGTAATAGTTCAAATATTTTCAAAGTCCATTGACATATGGCTTTGAAACTTTGCACACTTGTTCACCATCATGACCCCAACCTGTAGACAGGAGGAGGTAACTGTATCAAGCATTTTGACAGAATTATGCCCCTTTTTCGACTTAGAATTTACGTTAAAGTTTTTGTAATAGTTCAAATATTTTCAAAGTCCATTGACATATGGCTTTGAAACTTTGCACAATATCAATTATAACCCCAGCTTTAAATTATGATGTGCCTCAATATACAGGGGTAAATTGTAAATATTAAAAATAATTCCTGTATCAGTTTCAATTGGATTAAATGAATGCTAAGCAGAACACTGTACCCTTAGTAACCCATATTTCCTGATGCTGTCTTGCCAGATCTAAAGTTTTTCTTAACATTCACGTGAAAATGCATTTCAACATAGAATTTGTCTCTATCAAATATATAAAGTATAAACTGAAATAACATTTCCCATATTTGTTAGTTTTTAATAACAAACAAAAAGTGAGGATTGAGAATAAAAAATTGTTTGTGTCACAAATACTTGTTTTTATGATTGGGCCTTCCACGTCATTTATAATAAAGTACTTAAAAAGTTTACTGCGGTTCTTGTTTGACAAAATCTCAATATTATAATTTATCGTTCATGAGATTATTAAGTACTGTTTTATCATATTCTTCATTGTAAAAACATATTAAGTTTCTTTAAGTTTTAGAATTTTAGAGACTAAATTGATTGTTAACCTATTTTTTGAGTACATGTATATGAAGATACACCCTATAACCACAAAGAGATTTTATTACCTCAAAGCTCAAGAATAAGAAGAAAGACAATGATGAGAGGATATTACTATTTGGGTCATCGTACAACAGAGCTAATTATGTTTCAGATTTTTTTTGTATTTTTGGTTGTTGTTTTTTTGTGTGGGCATATGAAATGATTTTGATATAATTATTTAGGTTCATAAGAATCTGATGGGAAAGAAAAATATTAAATTTTAGTGTTTTTGGTTTCAAAACAACATTTGGTATACATGTAGTAACCTTTAAAATAACTTTCCTGGAATGCAATGGTTAGCGCCTTTTCTTCAAGTATAGAGCCAGGCAACCACAGCACATCCATGAGAGCAACGGACAGTTTATGTTCCGAGCATATCTTCTACATACAGGGAGGGATTTCAAGTATTACTTCATTTCAGTAGTCAAAGGTCAAGGTCACACTCAGAGGTCAAAGGATAATATCATAAATTTTTGTAATCATGAGACTCTTGAGTGTTAATTACCAGCATTATCTAGTCAGTGTATGCAAGGTCAAGGTTTTAAGAGATTTATAATGAAATGTACAGAACTTCTGGATGACTGTTAACATTACTTTATATAAAATTATGATAAAAGATGTGCAAGAAAGGATTTTTTTTATCTAATATTGACAGTTGTGTAATGAATGAGTTGAATGCTTTTAGAGGGAGAAATAGTTTATTTTAGATTTTTATGAATAAAAAAAACCAGATGTCAGAAGTCAGTTATTTTGTTCATTATTTAATATGATATTAGAATATCATATATATATGTAAAAAATAGCTTTGTTTACTTTGCACTGACAGCATAAAGCAAAATTATTTTATTGTGTAATGTATCTACAATAACACAGTGGATCATTAGGCAGATAATGAAATTTTAATTGCTGTTGTAAAAAACCTTTATGTCATTGTCTCGTTGATCTTTAGTGCAAATTGTCTGGATTAAATTACCTTAACTTATACACTCAATTCACATTTCATTGTTACAATGGGGGATTTTTTTTTCACAACTTGACAAAGTAGTTTTTGTCTTACATGTTCATTTCCTACTACTTCACACAAAAAAAATCTTTTCAAACTACTATTAGTTGTAAGTTCTTGATCCTGTGCCAGGTTTTCTTGGCATGGTACCACTAAATACTTGTTATGAAAAATGTCCCTAATTTATTATAAAGACTGATCGATTTATACATTGTGAAAATAGGCCAATTTTCAGTTAACTAGCCAGATTTGGTTTAAAGTCCGATATTTACACAATAAGTTGGTCATAGATTTCCTGTCAGTATTGGAAAACTGTTTATTATAATAAATTATGTGGAAAAACTGACCTTGCAATTTTGAAATTTTAGATTTTGGTCTTAACACTGTGTAATAAATTTTTGTAACTGATAACATTTTTATATCTTTCAGTATAATAACAAAATATATTTTATCTAAATTAAGACTGAATTTAATGGTAGCTGTCAGTAAAGTTTTATAAAAACCTACAGCAAATATAAAGCAATGATATTCTTTATGAAATAGGTGCAGATATTTACAATATTAAATAATTATAATTTATTAAATTGTCTGATTTACAATTATCTTAGATCATGCAATTTTCATCTGTCGTGTTGTGATAAGATGATTTGTTTAGTACATGTTGTTTCCAATGTGAAAGCTCAAGTGTGTGAGTTGAATTACAAAAGTGCAAGTTAACAGCTTGACTGTATAATGACCAGAAATATCAGGCAGCCAGTACTTTATATCATTATTAAAGCTGTTTTGTATGTGACCATAATTAAATATAACATGAACACCTCATTTAAATTGCACATATGTTTGTTTTTCCTAAGCCCTTTTCTGGTGAACAGTTAAGGTATCAAACAGAACAATTCATGCTGATAAGCCAGTGTAAACATGAACAAAGCTTAGATAGGCTGACTGTGATATGTGAACATTTTTTCAGTGTTTGTTGTATTTTTCACCTCAAAGCATTTTAAAGATCATTGTGCTGTGATTCAATGAACTACAATGAACCTTAGATTTGTTGATTTAAAATAGAATTTAAAACACAATTAAGGTTGACAAGAAAACCTTTATCTTTGGTTTGAAGAATTTCTTGGTTAAAGATTTTTTGGTTCCAAAGAATTTTGATATTTCAGTTCTTGGTTCTAAGCAATTCTTAGTTCTAGAGAATTTAGTTTGGGTTTTTATGAGGGTAATTTTTATGATAATTTAATTAACATTTGAACATACAGTTTACAAGTGTGAAAATAAAAAGAATTATAAACCCCATCTCTTATCATAGTAATTTTTATTTTATCATGCATATTTTTTAAGAGACACTGATCTAAGAAGTGAAAGATTTGAACACTTGTTTTTGTTTGCTTACCTAGTGTGTCAAAATTATTTGTTATTTGTAATTTCTAATGAATTTATAGAATTTGTTATGCAATGATATGCCATTGTAAAACAGATATAAATGGAATTTCCATGTTATCCTGTTAAGTTTGTTTTATTCACCCATAAATTGCAGATGAGAAAATTAACCCTAATGGGTTTTAGGTTTAATTTTCAATTTTCTTAGTGAAAGGATAGGAGATCAGGTTTGAAAATTTGCCATGTTCTTGTAAAATGATATCAGTGGTGTACCAGGAAAATAATATGTATGCAAATTAACCCAGTCATCACTATATTTGCCTATAATGTGCTATAACAGTAGAGAAAGTACAGACCCAATACTTTATACTGTTGCCCACACAATTTTAGTTCTATGATTGTATAATAATAGAAGTCTCACCAAACTAAGAGTGGGCAGTGGGGGGAATTTCACCATGCAATATGAGCAGGTAATGGTTAAAATATCATAATTTTATGTTTTTTTCAGACACCAGAAGACTGGCATGTTGAGGTGATTGAAAATAAAGCAGAGAAGAAAAAGAAAAAGCACAGACGTTCAGCATCATTTGGGCATGCTGATAAAAAATTAGCTGTAAGTGAAAACCCCTCTTTTATGAAACTACAACTACTGTTGTATCAAGATGTCTAATGTTCAAACAGTTAACTTATGTCAGCAAAACAAAAGTTAAAATGCCCATATCTTAATTCCCTGCATGTATCTGTATGGATTATATACCATTAACAAACTGTACAAGCAATATAGCTAATGATCTCTGGCTTTAAATGCATCCCTGTTAATCCCTGTATATTAGTATTGTTTGTAGTAGGATTTAATGATTTCATTTCATTACATTTATAAACATTTCATTATCTGTTTAAATAGTGGTAAACATTAATTTCTCTAACTGATTAGTTTTAATTACATGATATGTTTTTGTTTTTTTTAAATCCCGATGAAATTCATGATGAAGGCTAAAGTAAAAAGAAAGGAAGAAGTCAGTTTTTTAAATTGCCAGCTGGCGGAACTGTTTTTATCCATGCAACCAGTGCACACCAAGATCAGTCGTCACATCCTTGCGACCTGATCATGGCCTGCACTGTTTAACTACAATGGCATTAGTATACTGTCACTTGTAGAGAAATTGGTAATTATTGGTTAGTCATCCAGGAAAGTCAGTTAGGTAGACTGTAAAAAATGATGAACGTAAATATTTATAAATTAACTTCATCATGATATTGTCACAGAATGAGATTGCATTTTTCATTTACTAGCGAAATGAATATCATATATATATTACAAATGATAAAAGATGGGAGTATAGCTAAGAATATGTAGTATAGTGGTGTCCTTTGTTTGAAGTTAACCTAAGCTTTGGATATGTCTGAACCTTGTATGTTATTAATGAAAGGTCTAAAATCTGTTGCCCTTCGTACATTGTGTGGATATATATCTATCATGCTCGACATCACAGTTTTAAATTATACCTTAACTCAAAAAGCTCTTTTGAATTACACTGTAAACATCATTTTTCAAACATGAAATCCAGTTCACAATTACACCGTTATACACTGTAGTTTTATTCAATAGGCGTCATAATAGGTGTTTGCCTACCCGATGTGAGTCGCGTACTTATTCAGTCGCGTTGAACAGATTAAATAGTCTATTTGCATAAATTTTCTGACGCATTGAGACTGTTTAAATAGTTTAAATATTTATTTGTGTATTTGTTCTTTCAAAGTACTTGAAAAAAAATGTTGTTGGCTTGTGTAAGAAACATGTATTGATGATAAATGAGAGAAAAAAATCTTTTGAAATCATGAATTTATTTATTTACTTAATATATATAACTACCATACTTATTCTAATACCTGAATTCAACAGAATTATTTGAATGCTGTTTTGAAAAAATGATGGAATGTTGACTTCATTATTATAAACATTTTTACTGAATTAATAGCAAAACCCAAATTAATAACTAACCAAAATAAATGTGCTACAATTGTTATAAAATACCCCTTATCTTCATTACTGTCCTTTAGATTAGCTCAAATGGTAAGTAATAAAATCCAAGAATGTTTGATCAACAGTGATTTGCAAAACAGTTTGTTACATTTAGAGATGCTGCTCATTATAAGTAGTACCACTGCAGATTTCACCAGTACATGTATGTAAATAATGAGTGCAATTGAGCCGACTTAATTGTGGCTTAAAATACTTTCCTTTGTAGCTGATTTGGACAGTACTTTTATTAAGTCAAAAGGTCTTTTATTACAGTGTGCATACCGTTATTGTATACAAAAACCCATTACCAGTAGTACCATATACTCTCTTCCAAATGCTCTCCAGAGCTGGCAAAGTCTCATTTTGACCATCTTACTCGGAATGATATTTCCATAGTAAATTCTTGAAAATTTCCACTTGTCCGTACAGGCTGTCGGACAACCTGGGCAAAACGGACAATTGATTTTGTTGGCCCTGCAGCCTCCCTTAAGTAATGCCTGCTCAAAGTTTTTCTACTATTATTGTAACCTACTGGTATTTAATTCTTCTGTAAGGCAGGTTATTTAAAAATGATTTAAAGCTATTTATAAAAAGGAATAATATGTTTCTGTTATTCTTTTACAGTTGAACAGTATACGACAGAAATTACAGAAAACAAAGGACCAAGGAACAAAACAGCGTTCCAGCCCAATTCCAGGCAACCACAATGCATTACTACAAACCGCGCCTGCAGTTTTGATGCGATCTCCTGCCATTGGTATACACATTCCCAAAACCTCCATACCACGATATCAACGCAATAGTGTGGAGGGACTCAATCCAGTAAGTTTCTTTATTCTCACCAGACAAGTCCATTTGTTTTACTTATATTAGTTAAGCTATAAGCTTATAGACACACTTTCGAATCTGTTCCTGGAAACCAACCAGTACTGAGCAACGAGTGTAAAGTTTCTTGCTCAAGGAAGCAATGACTTGCCCCTGACACGTCCATTTAACATATTCAGCAGGATAAGGAGTGGTGGTGTTGTGGTAGTTTTCACTACGGATCACGGCAGTAAGCCACTTTGAATTTACTTGAGCACAGTTCAGCCGCCGCATTATTTCTGTGTAGGCTGTCAATCAGTTAACCAGTATTAGTTGCCTCCACTTTCGCAAGGGATTGAAACTTCTGTACACGCCAGAGCAGAGGTATAGTGCTAATGACCGTAGGAAAGATTTTATGATCATTCACAACAAAAGTGACCTGCACGGTCGGGGAATCAAACCGGGGTCGCCTGATTCACAGTCCAATGCTCTACCTATTGAGCTAACCGGATGGCTTTAATTTTATTTAACATATTCAGCAGAATAAGGATTAAACGTTTATGAACTTACTTTACTTAACAAACTGTTGAAGAAGTTATAGGCATGCATTGGTTGAATTATCAGATACTTTATCAGTTTTACACATGTATGTGACAATGTTTTTTATGATCTTAACATAAGTTTATGTCATAAAAAACTTCACTATGGAGTGTGGTCTATGCCTGGAGGACTGTTAACTTTCACCTCTGGTCATTATAATGAATGCTTTATTGTTTTATTATCCCATGTTTATCTCTACTCTCTATTGAAGAACTTGAAATTGAATATAAGTGATCTTTTTTTCCACAATTTAGGAAACAAGTTCAGGTCAACCCAATTGTGAAATGTTTGAGTAACTGAATTTTGAATTTGCTAAGTGGAGTAAGAATGAATTTTAGACAATAGTCTTATTTTGAAAAAATAATGATGCATCCAGGTCCTTCTGAGTAAGTACAAAGTAAAAAGAAAATGAAATAAATCAACAAAAAAACATGTGAAATCATCAAGAGAAAATGCACCAATAAATGTATTTGTATGTACAGAAATGAATGCAGTCTTATTCATAGATATTAAAGCTGAGTTATTTAATTCATTAAAAAACACTACTTTCTAGGTACATGATGGTCTTGGAAGACACACTTGTTACTGCAACTTATTAATCTGTAGGTTTACGTTTGGCTGTAATGTCACAATCATGACTTCAATAAATCACTCAGATTTAATACCATGCCATGTAGGATTATAATCATATATGACAAATGATGGTTGCTTAACCCTTAAAGCTCTATGGTAAAATAATAGTATGAGACCAATATGCTACCATTATAGAGCCAGGTCAGGCATATCACCAGTATAGAGCTAGGTCAGATATGCTAACGGTATAGGAACAGGCCAGGTACGTTTCCAGTATATAGAAATGACAGGCATGCCACCAAAATAGAGCCAGACCAGGCATGCTACCAGTATAGAGCCAGGCCAGTTAAATCACCAGTATAGAGCCAGGTCAGGTATATTACCAGTATAGAGCCAGGCCAGGTATATTACCAGTATAGAGCCAGGCCAGGTATATTACCAGTCTCGCTGTGCAAGCTATGTCAAGGGTATAGGAACAGGCTAGGCATATAACCAGTATAGCGCCTGGCCAGGCCATGTATGTCACCAGTATAGTCACAGGTCAGGCTTGCTGATAGTAAAGAGCCAGGACAGGTATTTTACCAGTGTAAGGCCAGCCCAGGCAATACTTTTACTATGTAAGCAGACCTTACTCTGTTGGGGGTGCTCATTTATTGAAGGTTATGTGAAATTAACTAGGGACTTATAGGTCTCCAAGGGATTGCGATTTTTGGTGTTGATTTTAGATCTCATGACCTACAATGCTGTTAGTTTAAATCCCATCAGGGACTTGACATTTTCTTTTGTGAAGAACTTAAAGCTATCCAGCTAGCTTATGAAAGGCTGATGATTCTTCTCAGGTACCTTCTTGTTGTCTGAAATAATGTATGATGGGGCACCGGACATCTTCCTCTACAAGCAAAGCTTGAAAGTCACTATTTGACCTGTACAGGGTTGGTGTGGCTTAAAACCCACAAAATAAATGATGGATTACTTCAAACTCAAAGCAGACTAAGTCCATTACAAAGTTCTGCAGGATAACAGATTATAAAAAAACTGTCAAGTTTTCAAATTCAAAGAATTAGACCAGAAAAGTGTGATTTAAGTAAGTGATACAGCGGTAGGGAGGTCAGAAATTATTTGTTTGTGGTGAGTAAATACAAGCCCTTCATGTCCTAATCCATTAAATATAAAAGTCACTTTAAGTCAGTTACTAGTTAGTGTTGAGTTACCAAAGTTAAATCTGAAATCCTTAAAGGGAATAGATTAAATAGAGCCACAGGAGGTCTATTTCAAGATTAAAAACTTTGCTTAGGTCACCACATGTACTATGCTAATTTAGTAATAGCTGCTTGCAAAAATTGTATAAGTTACTGCATTTGATACCAAGTTTTGCAATTTTTTATCTGATTGTAAAAAAAAAGATGTTGCCATTAAATAGTAGTATTGGGTAACAATAGTGAAAAAAATCTCTATTTTAAGGGGCTACTTAAATTAGATCCAGTTCTAAACAAGACATGTTATCAAAATGTGCTTCAATAGTTATAGATTTCAAAATTGTTAGCATAAAATGTGGCGAACAGACTGATGTTTCCAAATGCCAGGTTTTAGAATTGTAATAGATTAAATTATTAACCATGGGACATTTCAGAATTCAAAAAAAAAATGCAGGACTTTTTCTTTATTCAATCTCGTAAAAATTTAAAGATTTAAGATTCATTGACAACTGAAATGTCTTCACAAACATGTCTTTAATTTTCAGTTGAAATTGAAATTTCATGTCAAACATTTCTTCAAATAGAAGCTGTTTTATTGAAAAGCTGTGTTTATTTTTATTTTAAGATAATCTCAAAATAGTTTGTAGATCCTAGATCGGACTCTATGGCAATGGGTAATGTACAAGTATTTTATCGACATGCAGTGTATAGAGTGCATGACCCTATCTGTTAAATCCAGGTTTTACAGCTGTTGGGATTGATAAACTGGTGTTTGTAAAGAGATTTAAGCTATCAGCTGATATGGTAACCAATCTTAAAACCAGCATAATATAAATCATCAACATGTCTCATAAAAATTTCAGTATTTTAACAATTCAGTCATGTAGAAATTGTGTATTGAAGAGAGAAAAAAAACAAACATTGGGAAATTCAATACTGATTTAAGGTTTTTTGCTGACAGTTATCTTTCCACATGTCGTAGGGTTTGTGTAGGATTAAATATTTATTGAATAGATTTATATGTGAAAAAAAAGCATAAAAGATTGAATGAAATACTATCCTCTGAAATTTATACATAAATTTTCTTTGTAATTGCAGCAATAAGATATTTAGATTGTACAAAAGTCCAAGCAAATTTGAGGAATATATTTTTAAATACTAAATGATTTGCTAACACAATAAGTTTAAGGCCATGCAATCCTTTATTTGGAAAATAGTAGTTAGTCAATTACATTTGTGCTAAGAAAAATAGTAGTTAGTCAATTACATTTGTGCTAAGAATTTTGTCTATCAAGTGCTGAAAATTTGCTTTCACTACCAGCTTAAGGCCAAACAAATTTTTTTTCTGTAACACAATTGCAGTCAGTTATGGCAGAGGTTCACACAGAACTAGTATAAAGACAAGCTAGCCATTGCAAGTCTACAGTCTGAACAGAATTTATATATTGTGAGTTGCTCAATTTTACCATGTCTGTCACTGACATTAACAGTGGTCAGTTTCAATTTAAAGCATGATGGGTCTGTTTAGTACTAAAAGTGGCGATATCAATAATGGCAAGCTTGTTCTTACCATACAGAGGCCCCCTTTCTCCTTCCCCCAACCCCCCACTCCCTCCCAAAATCCCTACCAGCTCATTAGTTACAGCATCAGATTTGTAATCCCAGGGATCGTTGGTTTGATCCTCAGGCAAGACAAATTTTCTCTTTGACAATTGATCTCAGATATTGAATATTGCAATCATTTGTCGTGTCACTGCTGATTCTGAAGTCATGTGGGATTAGCTGTGGACAAAATGTGTTCTATACTGCTTCAAATTATCCAGGAAAGCCAGCTCGGTGGATCTACTGCTGAAATATGACCCAAAAAATGTGTTAAAGTCAACAATTTAAACAAAAAACAAAAAAGTTAATTTCTTAGCTTATTTTGATAACAAAAGCCCTCACATGAACTGACTGCACCATTATATTCAGTCGTTTCGGCGACTGAGGCGCATTCCGAAGGCATTTTGCTGCATCATTCATTTACATCAATAAAAAGAACTTGAATTCCACAGCTTACTTAATTCAAGTTTAACGAATATCAATATTCTATCGATTTTTTCTATTTCACGGTTATTTTTGACTTGTCGCTGCCATTTTGGATTCTGATACCTGTGTGTTATACGCGATCTGAATTGGACGTCAAAATTTGGCTCGTCCAATCAGATCGCGTATTCACACCAGGTATCAGGACTGCAAAATGGCTCTGGCAATTCAAAAAATACGTGAAACAGAAAAAATCGGAAATGATAGTGATATTCGTTAGATTTGAATTAGATAAGCTGTGGAATTCTAGTTCTTTTTATTAATGTTGATGAATGATGCAGCGAAATCCTTCCGAAATGCGTCTCAGTCACCGAAACGACGATTTCCCGTGTTCCACATTGTTTGGCAAATGAACATATAGTAAGCTTTTCACCTTTCTATAACTATAATTTTGATAGTGGAAAAATTTTTTTTTTATATAATTTCATCGGTGGTTTTGTATTTGGTACCTTATAGTAAGCCTTAGAGTGTTGAATTTTTTTTTCAGGGTTGTAGTAGGGGTCCAGGGGCAGATAGGGGTGGGGTGTCCAAACACTGATACTGCCGCCTGTGTACTTACTTAGCAATTTGTAAGGGTTTAAATACAAAGAAAAACAAAAATTATGTATAGGCACATCTAGGACAGGATGTTGGAATTATCCATTACCATACAGCTGTAATAATGAGCATGCTTATTTGTTGTATAGTGATTATTTAACATGAACATTATTCATCACCATCAATCTCTCAGGAAATGCAACATATTGTAGCTTCAAGGATAATAACCTTGGTTCTATGATACCTATATAAATACATAAATTAAAGGACTAGTTTGAAACACAAGAAAATAAACCTTAAAAAAATAATTTTATACTGTAAACAAATTTGGGGAAACATATTAGCCAGCTTAAGCCTTAATTTTAGTTTTGAGTTTAAATCTTAGATGCAACATAATGGTGAAAATATTTAGTCATGGAGGTGAATAAATATTTTTTGGGAGCAGGATCCCTTTAGGCAAAATGCATTATGGTTTAAAACATAAAAAAAGTTTTGATCAATATCCTTTCACTCAAAAACACATAAAATGAGAATTGCAAAAAGGGGGCAAAAACCCCTTATGAGGGCAGCACCATTTGGAACATTTAAGGGGGAGGGGGAACACATCACGAGCATAAATTAAGGGGGGCCAAAAACCATTTAGGAAGGGCCATTTTATTTAAACAATTTAATGAAGGGTTAACCAAAACAGGACATTTTATCTTTTTGGGGAACACACATTCGTGAGCATAAAATGCAGGACACATTAGTGAGCATAAAATGCATAACACATAAGTTCAAGCATAAGTAGCAGGGGAAACACACATTGGTGAGCATAAAATGCAGGACACATTAATGATCATAATTAGCAGGGGCAACACACATTGATGAGCATAAAATGCATTACACGTAAGATCAAGCATAAGTAGCAGGGGAAACACACATTGGTGAGCATAAAATGCAGGACACATTAGTTTAAGCATTAATAGCAGGGGCAACACACACATTGGTGAGCATAAAATGTGGGACACATTAGTGAGCATAATAAGCAGGGGCAGCATACATTGATGAGCATAAAATGCAGGACTCATAACTTCAAACATAAGTAGCAGGGGCAACACACACGGGTGAGCATAATATGCAGGACACATTAATGAGCATAATTAGTAGGGGAAACACAGATTGATGAGCATAAAATGTGAGACACATTAGTTTAAGCATAAGTAGCAGGGGCAACACACATTGATGAGCATAAAATGCAGGACACATAAGTAAGCATCATAAGCAGGGGCAGCACACATTGATGAGCATAAAATGTAACGCACATTAGTGAGTATAAGTAGCCAAGGTCTTGTACAGAATGAACAGATAAACGATTTTTGCTGAGTGTGCAAATTAAGTAATTATGATGTTTATAAATCAGACAGGTGATTCAGAAAAGCCCTATCTACCTTGTTAAGAATATAATTTTCTCACTTACATACAGATATCAAATTCACAGGAAGCACATTAATATAAACATGACCAATGGCAAAGAGGTTCTGTAAAAGATGTATTAAAATGTACAATGAGATTTAAAGGAGTAAACATTCAAAGAATGATTAATTTTGCAGCTATGACAGTGTTATACAGGGCAGGAAGTGCAAAGGTCTTAGCTGTGAGCAATTGTTAATAGATTGTTTTTATACTTCACATATTCATCTATTTTGTCCAATATCTTTTAAGGCCTGTCAGTCAGACAACGTGTTTCCTGTAACTTGGACAAGCGGTATATTTTTTTTATAACTAAACTTAAGATGTTAGATTTTGTTAATAGTGTTAACTAGCAATTTGCATGATTTTCCAGTGGTAAAAGTGCCAGAGATTGTTATTGTATAGTACCAGATGGATGGTTTGTCTGCAGATTTATGGAAAACAATTGGCATCAGGTGAACCCCTACAGATGTAGGGTAATATAAGGGATGGTTTTTTTGGGGGAGGGGGTTCATTTTATTTTTGGCCCCAGGGTTGATACTGCCTAATTGAATTGAAAGTACATGTACTTCACTGTCATAGCTTATGTATATAACATTGTATTGATGTTGTTTTACATTCTAAAATTTGATATTTGCAATGACAAAAAAATTGTAGATAAATGAGCAAGAAATGATTAAATGGTAAACAGAAAGATTACAGCATTTTGCTGATGTTGTCATAGTAACAGATTAATAGAAAATTAATTTCTATTAATCAGGAATATACAGAAATATATATTTAATGTTGTACATATTAAAAGAGAAAAAATGCTGTGAGTGATGGTGGTAAAGAATTATTTATGCAGTTGTAATGATTTGTCTGCTATAGGTTCACCACCAGCTTATTGCCGTCTGTCATGTTCTCAGGTTAATTAGCTTCTTAATGAGGAATGGAATCTCTTACCAATGATACCAGTCCAACTTGTGCAGATTTAATGAAGATTTCTGATTATAATTTCCTCTGACCAACTGATGCAGCTAAATATTCCATGAATCAAGTCTTGTGACAGCTTCATTAATATTGTCTTGGCTTGTTCCAGTCAAGAATGATGATTCAACCTCTTAAACTATAACAGATTATTACACACATGATCCATCCATCCATCATTGAATTTGTGTAAGATCTAGCCAGCCCTATCCTCCTCCCCTCACCACCCCAATGCATGTACATTATATATTTGACTTTAAGAAAGGAAGTTAATATTACTGTAATGTAAGTTTTGAAGGGTATGAATTTTCTATAGATTTTATCTTTTAATAACCGAGATCTGAGTTTGAGCTCAGAAAAATTTCTTAAGAACCCTCGGTCCCTAGTTTATTCCAGGAAGTGGCCTTTTTGAGTGTCTCAAATATAATTAGTCTACAAGTAAGCTTAAATACCAGAAACATAATATTAATATCAACTATAGCCTGCAAAAGACCGTCCTTACTTTATACTGATGACATTAGAAAGTATTATCACAATAATTATAAATATATTACGCAGACCTTGCATATTAAAACGCAAATATTTGAAATCAGGATTTTGCCTGTAATTTTCTGCAGTATTATAATGTATCCGGAAATTCTGTAGATTGTGGTTTGAAAATTGAGCATTTTCTAGAAAGGCAAAAAAGGTAAAAATCAATATTTTCATTTGCAGTCATTCCATGATTTATACCTTCCAGCAAACATTATCTTTTAATTATCAACAGCATGAAGAGTTTGCAAGCTTTAAACCAAGAGTTATCTCCCTTTAACCCTCTCCCACACATTTTAGTCTCATTTATTACATCTCCATGGTTAACAAACTTGTATAGTCCAATATCGGCCAAATAAGAAAAGGACCTAGTCTGAAAACTCAGAAATGCTTCATTTATGATTTTACCAAAAACTTGTAATATGCAAGGAAATCTTTATTCTGTTATTTTCTAAAAAATATGAACATAATTATATAGCTGTCTTATATAAGTTTAAATGGAGGGAGAAAAAGTTCCGCCATTTAAAGGTTTCTCATTGTCTGAAATGTGGCTGAAAGTTTGGCACTATATATACGTCACTATTATGTCTTCTTGTCAGAGAAGGCTCGTCACAATATAATTGTCAATCTGAAATATAATACAGACAGCACATCCCTGAAATCTTGACAATTTTTCCTGTTATTAACCTTTGTTAAGCTGAAGTTGTATAATAATAGACTTGTTGGAGTGATTTATTGAAGCTTGAATCGGATAGATTTTCACAGCTTTCTAATTAAAACAGTCCAAACGTTTTAGGGAGTTCAATTAAAGGAGATTCAAAACTTGAGCTATCAAGAACCTGGTGTCGAGATTGCAGGAATAGACAACCAGGATAGTCTCTATACTGGTGACAAAGTAAGGTTAAAGGTTAAAAAATAGATAAGATGTGGGTGGGATAAGTGCAGCAATTTCAAGGTATTATATAATCAAACTGGGATTAACTATGACAGTGATTAAATGTGACATGGCAAAATATTCATTATGGCTGTGTTCTCCAGTATTTAATTGGAAAATCTCAACACATCAAAGTCCCATATAGAATAATGTCCTGATTTGGTTTGTTACAAATTGTCTGGTTGTCAGTAGAAATGTCCAGTTCTAAATCACATAGAAACCAGTCTGTAGGTCCTAATGACCTTTCAATTTAGGAAAAACCTCAGGTGTCTTAAAGAATTTGAACAGACCCTAGCTTGATTTAAGCCCACAAAGCTATGTGCTGATATAAAATGAGGCAGAATTTCTACTCCCAGGAGATAGAAAACAAACATCATTTAGTCTACTTGATTGCAATCCCTAATGATGCTAAATATCTTATATGGACTTGTCCATTTTTCAGTATGAACAAAACTGTTCATCATTTTTCAGTAAGTATAACAACTGGATAACAAATGGTGCAGACCATGATCTGAGACAGCATGGATGTGCTGGCTGATCTTTGGTCTTCACTGGTTGCATTCAGTGTATTCAGCTGCTGCCAGTCCGCTTAAGATAAAGGGCATGTTATATACCTACATTACTTTTAGTTTTGAAGTTTTATCCCATGTCCACTTGCAGAAGTTACAGTCTGAGACCATCAAAAAATAAATGACAAGAGGTCAGTAACATTTCAGTGATTGGCTGACTAGAGGTGTCTAGGTAATTAAAGGACAGAGATAAATGAAGACTTATCATTGAAATTATTGATTTGCATAAATCAGACAAGTCTATACTGGGCTTGAGTTGCAATTGTGGTATTGTTTTGTCCCCATATGATAATAGCCATGGATATGTGCAACTTGTAGATGGGGACATTTGATGGGTATTTTACCTGATCAAGTTCTGTCTGTCCTGAAGGGATAGAGAATAATAAAGATAATAAAGAATAAGTAAAACATGTATGTTATTTTGCTGTTATTTCAGGAGATAGAGAAGATGATGCAGTTGAACATCTCGGCACCAGAGGATGAGATAGAGAGGGTAAGCATTCCTTCTTGTATTTACATACATTGAGTGTGTTTTTTTTAGCATGATTTTGGGGAACATAGGGAACATAGATTTTTTTACTGAAAAGTTATATTGCAGTTTTTCTTAATTCTTAAGAATTGGGGAAAGAATATGACACAGTATTGTCTAAGATAATCCAAAAAAATACTCGTTATTCATTCAAGAAAAAAATAGTTTGCAAAGAAAAAATCTTTTTACAAGAATTACGATCAAACCTCAAAATAGTGCAGTTTGGATTGACAAAGCAAATTCATTACCACTAACGTATCATCAATTGATTGTTTCTGGAAAATCACTTTGATACTTGATATAGTAAAGAAATAAAGTTTTGACTAAGATTTTATCAATTTTTTATAAAAAAATGGATATTAACAAAAACACCTGTTTTACTACATTTGTTTGATGGCACTTACATTTATTTGATGGAATAAAAGGAAAAAGAGCTAACTCATGGCCTTGACTTATGACAGCTGAAAATATGACATACCTGCCTCATTTTATGCATGGCTGCATAAAGCATGAGTATGATTATTTGTAACTGTTGCCCAGAATTGTGACATGATCTTTAGTTTCTAGTAGTCAGATTGGGTAGAAACATTCATACAGGCCATCCATACATAAAATGCTTGTTTCCAAATCCTCAATTAAGTAACAATTTATTGTTTGTCATTCTCATTCTTTTTTTGGCACAGGAGTTATGTATTAACCTGATTGCCCAACTTTTGTTTGAAGCTTATTTCCTACATACATGGTAGGATTTATGTATTATTTGATACAAAATTTAATGTTTGCCACCAACTCACCACTAGACATTGTGTTAAGTACCTGAACCTGGTCCCTGTGGCCATGGTCAAGGTCATACATAGAAGTCAAAGGTCAGATTAAAATGAGCCTATGAAAAATTCTTTTGAATTGTGGGGTCATGTAAGATTGTTCACAGTTTTAAGATTTAGTGTTTCCAGCATAATGTAGGTCAATATATGCAAGGTCAAGGTCACCAGAGATGAGCTTTTATGATGGGTTTATTTGGTGACAAATTGGTATTCTTGTTATGTAAAGATTATATGATATGTGTAATAAAGATCAAATAAATATTTTGATTTCTATTACAAAAATGCCCATGCAGTTTTTCAATACTTGCATTTGAATTGATGGTGTTGGTAGCATTCATATAGCTTTTGATGCTGTAATACTTTAATGAAAAAAACAAAACAACCATGTTCATAAATTCTGACAAATTTTTATTGAAGAAGCGTGTCCTTAAATTTTTGTGTTTTTTTTTTAAGCAACCAGCTCTTTGTCCTGCTGTTGACCTTTTTGTACTTATCCATAACTAGTACCAGATGCTTTATAGCTATATAAAAATACTACATCTTACTGAAACAGTTTGTTTTTCTTATACAAACTTTGTACGGAAGTCTGGAAAAAGAAAAAGGCTTTCCAACATGCTATGATTGAAAGCAAGTGTTTTTAGCTCGACTATTCGAAGAATATGAGAGCTATTGTAGTCGCCCCGGCGTCGGCGTCAGCGTCCGCGTCGGCGTCTGCGTTGGTTAAAGTTTTTTGTAAAGTCAAATATCTCAATTATTACTTGAGATATTCGATTGAAACTTACAATACTTATTTATAGTAACAAGGTACATCAGATTGACAAGTTGGATAACTCTGCCTACAATATTGACAGAATTATGCCCCTTTTTAACTTAGAAATTTTGGTTAAAGTTTTTTGTAAAGTCAAATATCTCAATTATTGCTTGAGATATTCAATTGAAACTTACAATACTTATTTATAGTAACAAGGTACATCAGATTGAGAAGTTGGATAACTCTGCCTACAATATTGACAGAATTATGCCCCTTTTTAACTTAGAAATTTTGGTTAAAATTTTTTGGTAAAGTCAAATATCTCAATTATTGCTTGAGATATTCAATTGAAACTTACAATACTTATTTATAGTAACAAGGTACATCAGATTGACAAGTTGGATAACTCTGCCTACAATATTTACAGAATTATGCCCCTTTGTAACTTAAAAGTTTTGGTTAAAGTTTTTTTGTAAAGTGAAATATCTCAATTATTGCTTGAGATATTCAATTGAAATTTAAAATACTTTTTTATAGTAACAATGTACATCAGTTTGCAAAATTGCATAACTCTGCCTGCAATATTTGCAGAATTATTTGCCCCTTTGAAACTTAGAAATTTTGGTTAAAGGTTAAAGGTCTTCAAAGATATTTACTTGAAACTTTACACATGCACTTAGGGTCATAATTGGAGGGTCATAATTGTATGTACGCTCCCTTCGTCACTGACCAAGTTCCATAACTCTGTCTTGCATTAAGGCTGATTCAATTATCCCCTTTTCTACTTAGTCTCTTGGTTAATGTTTACATGCAAGTTTTACATATCTCAATAACTATTAAAGATATTAATTTAAAACTTCACATATGCATTTAGGGTCATAATTGTAGGTCACTGACAAAGATCCATAATTCTATCTTGCATTTAGGCTGATTTTTCTCCCGTTTTTCAACTTAGAAATTCATGGTAAAGTTTTGCTTGTAAGCTGTTATCTCAATAACTACTGAAGGGTTTGTGCCTTTTTTGGGACAATTTTATGCATTCATAATAATAAAGCAGTGATTTACTTGATAAAACATCTTAATAACAAGCCTTTGTACCTTTTCTGTCAAATTTATGTATTCATAGGTAATTAGTATTATTATACTCAATAAAACACCCTTGTGACATTACCTTCCAAATAGTCAAGCCAATACTGTATAATTAGACTCTCTCTAAGGCCTATAACATGAATTTATAACAAAAAATTAGCCCTTTTGTGAACTTAAAAAATTTAACATTATCAAGGCTCTTTAACTATCAAGCACTTAGAATAGTCGAGCGTGCTGTCCTACAGACAGCTCTTGTTTTCTTCTCTTTTTTTCTTACAATTTTTTTGTTTAAAAAAGAGATATGGGGAAAAGATTAGTGCTGTAGATAAATTAATGAGTTATCTGGTTTGAATTCAGTTAGAGGCTGTTAAATCAGCAGCCAGAACAGCATGATGGGATACACGCGAACAAACGCGAGCGTGGGAACCGCAACTTTTTTGCTGGATGAGTTCCAAACAAAATATCAAATAAGAGACATACTTCTGCTATTATAGTAAATGCTTAGGTAATGGTGGAGTAATCATTATGAAATGTGATGGATGTGTCCTTCTTAAATACCAGAAAATTAATGCTAGAAATTGGTAGTTACGTTAAAAATTAGCACTTAGTAATACAGATGGTAATAGAGCTGGTAAATTTTAGAGTTTACATAAATTTAGACATTTCCTTAATAAAATGATGTGATCTAGTAAGAAAATTAAAGAAAGAGTGGATTATTAAGAACTTTTGCCTGTACCTTACTATTTTAAAAAAATGATCACGGTTTTAATTGATGTCATCAAAACACAGAAGATGTTTGTTTTTTTTATTTTTAGCTATGAAATATAATTAATTTATGAGAAACAATTAAAGAAAGAAATAGTCTGGCATAATGGTCTTTGCAAATTAGGTGAGCCCTGTATGGCTGAATAAGGTTGTTATTTTCAAATCACTTGGCAATCACTGCTGTTACTGAGGCTTGAATCCCATTCTATGCTCATTGACCTTTTCATGTCAAATAACAGCAATCAAGCTTTAGGGCATAGTTTGCCTTGTGGTTAGGGTGTCTGTTTCTCAACCCAGGGATCATGGCTTTGAGCCCTACTGGATTTTATGATAGGACACTGCAGTACTGGTAAGGATTGTGAAGGGAGTAGAGAAAGGTTGAACTATTTCAGCTTAAATTTCTATCACAAACTAAATGTAGATATGTTTAAGCATATATGATTACAAAATGCAAGTAATATAACATTTATCCTGTAGACATTACATTGTGTTAGTACAATAAGCAAAATTGTCAAGAGCACTTGATAAATGGTTGATACAGGAGACTTTAAAGAAATGTTTTTCATTTTATGCATTTATCATTAATTTATCATTAAAAATTGTCCTAAATTTGAATGTTTTAAATACCCAGAAATTAAAGCAATGACAACAAGTTTTCTTTTACATGTGAATTAAGTTTTAGGAAGAAAAATGCTTAGCTAAGCAGAACTTTTGTGTTGAAAGCAAGGTTAATAGTGTCATGCAAAAAAAATTCAAGTTGCTATTCCTGATCATGTAAAGTGCTGCATATGTTTCAGTGAAGAAAAAGATTCACATTATCATACAATTCTCTGGATTTTCATGGTGGTATATGCATATTTTGTAAAAAAAGGGGGTCTTTGTGGGCAAAAGGTTTAAGCCGCTGGTTTGTCACAACTTGTCCTTAACTGCATTATGTTTAAATCCTATCAGGGACTTTTTTGGATTCTTCTATAAAAGGAAGCTATGGACGGTTGGGGATTTCTACTTATATGCCTGTTTGTACCTGGAAAATGATAAAGTCTTCCTCCACCAGGGAAACCCAGGATAGTTACCATATATATCACCATCTTAAAACTGGCCCGAAAAAAAAAAATATGTATATATATAAATTATAAAGCCTCAATATTTCTTGTGCATCATAATATATCCGTATACTGTAAGATGAAAAGGAAATCACAAATTAGTTTAAAGTTATTTCAGTTATTTTTCACTTCAGTGTGGCAATTAACATTACTGCAAACCTAACTGCATTGGTGCATTGATAATTAGTAATTTGTATTAAATATTAGCTAAGAGAAATGTTACCACTTTATAAGTTTGATTTTACATGTAAGCCATAGGCCTTTCGGAGTGGGTTTTTTTTTAGGTTTTCATTATTATTGGACGTTAGGTGTGTGATCAGACCCTATGATTTATTTTAGTGATGTCTTGGCATTTGTAGAACAATCTTTATCTTCATTAACATGACAAATATACTCATAATTATTTTCATCATGTGTATTGCATGAAATAACTTAACATCACAAAAGGGATTTGAACCTTTAAAAATTTGAAGGGGTCTTGGATTCAAAATGAGTTCCTTTAAGCACTAAACCACATTGACGATATTTCTAATTGCAAATTAATACAATGATGTCAGGTAATTGTTAGTGGGCGTATGGATATTGATTCATTGTGACAGTCAGAAATTACTTTTATTATATTGTAAGGAATGAATTATTTATTCAGTTTAAAGTTTGTTCATTTTCCCTGAAATGCTTTATGAAAATGCAAACAAGTTTGTTGCAAAGATCTGTTTATAGATAGAGCGGCTAACCTGGCTGGTCAAGTAGGTAAGGCTACTGTCATACAGGCTGATTGTTGAATCTTACAGAGGTTCATATTGAAACATCTTATGACTGTAAATAAGTACATAATTTTGTGAATGATAAATCATACAGGCAATAATTGCACTTAAACAAGAAGTTTATCTATCATGCACATTACAAGAAGAATTAAAGATTATATATTGCACAGTTTTAAAGTTAGATGCAAACGGATATAGTTGTAAATCTCATTAAAGTTGGCACCAATTAAACTTAACACACCTTAAATTTTTTAAGCATGAACCAAAGGAATTAAAGGAAATATTTGGTGTAATACAATATGTGAATGATGTACAGCTTGTTAATATGCTTAAAGCAAGCCTGTTGGTGTCTATAGAATCTTAGCCTATACATGTACATCCAGTGCAGACCAAGTTTTTTTAGCTGTCAGGCCTAAATAATGCCATCTAATCATGGTCTGCAGTGTTAACTATTCTGTCAGCCAGATTTTAGATTTTAAAGAGTGCATTCAAGATATTTTGTGTTTTAAATATTAACTTTAACCTGTGTGAATATGTCTGATTATTATTTGTGTGGCTCTTCTTAATGATTTTAAACTAAGAAAAATATAAAGCAATGATATATCGTTCACTAGTACCAAGGTCATAATCAGCATATCTCAAATCTTATTCCTGGAAATTGAGTCAAAAGTGACTCAAAGATGTGTATTTTTTTTGTTCCGGAACAATCAAGGTAAATTTCTGGATATACAGTTGAATGAATCACTGCAGTTATAGCAAATGTGCTTCATATTTTTGTCCATTCATGATATTTTTGTAACATTATAAATCCTAATACCCTGTTGAATTTCCTAAAAATACAAAGGGCGGTAATTTTAATTGATGCTGGTTGGTTATTTTTCGCCCATAAAAATGTATCTAGTTCTTTTTCCATTATAAAGATGGTTCATGTTCAAAATACAGTTAATTTCTGTTGGGATCTATGTGAAATACATCATGTTTATATATAAATCTTTCAGCTTATAGCCTGAGGAAAAAAAATGTGACAAAACTTTGATTAAATAAAATGGTGATGTAACTTGCTGTACAGAAAGAATTAGTTATCACTGCGTAAGAATAAAGTCTCTCATTGATCAGCCACTTGTCAGGAATTCATAAATTGACAGCCCATTTTATACTATTAGTAAAGTCACACAAGAATTGCCTTTAATAGAAAATATTACAGACAGAAATAATGGGAAGTGGGAAGATGTAAAATGTCAATAAATAGGTGAAGAAAATCAGGTGAAAAAATATGATAGGTTAAGATTGAAGACTTTTATGGACTGTCTACAAAAATTTATATTTTAAAAGGGTACAATATTAATTTTAAGTTTGTCTGAAAACTGTAAATGAACTTCAGATAGAGAGATTCTAATGAACAATTAACAGACTAAAACTGTATTTTAATTGACAAATTGTTTTGTTGTTTTTTCAGTCTATTGAAATTCCTGATGGTCATAGAGCTCCAGTACCGGAAATCCGACACAGTGGCACCAGAAGCATCGACACCCAGACACCGTCCGGAACCCTGGATGACCGAAGTTCCGGTAGCCCTGCTAGTCCAGCAAGCCGTCCACACTCCATTAGTCCAGCTATTCCAATAATGGCCGGTAATTTGGAGAATTCACCAAGACCGTCCAGTAACTATGATTCCTCAGGAAGCACTCCACGTGATAAATACGACAAAGATACAGGTCTGAAATATTCTGTTGATTTGATTGTTGTTGTTTTTTCTTCTATGTTTGCTTATTTGAAAATTTAGTCACTACACCAGGGTTCCCACAGTCAGGGAAAAGTCAGGGAAAAATGATTTTTTTTCAAGGTCAGGGAAAAGTCAGGGAATTTTGAAATTGGTCAGGGAAATATGAAAAATAAGCAAAAGTCAGGGAAAAGTCAGGGAATTTTGTAAGAGAAGAATGTTGGTCAAACTGCAGGTAGCAAAATTAGTCAAGGCTAAGGCTGAGTTTCTTTGATTATTTTAGGTATCTTTATAATTTATTTATCATTATGAGCATCTTTTTTATTCTTGTAAATATCTAACTCTAAAAAATAAGCTTATGTCTGAAATTTTTTGAAATCTTTTGTCATTTTGTCATACTTTAACTTAATAGTGAAGTAAAAAATCTTCTTAAAAAACAGTCCAAATTTATCCAAACTTGGCAGGATTGTTCCATTGGTAAAGGGCTTCCAACTTTGTTAATTAAAAGAATTTGATTCGGTGCAAGAATCTGGTTTTCATGGCAACCAAAAGAAATGATAAGAAGAAAAAAAGATTTAAAAAAAATCTTCTTCTAAAGACCCACAAGGCCTAGAGCTTAGATATTTTGCAAAAGGCATTGTCTATTGGACATCTGACAATTGGCCCTTTCTTGGGGGTCATTGATTTTCATTTTGCACATATAGTAAAAAACTCCTAAACTATCTTACTGTCTGAGGGCACAAGGCTTAGAGCTTTGATATTTGGTATATAATATCATCTATATATCCCCTACCATTTAAGTTGCTAAAATATTGCCCATAGCATCAAAATTGAACCACCCAAGGGGTCTTCTCTGAATTGACAAAGGCTATAGGTTAGATGTCTAGCATGAAAATTTGTGTAATAGACCTATACCAAGATTGTTAAAATTATAGCCAAGGGGTCAAAATTGGCTGATTCATTGATTTAAAAATATTAAAAAGTCTTCTTTTAAATTTTAACTATCTAAGGAATAGGTAATGCTTAATTGAAAAGATAGCATTTAAGAAAAAAATGTAACTGTATTTTAAAGTTTAAAACAGTAAGTAAAACAGTAAATACCTATCAATCAATGCACCATATATGGCCTTTGTGTCTTAACATTAGACACATCTGCACATTTATTTTCAAATGTCATGCTGAAATAGACCTTGACCACGAAATTCACTAGACACAACTGCATTATGGCAAAGTTCAATTGTATAGTACAAAAAAAAATCTACTTCTGTTATATTGATGCAGTGACATAGCATTTTTACACAAATGCAATCTTTTATATTTTGGCCCCTCCCCATACAAATCAGTGTTATCAATGAATAAGCATGCATTTTACTTGAATAAATGTAAGTAATCAATTAAAAACTTTTGTTTTAACAAGAAACAATAAGACAGGTAATGAAGTGGCTTCATGAAAAGCAAATTGTCGGCAAAGCTAATAATACTAGTATATACCAGAAATTATACAAAACTAGCTGTCAGGTTTTATAAATACTTTTCATTTTGGATAAATGTACTCGTGAAGGTAATCTACACAAGTAGCTAATGACAATTGTTGCTTATATTCATATACATGTATTCTGTATCTGAAATAATTATAAAATAAAGAAAGGGAGGAAAGAGGTTGGCTAATATAGGGAACAGGGGGCCAGCATATAAAAAAATATGTTTAATGCTCTAAAGATTGTGAAAACTTGACGTGTAATTAGTCAGGGAAAAATGATCTTGGTCAGGGAAAAGTCATGGAAAAGTCAGGGAATTTTGATTTCTCTTCTTTGTGGGAACCCTGTACACAGCGTCACCTTAGTGCAGTAATGGATGAATTCCTTTTAAATTATATAAGAAGTTAACCTGTTACTGCACTAAGGTGATGACATACAGTATTAAGTCTCTTATATAGAAAAAGTAGACAAGACTTTGTTGTGGCTCATATTGTTGAATCTAACTTATCATTTTTATACATAGAACATAAATATAAACATGATAAAATATGTTTACAAACTGAGGATTGATGTATTATCTTGAAAGGATATTTTGTCGCTTTCATTTTAACCAAACAGTATTGATTAAGCTCAGTAGTGAAAAAAGCTTGTAGCTTACTTAAACCACTCTTCAAGTACACTTCCTGGAGCATGAGTTATATGGGAAAACTTGTGGTGACTCCAGTAAGGCTTGAATCCTTGTTCCCCAGGTTGACACACCATAGGCCACCAGGCCTCCTCTATCCATCCATGTATTACATTTTACAAAATCTAACCTGTTACTATGTCACTTTTGTGTGTTTAGTTTGATAGTTTAAATACTGGGCATTCTTACAATTTTGTTTAATGCCACTCTCCAGCACTTTGTTAGACTTAAGTTCTGGTGCAAAAAAATGTGTATTAGGTTTCAATCTCAAGAAGGCAGGGCATTTTTTGTCAAAATTGTTAAGGGGCCTGGACCTGTTCATTTTGTGAAAAAAAGCGTGATTTGTCGTAAAATTGTGAAAAAAATTTCCATATTATTTGGCATTTAGCAACATTATGAAACCGGAAAATCTGCTTCAAGTCGGTACTTTAACCCGCTTAACATGTGCTAAAACCATTTAACTTGATTAAAACTATTTCTGTGTTCTTGAAATTGGCGTAAATCATGTTTTACCGGAAGGTAAACAATGTATTTCAAAGACAAAGTCCCAATATTTTGTGAAATTTCTTTTGAAATTGTGAATTTTTTTCCGCCACTTTGTGAAAAAAAAGTGCAATTTTGAATTGTGAAGGGGCCTTATATCAGCCCCTGTTAAAGAAGAAAAAAAAGCCCTGGAAGGTATTTTTAGTGATGTTCTCTTGCAATGAATTTCGGCTAAATTTTAATACAAGAAATGTACCAGACTCTGTATATAGTATAGTTGTTAATATGACTCATTGTGTGATCTAGATATCAATGTATAAAATACCAATATTCCATACTATATATAATAAGATCATGTTTGTATATCGAAGTTACCAAACTATTACTGGTTTCAATACAACATAAATCTTAAGTGACTGAGAGCGGACAGATATTTTTGTTTGTTAGTTTTAAATATTGTCCATAGCTTGCACACAGTTGTAAGCAGTGTTATTATGAATAGATTAATTACGAGGTGACAAGACAAGAGTGAAAAATGTCCTTACCTGTTTACAGGTATACAAGGGGAAAATTGAAACCAAAATCATTTGGATCGAATTGCAGCAGGGAAAATGGATATGCATAAAGAAAGTGTGATAACAGAATAAAACAATGATATATTATGCCTTGTAATTGTTGTACTAGAGAATATCCAGGCATTGTCACAAACTGAGACATTAATCTCAGACAAAAAATGTTATGTCCTCTTGCTAGAAAAAAAACCTCGAAAAATGAGTATTTGACACAACGAAATTGCTAAGATTTGCTTAAATATAATCACTGCCATAATTGTGGTGTATGCAAAAATAACTTGATATATACAATATAGGGATGCTTGCTATATAGCTGCCAAGTCATTTGTCAAGCCCATTTTCTCCTAAAATAACTTATTGAAGTACATTTACAAGTCTTCCACTAAGCCTTGAAAGTGCTTGTACTGTATTAAGAAAATGAAATATATCTTTTCAAGCAGATTCTATTTTATCAACAGGTGATAGTGAAAGTCCTGATGTTTGCCTAAAGAAAACTGCAAGTCCTAAACCTAACAAAATAGTGCGCGAGCCTCCTGATGGTTGTGAAATTGTCAAGGCCTTCGACGAAGACAGGTAAATGATTAATAAACCTTTATATTTCATGCCTATGTACTTGCCTTTTAACATTGGAAAGCTGTTGAGTACTAGTACCATGATATGCACAGTATGTGTGTATTTATCTGGGTGTAAAAAGGGTGTACACTTGGGTCTGAAAACAACTACCTGGGTGTATATTCAATAAAAGGTTATTTAAGAAGCCTTTGAGAAATCTTTTGTGTCATGGTCTAACTCTCAAAGACTATCAAAGGTTTTCACTTTACACTTGAAATGCTTGTTTTTCAAGAATGTCTTGGTTATCTTTTTCGTAAGGTTACATTTCTGAAACACTTTCGAAAATATTTTATTGAAATCTGGAGGGTTTTTTTTCAGTATCACATTTAAGATGATAATAATAATATCTTTCTTTAAAAAGGGGTAAAGATTTCTAAGGGGAAGATAACCCCGATAAATCATTTTTGCTTAATTATTTGAATATTTCCCTTTTTTGACCTACAATATTTGCATTTTCTCAAAAATCATCTGATGGTATTTCCATGTTGATCACTTTCAAGAGCAGGTAACTCTGCCATGCAATTTTGCTGATTTTTTCCTTTTCTACTTTACTTTTATGATAATATCCAGCACTGAGAAAAGTAGAATGTGCTGTATGGGGACTGATCTATATATGTTACCGTAATCACAAGTCACAATAATGAAGTCGTGATATTTTTATGAGAGCAATTTTTTTAGGTGAATCATAAAAATTACAAAGCATGAATTTGGCCTTGAAAATATCAAATGACAGATATCTATTAGACTTTTATTACCTGTCATTTATACCTTCATATTAAAATGTAAAAACATATTTCTTTAGGGTTTATTTATGTCTATTTATCTTAATTTTAATACATTATAATGTTACAAAATAGTGAAGTCAGAGGAAGAAAAATGTAAGCTTTGCTTTTTTTGGTGTTTTTTAGTGATTTTTACAGAAAACCTATTGACAACTTCTGTAATTTGTTATCTTAAATATTCTACATTTTTGTAGATTTTAAACATTTTATTTTTAGCATTAAAAATACTGCCACTGGAATGCCAGTGATTCTCCCCTATTCTAATTGAAATCATTATAACAAAGGGCAATTAGTATGAATATAACATGTGCTCATGTTTCAAATGTTGAATTTCTTTTATGTAAAGGAAATGTTCAATTGTTGCATACAGAAGTTGTTTAAAGCAGATACTTAACTTTTTTCTGCACCAGAGTTAACCATGGAAGCCCTCTCAAAAGGCATTTGTGTATTTTAAACCCAACTTAAAAAAACAAAACAGAACAAAAATCAAAACAAGGGTATAAGGTGCAGTTTGACAGGATTTTAGAAAATTTATCTTATATATGGCTTAGGTTGGATTATTTGTTAATATTGGTACTAAATTTTATAATTATAGTGATGTTGATATTAAGGAACTTACATATTTCTATCTTGTTTTCCTTTCTTACAGAAGTGGTCGTCCACCATCCATAAAGGAGCCGTTGTTATTTTGTCCTATCCAAGGTCAAGGTCAGTTTGTGTTGAAGCCGAGTATCAGTTCTGCCTTCTGTCCTCTCAAGAACATGTACACTCAGGGAACCAGTTTCTCACAAACCACGCCCACTAGCATAGAGGGACATTAAGGGCAGCTATTTATTGACTTGTTTCATCTCATGTTAGTAATAATTGTGTTTTTTAAATGTACATTTTAAAGAAAGAAGAAAAGAGAAGTGTCAAATAATGCTATTTTTGAATCATTCCTGTAGATGTTCGAGTTTTCAAGGTAAAAATGTCAGGCTTTAGGTTCCATCTTCTGAATACAACATTTGTCATGTAACTTTTTCTCAAACAACCAATCTGATGGTAATAATTTTAGCCTGGTACTCAAATATTTTAGTTATATATGGACCATGTTGATTAAACTCTAGTAACCAGTCTATTACCAGTCAATTGCACAAAAGTATCTATTTTGATTAAAAAAAATACAATCTCTAAAATATTTTCAAAAGCTCCAGACAAATTACAAGGTCAAGGTTGTTAGATCAGTGTTCGCAATGTTAGATATCTAATTTCAAACATTATGCATCAAAAAGTTTTCCTTGTTTGATTTTCAGATTTCTTAGATTAACAGGTTTTATGTCATGTGGTTTTAAGTGTCTGTGATAGAAATCAAAATTATTCAGCTTTTCTATAGAAGAAGTAGCTAGATAAATATCTTTGGCTTCATTTGTTGGAGGAAATAAACCAACAAGTTGTCTTACATAAAAAATACCATCAATAAGATTGTCTTGTTGATACAATGTACTCAGTTTTAGAAACATAATATGGCCTTATTTTACTTTAAGTATATGATATAGATAAAATTTAATTACCATATTCTAGTATCTTAATTTTTCTGGCTGGAGATAAGGACAATTTGAAAAGGGTTTAGAATATAAACTAAAGTATATGCTGCCTTGTAACTTTATTTAAAGCTATTTCCATACATCATATTTTCGATCATTCGCTCTCATTTGTCTCTCTCAAACTATCAGCTTAACATCAGATCGGATATATAATCCTCATTGACTGTTACAGAATAAGCCATTGAGAAAATGCTGTGTGAATCAGACAGTCTGCTATACCATGATTGTTATTTATAGCTGGGCTTTTCTTTTCTATAAAAAATACAAGGAAAAAAACACTTGGGAGAAATACTCTGTGCAGAAAGACGCTTGACGTTAATATGCATTTTCTTGTCATTCAAAGAGAATTACCAAAACAATGAAATTGGCTTCTTTCCAAGTCCTTTTTTGCTTGTTCTTAGCATCAATTTCTCAACCGTGACAAAAACAGGAGATCCCTTTAAACTTACTAGCTTAATTTGTATATTTGGTATTTCCATTGTTAATTGAAGTGATTGCAATAATGAAGTGTTAGATTAAAGCAGCCTACAGTATGGTGTCTGGTCAGACAGCATAGTACTGGTTGTAATGGCAAGTTAATTTCACTTACAGGCATTCATTCATTTGTACAGGATAAAAAAAAAGAAGAAATATCTGGTTCTAATAATGTTCCAGATTTTATCATCTGAAAATCTTATCTTGGTAATTGGATGAAAGATTTTGATAAACATTGCACGTTATTACTCATTGAGCAATGAAATTGTATTACCCTTCCACACCCTACTTCTACAAGCAATATGTGTCAAGTGGCGGGAAGGGGGGCAGCAGTATCCCCCCTCCCCCTCCAGGGGAAAGGGATGTTAAACATGGGTTTGCATTCAACATTGGGCATATTTCATCATGTAATGATTCTATTAGTTATAAATGTAACAATTTTTGTGGGTTCTATTTTTTAAAACATTCTTTTTTGCTATGAACTCAGATAGGTTAAAGTTAATTCGATATCTCCCAGAGCCAGTAAATGATGTAAAATGATTACATGCCACTTTAAGAAGGTTTAATTGCTTTTTCTATTGATATAATTTCCGGAACTTTTGTTACGGCCTGCATAAGCAATTGGAAATAATGGCCTATAATATCATATACTAGATCTACATCAGTAAAACTTGTCATAAAATGACTTTATTGTCATAATTTTATGACGCAATAAGTTTCTGCAGTAATAAGTCTGATAGACAGAGAGAGAGAAATTTTCCTTTGCTATGAATATAAAAAATGGATCCTGGATATAGAACACCAGAGATTAATACTGAAAACTGTTCATATTAATTTGGAAGGTATATTAATGATTCCAAGAAAATGATTTGAGGAAATGAAATTGGATAGTCTGTAATTTAGAGAAAATGAGGAAGAATTTGTATACAAATTTTATGATGACAAGTAATTTATTGTTTTGGCAAGTCCTAGGGATAAGTGTTCCTCTAACATCAATACTTGGTATATTTGATATCAGTTGTCAGACACCTATCTGTGATCTGAGTATATTGTGAACATTTTACTTTAGCTTAATGTTCGGCTATAAAATAACATATGTTTGTTCCAACGGTTTTTCTTCCAGCCCAGCCAGTAAATTTGTCACTGAAACTTTAGTGCAGTCAATGGTAAACAATAACAAAGTAGTACTGTGTGCAGTGCAGGTACAATTGTTAGATGAAAAATATAAAATCAACAATAACAACAAAAAATAGAGGAAATCTGAAACTATAAAATTCTTTAAACTTGGGCATGTTTATTTTTATGCCCCTTATTAGGGGGACTGGGGAAATACAGACTTGATCATTTCATGCCTGTCACAATGTCCTACTGTCTATCATTTTAAGAAGAGAACAGTGGAATATGAGGCATCTGTGTCCTATGGACACATTTCTATTTGTTTATCTCCAACCACAGAAGTTGGTTAATTGTGATAAAAATAAAATGTGACAGATAAAACTAAATATTAAATAAATAGCAAATGGGCGAATGTTTGTATAAAAAACCATCAGAAAAGGTTTTTACAGCTATCATGATTGGTTGTTGTTGTTTTTTCTAATAGTAGCGATTATTAATGAATAAGATACAGTAATATGTGTACATATTTGTTAAATTATTTTTATATGCTTCCTTTTTTCACTTAACTGTTGTTAATTTTTTTTTTGCTGCATGATAATGTTAATACTGTTTTGTAGTATTTGTATTTTATCTGTATATAATTATTAAGTATTGAAATATTATAGAACACTCAAAATGGCAAAAAAACATGATTTATTTTAAATAAAAAGGTACAAATAGACTGCAGTTTAGTAATTGAGACATAGGAGGGGGGGTTCTATGGTGATGTGGTTAAGGTCTCTAACCTCAAATCATTTGTCCTTCATTGCTATGGGTTCAAATTCTAACCAGGGACATTGGATTCTTAATTGTGGGGAAGCTTTCAGGCTAGCTTGTGGGAGATTAGTGATTCTACTCAGCTGCCCACTCATACCAGAAATAATGCACAAAAGGGTCACCTACAGTCTTATGCCCAGCAGGAAGGCTGGAAAGTCATTATAGGACTTTAACAGTGTCAATGATACTTAAATCTAACATAACAAAGATTTGTATAGGAGGAAATGTTAACAGTACAACATTTGCAGTCTATTTGTGTTCTATTACAACATTGCAGAGTTTACTGTTGTTAATAATAAGGGCCTATATATATATATGTCACTGTTGAATACATTTTGTGTAAGACCTGCACATAAAGTTTGTTAACCATACTATGATATAGTAGAATGTTTAGATTAGAAAAATGATTTCTGTTAAAACTTTGGTACCTGAGATATTGCAGGTTTTCTTTATAGCACTCAATTCGTAATTGATGATTAAGTTAAAATTGTTTCATGAATTTAGTTGATATGTTGAAAATGTAACCCAAACCACGTCTAAAATCTTGAATGGACTTGTCCATCTTTAATCTGGTCAAATCTATCAATTATTTTTTTGGGAAAATTTCAAGACAAGACATTAAGCATTAACTAAAAAGCAAACAGTGCAGACCATGATAAGATGGCAAAGATGTACTGGCTTACCTTGGTCTGAACTTGCTGCATGGTCACAATCAGTTGCCTACAGCAGGCTTAGAGTTTAGGTTAAAAACTTATTATTGTATACAATACATTATCTGATAACGGTTAAATAATTGCAAAGACTTGAAAGCAGATTTCATAAAACTTTTCCATTGTTGTTTTTATCGTTGTAAAAGAATCTCGCTTTTAGCTATATTGGAACATTTAAAGCAATTCACACAGTTTGAAACAAACAAACAAAATTTTCTGCCTGCATGTAGAATCAAATTTTTTGTCACTGTAGAATTTACATCATGAACTTTTCTTAGCTTGCATAGTCCACCATTAAACATACAACCGTAACAAGACATTAAATAAGTCACATGATCAACCATTTTGTAGACCTACATTATTTAGTTTTGTAGAATGTATACTTAAATCTTATTAGCAAATTGTCAGGCATATTGTTTTGCAAATTGTTTGTGCAAGGCTTTTAATCATGTTCTGTATATCCACTTTTTATATTGGCAAATTTTGAAATTTACTTAATATTTACATGAAATGAACATGTACAGAAGGGGAAGTAATTCTAAAATGTTTACACAATTTTCAAGTCTACAGTTACATTTCTTGTTCAAAAAATGTTTACTGTGCTTGCCTGATTTTTGGGCTCAACTCAACAGGTTTAATGAGGATAGGATGTTGTTGAAGAAATAAGAAAGGGGATCAAGTTCACCGAGGGAGACAGATAACATATTCTCATTTCAGTCATTCGTTTAGATTCTCATTATTTTGTATTTTTTGACAGTTCAGGAAAGTCCGTCCTATTTTCCATTATGTGGCATTTGCCTGTACTTTGTACTTATATGTTTTTGCCATTTGTATGTATTAAATAAGTTTTTAAATTAATCGTTTTTTTGTAATCATCATATTGTACTTCTCATCAAACTTCCACCCTAAATCTTTGTAATTGTTTTAGTAGAAACTAGTGTATTAATTAACAATTGAGAGGGATAGTTGATTTCAGAACATTGTGTTAATTTAGTATCTAAAATATTTGAAACAACTAAAAATTTGTATGGGACCAGTTAGTAAATGACACTCAGCGATTGGTCAATTTAAAATTTAAACTTGGCAAAGATTGACCAATTAGTTTCTCAAGATGTTCACACACCCCACCCACACCTGTTTGAATGCATCAAACAGGTGGAGTTTAAAAGAACATACCAACCAATGCTAGATTTTTCATTTTATAAGTGAGTCACATAGGTTTATATTTCATTTACTTAAATTATCATGATAAATTAGATATTTGATATCAGATACTAACAACAATTTGTTCATATTTCTAGGCTATTTTGTGCATATTTTATCATCGTTGTAAACAAACATTTTGTTAGCATCATTGGACACACCCTCCATACTTGTTATTATTTAAATATAAACATGACCACAAATGAAATTGTAAAATCAATGTTAAAAAGTTGAAGATTTGTATTATGGCCTTTTTTTTTTTAGGGAGCAGAAAAATTATTCAATATGTTTGCAGAAATAAATGGCATTAGATAAATATTGGATTGATTAAAAGAAATTTGTAGGCATGTTTGAGATATGGAAATATAAGGTTTTTAATAGAAGATAATAGATGTGATTTTTATTTTTGTGAATATTTGTTTTGATATTGACAATGAGTGCTAGTGGGGATAAGTTCAGGCTGTCTGTACCATGTCTAGTACCGGTAAGGCTGGACAGCACATCCCTGCAGTTTCACCCTTACCACACTATATATCTTAAAATGAACTTGTCTATTTTTCAATCTGGACAAAACCATTCATCATTTTTAGCGAAATTTTTTGTAGACAAGTACTGGCTGAATAGCTAACAGTACAGACCAGGAACAGATGGCACATACATGCTGACTGATCTTGGTCTGCACTGGTCACATGGGTAGAATAAGTTGTGGCCGGCAGGATGAGGGTTAATTGTTTGACTTTCAGTTGATGTGATAGATCAGACTTTGTAACTTTACCTTCATATACCAAAAAAAAAAACCACCAATGGATTGTCCATAATTGAAAGAAAGATAAGTCCATGAAAGGAAAATCTGCAGGTAAAGGCAAAAAATAGTTTTTGATATTGTTGTTAGATGGGAGGGGTGCACTTTGAAGTTTATATTTTTTCATCTGTGTAATAATAAATGTTATGTTATATTGTTAAATTTTTAATAGTAGGTCATATTTAACACAGATTTATGAACATGGGCATTTAGATAAATATAGTTTGCACATGACTGCCCATTTTATATGTTGTAGACATTATGCTTGTTCAAGTTTTTTCCCACCATTTTCTAACATATTTGTCTATTAGCAAGTATATTGTATAAGGCCTATAAGTGTTTTTTTTTTTGTTATGTATAGATCATTTATGTTAAATAATCTCACCTACTTAGCTCAAATTTTAACCCTTAATTTGCTGAACATGTGTAATGGATTTGCCTTTCTTTGAATTTGTAGCTATCCATTCAAAGTTTGAGAGGTTTAAAACTCAAAATTGAAAATACTAAATATGAGCTACTAACAGTATATAGCCTGGTCAGACTGTATAGATATACAAGCTGCCTGAGCTCTGTACAGGTGGCGAAGGTAAATCACTGTGTTCTAGCAGGTTAAGGGTTAGTTCTATTCATACTTGTGTAAAAATTACAATCAACCTAGGAATCTCTGTTCTTCTCCTCCTCTATTAGTGCTAACATTGAATTCTGTCTTGATATTTCCATTGGCACATCCTACATTATATGTTACTTGTTAAATCTACAACCCCACAGATCCTCTTTAATCATGATCAGAAAAAACGTGATTTATTGAAGAATGTATATAGAACCTACATTAAATTTACGTGGTTACCTAGGAACCTAGTGTTACCTAGCAACCACATGTGCCAGTGGAAGTACAAGCAGAATAACCAAGTACCACAAAGTATTATTTTTCTTTTGTAAACACCTTACAGCACTTCTTTCTACTGTGATTGGGAATATCTGGAGAAATGCAAATTTTTGGTCAAATTTTTGGTTGAATGCAGTACAGTCTCAAAGAAGAATACTTATGATGTAAATGATCTTAAAACCATTTTTATTTGTCAATATATCCAACTTTGTAACAACCAATCGGGTTTAGTTATTAGTCGGGTTTATTTAATTGGATGTTTTTAACGTATTATTTGATGGTTGAGAATAATCACAGAAAAAAAGAAGTGAAGGTGTGGAAAAGACATCTCCTATTCAGTATTTTAATTTTAAGTTACCTTTTCCTAGATTGTTTTTTTTATTGTTTGGTTTTCTCTGCTAATTGCTTTTTTTTTAAAACGATGCCAGTCTTCATTAACCATTGTGTGTAGATTAAAAGAGCTGCGTCATGACAAAAAAAAAACGTAATGCGTTTGCAACCAGCATAGATTCAGACCTGTCTGCGCAGTCTGATCAGGATCCATGCTGTTCGCTATCAGTTTTTCTACTTTTAATAGTGTTTCTAAGCGAACATCATGGATCCTGATCAGCCTGCGCATCCTCCGCGCAGTCTGATCAGGATCCATGATGTTCGCAAACGCATTACGTTGGTTTTGTCATGACGCGGCTCATTTCATTATACAATTGATGGATTGCATAGCTTCTAGGATATTAGTTGTAACTTTCAGCCTTGTGATATTTTCTAAAGTCATTATGATCATTCATTTTTGCACCTTTGACAACTACATAACATTTTCATTTCTGTCGAGACGTATAGAATTATAGATATACATATATAATAAATCCATGATGAAATATTTTCACACTATTTTTCTCAAAGAATCGATAGATTAGACATTTAGCACTTATTATGCCTCTGAACATAAAATCTTCTTGGGTCCATTGTATTAGATTTCAAGACAAGTTATTTTCGGTTAAAATAAGTAATATACTGTTAGTCTGATTTAAAGCTATTCAAAAAATTATTAGAACAAAACTGATTTTCTAAAATACAGGCCTAGGCCCTAATCTGATTGGTCAGTTCTTAGTAATACTGATTTCAAATACGGAGTATTCCTTGAAAGGAAATTTGATTTGACAGTTATTTATTACCTGTACCCAATCAGATGTTCGGTTACAAAATTTAAATCTTCTTATATACATGTACTGGTGATGAATATATACAGATATGCAAATAATAGTGTGAAATATTCTAGTTTTTACTAATGTTACTGTTATTTTTATTCTGTCGACCATGATTCTATTTTTAACAATGTTAACTTGATATTTGTGTGATAAATGTTTTTTTCTGACATACCTGATTCTTTAACATTCATATTTGTGCTAAATACAGTATAGTAGTTTTTTTTTCTCTCTCAATTGAAATTTTAATTTACAATTCTGATGATGTACATACAGTAAAAATGGCTACAAATGTTTAATTGTCCCATCTATTTTTTATTTATGAGGGTCAGAACTGGGGAAGAGAGAGAGAAAACATGTGCTAGATAACAAAACTTAATAACCTTTGCTCTGAAATGCATTAATAAATTATTGTCTCAAAATTGTATACTTGGTGTAAATTTATTGAGAAATTTTATTAAGATTCAGTGAATATATTTCATTGGACATAGATGTTTGTCTCTCAACTTAAACAGTCTTTAAAGAGCAAGTTAAATGAACATGCATACTGTTTATTCAAAGTGCCTATAGGTGTTAATTTATTATCAGGGTTGTGAACAAATGAAAGATCTTTCTTAAATTTGTCTAGATCTACATTTTCTTGATATTTCTCTTATAAAACTGGATTTAAAATGATAATTGTTTTAAATAAAGAATAGCTAAAATAAATCATATATCTGTATCAGTTACAAGTTTCATTCTTGAATAATATATAATGCATCGAAAGAAAAAATATTCTCAGTAATCAATAATCTCAAGTGTATATTTTCTATGTAAATTTTAAAATCTCCCTCCCTCTTTTCAATATTTTTATAATAAACTTGTAATATTATCAACAAATTATTGTCATGATGAAATTGTTAGTTATTTAAAAAAAAACTGGTATTGTATAAAGTGAAGAGTTTCAGTACCTGCTCACTAATACAAGAAATAAAAATTTGTTATTTTCTATACTTGTTTTCTTTCATCTATCCAAAAATTACACCTTGTCGGAACTACATGTATAAGCAAAGTTTTGCCAAAGGTTCATGGTATGTTATTGTGGTGGGAAAGAGGATGTCATGAGCCAAGTTATGTCAAAAAGGATTGGAAATCAAATGAGACAAAAATTCACCAAACAAATTTGAAATTCTTGCATAGATCTGTGAATCATTTAAAAAATGGAATGGAATAGAGTAATTTGCAAAGGAAGATGAAGAAATCTGCTGAGAATTAAATTAAGAATCGCTCTTTGTGCCATTCTTTGTCAAATTGAAGTGAAAACGTTGCAACACTTTTTGCGCAATGAAAATGGTGATTCTTGAACAATGGTGTAAGGGAATTATGATGTCTTAACATTTGCACAAATCTACATCAAATGATTCACAAATATCGGGGGAAAATATTTCTAGTTGTCATAAAAAAAACTCAATGGAGTCCACCAGTGCCTGGCCTAGAAGCCATGTTATGTTACAAAAGTGCATGTTTCAAGCCATGTCAAAATGTTGGGGATGTGTTATAGTGACGAGAAAGTGGATGTTGGGTATTATTGTGACGTAGGTTAAATTGCGCCAAGGCATGAACTATAAGCCATGTTATGTTAAAGGTTCAATGTGTGTTAGTGAGATAAACAAGTGAATGCTCCAGTGTCTGACTTGTAACATAACTGTGTTCTTTTTGTTTGCTCATATCCTTAATGACGTTATGAGAGCTAAAGAAAGTATACCTCTGGATCGAGTTACCATGAACTCTATAATAAAGACTGCTAAGATACGAATCTTGCCACGATAAATATACAAACGCGAACCTATTGTTCCTTGAACGAATGTAGAACTCGTGTTCAATAATAATACATTTCCTTGCTGATTCCTATTGAAATCACGATATTGACAAATAAAATTTCTTCCTTTAATTTAAAAATATTGTCTCGAATTTCAAGCATAAACAAGATAATTTGAATAAACCGTTTTAGATCTATGTCACAATCTTAATCTTTAAAAAAATAGAATTGAATGAAATTCATAATCAAATTATCAGCGGTTAGATAAACAATGTTTCAATATTGGAGAGTTTATTTCCCTTTATTAGCAAAAAAGTACATATAAAATCTTTTATCATTATGTTTATACAAGAGTATATTTTTGTCGTTCATATTCTATCATATGTTCAAAGTTCCACTCGTCATACCAGCGGCAACTACCGTGTTCATATTCATCACAAGACACTCGAGGTTGTCCATCTTTCCTCTTTGGGAGTGGGGGCTCCGGGGGTCGTTTCCCGAGAGAGTAAAAGCTCTTGTAGTAATACCTGTAAAAATGAAACATACACTTTTTTGTTACGTAGCGAAATTAGGATATTCTTATTATCAACGCTAAGAATAGTATCTTCGAGATCTGCACGAACTATTTACCATACACGGCTTAAAAGACTCATTCCATAATCGATTTGAAAAAATAATCTAAAACTTGATTGGCATATTATCGTTCTTAATTGTAACATCGTCAAATCTGTACAGCACCAATATCTTCAGCCGGACTAGGTTGCATGTACTCGTACATGTGGTCTAACTTTAGAATCTGTAATAATGCTGGCTATTTGATATTTTTGGATTAAAAATATGAAAAAGCCATAACAAACTCAATGTGGAGTATATTTCATACACAAATTCATCAAGGCAACGATTTATAATAATTATATTTTAGAATATCTACAATAGGTATAATTCATGATAAATTTTACCATCGTTGAAGAATAAATTTATGTCCGTCAATGACTTTGTTGGCTTTGTGTATTGACATAGGTTCACAGTCACCTGCAGGGTTCATGTTATTCCACAGAAGAGCTCTTCCTTTCCTTGGTCGAGCCCATACACCTAGTTCTGAAACAGAAAGGAATGCCCAAAATGGTTAATTCCATAAAAGGACATACATACACTGTACGTGATTGTAAAGATGAGCAAAAAAACAAAAACAATTTCATCTTGTGTTTCGCTAAGTAACAAAAGTTTTTTTTCTTCTTCTTTACAATTACAGTAGATGATAAAAAAATTCCATCTGATATCTAGTTATTTCAATAAATCTTGAGCAAAACTTCTTTAGTTATGATATTCAGTGGTTTTTAACTAACTAATGAATCATTATATAGAATGATCTAATTACTAACCAGGAAAATCTGTTTCTCCGCCCTCTGTTACTGTATCTAGGTACACAAGCACTGTTGCCATTCTGTCTCGTTTATCTTCCGAGTTTTCTACACAGTCCGTGTGAGATTTGTACCCTACATTTAGTAAGATTACATTTTTAAATATATGTTTAGTTTTAAGAAAATGATTGGGTGTAATAGATACATACAGGTCTATGTACTGGTAACCCACGAAATAAAGTCTTGTAGTATTGCATGAAATGAAAAAGATTATTGTTTTATGAAAGACAAGATTACTCAAGCTTTCTCTTAAATGAACAGAAAAGAACCTTTTCGATGTAGAAACTAAAAAATCTAAAAAGGTAAATGATTTGTTCACACTCAGGGTTAAGACCCGCATTGCCAGGCCCTTGTCAACTCTCAGCCGCCTTTATTATTGTACATGTAACACGAATATGGCATCTTTAGCATCTGCATGTTTTAATTCAATTTTCACACGAATAAAAAAATTCCAATTTATCACCAAGTACTTAAATGAAACCAAATGGTAAATGATTTTTTAAGTTTGTCAAATCAAACTAAGTTTACGATTGGGATAAAAAGGTCGTGTTAAAATGTTACTGGGAGTTGACAAGAGCGGAATAACGGGGATAAGAGTCTGATCCCGGGAGTATCTGTTAATATACTTAATGTATTAACAATAAGTATATAATATACTCCTTCAATATGTATGTAAAGGCCAAACCATATACATACCAATGCCTTCCGGATATGATGTTATCTGAAATTTCCCGCCATTTTCAGGATTCAGACCCATGGCTTGTTTGACCCTCTGCTCGAAAGCCATTGCAAAGCGGCTTTCTCCCGGGTAAAACGCGGTGCTATAACTCCAGTTCCCTTTAAACCATTCTTTCAGCTGACTCGAGAAACTTGCATTTACACACGTGGTTCCTGTAAAATACATGTTCCCATGATTAACTTCTGCTAACAACTTTGTGATCTGTTATTTACGCAATTTTCATCTTAAATCTATTCAAACCTATTTAAATTGTAAACGCGTTTATAAAACATATTTTGAAAGAGATGAACGAAAGATATGGCCACACCGAGTAAAACTAAACAAGTAATGGTTAAAGGGACTCCACTGAAGTTTTTTGACATGATGAGACTGAAAATATTTTTCCAGATAAATGTACCATTTGATGTAGGTTTTGACCACTCATCTTTGTGCAATCTTTCAGATCATATACGCACTTCGTTTTTACAGAAAAATTATTCAAATTGTAAAAAAATGACCCAAAATAACAAGCGTTTAAAGGCTTTTCACTTTTCACTGAAATCGGGCTTAGAAAAGCATAAAAATACGGTTTTCAAATTATTTCAAAGTATATTTCTTGACCCCAGCTCATTTATGTAAGAAATTCAAATGTTATGTTTTGGGCTTTTAAACATTAGTGGAGTCCCTTTAAACCTAGACTTAATTCAAATGACACAAAACTGTCTTTGACCAAAACCAAATCAAATGCTGATGTTCAAGAAGCACTTTGACTGTCTGAATATCACAAAAATAAATCAATTCGGTAAATTGAGAAAATCAATGAAATTCAAATTGTGTATTGTGTTTGGTTGCGTGTTGATGTTCTTTTTTTTTTACCTGATTGTTACTCTTATGCCTTTAAAAACCTTCATTTTTTTTTTCAAACTTATTAAACTGCTAAATGCCCCCAACCCCACCCGCACAGAAGGGATGAATTTAGTTCTCGCTATCCTGGCGCGTAAACAAGAACACTGCATTTCCCAGGAAATGTAGGTATATTTTATTAAATACACACAATATACAAGTTTACAGACATACAGATATACAGATATAAGGTTAAAAACCTACTTTCCTGCTATCTTCCGTACTGCCCCAGGGATGGGCCGGGGTTACATTCGACTTCGGTTTATCATTCATTTATGGTTATGGACTTTGCAAAGTAAGATTATCAGTTGAAATTAATCTTTTTCAAGTTTGCTTCTTGGACATTCATTGCCAGAATATTTTAGTTACAGAAGCTTTAAACATGCTGGTCAAAGCAGCTTACCTTTTGTGAAAACATTCGGCGTTACGAGCATACGTTTTCCCGCGCTTTTCAGATGTTTTCGCAACGTGGATACACTATCAAAGCAAAGGATGGGGTCATCTTTTGACTGGTCCTCTACATGTTTATTGTGAACTCTCATCAAACCATCACACTCTTCTTCTGATAAAAATTCCTCAAATAACCATATTCTGAAATAATTTATAGAATATCTATTGAAGCACATTCGAAAAAATACTATTGTAGATCTAATATTATAACAGAGGTAATATTTCTGTCTCCCAAAAGCAAAGATTGTGGGTTCTGCTTTACTAAGGGCCTGACCATTTATGATATTATGCACAAAACAGGGTATCACTCTTTAGACAAATAAACCGGTAGTTGTGTTATTTGAGGAAACATTGTCGTGATTTGAAAAGAGCCCAAACCCACAATGATTAAGTTGAAAGACAAACACATCATTTCTTTGAAAAAGTAAGGACTGAAAGTAAAGTACGTGTCTCTTTCCATTTAATGTTCCCTTATCAAATTTCTGTGCGTTCATTTTCTCTCAGTAAATGTATTGTGCAAGAACACACACTTTGTTGGTGTATTCAACTACTTGTCTACAGTTAGCATAGTGTTCCCATATTCCTTACCAAACAGCACATGTAGTTTGCTTTTTGCTCAAGTAGCTGGCATTTTCTGCACACCAATCAATCAATTAATCAATCAATCAATCAATCAATCAATCAATCAATTAATCGATCAATCAATAGATCAATCAATCAGTCAGTCAATCAATCAGCTAGTAAGTTAGTCAAAAAAACAACAACCAGCAAACAACCAACAAATCAAACAAGCGACAGGCCGACCGGTTGTTTGTTTCAATCAATCAATCAATCAATCAATCAACCAAATGATTTGAAATCGCGGTTAAGGACGAATGTCATTATATAGCTATGTTGTCGGCTGGCAACCAAGTCGTGAAGGAAATGAAACTGCGTTTGAGGCTTAAACTCGCGAACCCTAGGTATGTAGACGACCATACAAGTATCAATAAAGGCTTTTATTTGATGTTTTCCGGTTATGACAATATTTTTAATATCTAAAAAACACTGTATTACGCCTGAAATATATCATTTTTACAATTTATCTATGACCAAAAGCTATAATGTATCAGTCCTTTAAATAACCTTTATTTTAGTTTAACTTACTTTACACTGCTGTTGTTCGGCTTCTGTGGTAACAATTCCATCGGCGGGATTCGTCGCCCGTCAATAAAAACTTTTTTCGGTGTCACTGTCTTTTGGTACGTCGGTTTAAAGTCTTTTATTTCTTTTGGGATATTTTCGTTGGTTTCTGTTTTGGATGCTGTTTCTTTGTTCTCAGTATCTTTGTTCTCTTTGTCCTTTGGTTTTGTTTGTGATGATTTCTTGCTTTTGTTTACTTTTTTATTAGGTTTCCTTTTCGAGATAGGGTCTTCATTTTCTACATCATCTTGTTTTATCTTTATAGGAAGTTCTCTTATTAAATCTTCAGCGTTTGCTTTAAACAATTCAACAGTCCGTGGTTCTTCCTCATCTTCAATATTTATATTTAATCGTTGTGTATCGTCATTATTTGAAGAGAATGATATTGGTTCAGCTTTGTCTTCAACCACTTCATCTTCCATAAGATCCTCAATTTTTTCTTGTTTTAGAATAACAGGTTCGCCTTCGTCCTCAATGTCATCTGTACCGTCGTCTTGACCTGTTTCAACTTCCACGTGCTCTTTATCATTACTGTATTTCTTTTCTTCCTTGACATTAGTTTTAACGTTTTTTACTTCACGTTTATTAAGTTTGCGGTCATCCCTTTGTATTGCATCTTCTTTTCCATCTTGTTTATAGTCCTCTCTCTTTACGAAAAGTTTAGATCGATTATGTTCTTTTCTGTCTTCTACAACGGGAACATGTTCTTCTGGTAACTCCTCAAGTTCGTCTATTTGTTCTATATCGAAACTGCTCTCGGCTTTCTTTACTTGTACATTGTTCATCGACTGTAATGATTTTGTATCAAACGTGGAAGAGACCCTCGGGTATATCAAAACTGTTAAAACTACTCCCATTACAAAGAAAAATGCGAATTTATACACGTCAGAATTTCCGGTTGAATGAGCGTTCTCCAGACGCTGTAATCTGTCCTCGACTTCATGTGCAGACGTTTCTGACGTTAGCGGATCGTTTTCACGCGTTGAATCACCGCGCTTCCCTTCTCTGTCTGCATGAACATGTTTTCTTCCATTTGGAGGTTTACCCATTTTTTGGTCAATGATTTATTTAAAATATATTTACGTATCAAGTTTGTAAATAAATAATGAATACTATATCATAATATACATGTCAGACTGACAAAATCTCTTTATCCTTGTATGTATCAATAATGAATAAAATTTTATACAGTTCGTTATCGTTTGTAAGATGTCGGTACAAGAAACCAATCGCTCTGATATGGTTATCTTATCAGACTACAGTATCATCTTTAGATTAACGTACTTGCCGAGCTTCACAATAGATAGATTAGCTTTAAAGATGTGAGATTTTTCTCATGTTTTGCGTATCATACGTCATGTACGTATGAACAAATGAGCCGCGTCACGACAAACCAACATAATGGGTTTGCGATCAGCATGGATCCAGACCAGCCTGCGCATCCGCGTAGTCAGATCAGGATCTCTGCTGTTCGCTTATAAAACCTATAACAAGTAGAGAAACTGATAGCGAACAGCATGGATCCTGATCAGACTGCGCGGATGCGCAGGCTGTTCTAGATCCATGCTGGTCGCAAACACATTATGTTGGTCTTGTCATAACACGGCTCAAATATTAAAACGTTTGATGTCCTTTATATTGTACTAGTCAAGTTAAACATTTATATTTCGTACAGTAAGCCTCCTTTAACTTGGATAAACAACTTTATATTGCAGCATAATACATGTATGTAAATACATGTGTATACTTGTAAAATGTAAATAAATATTAAACGCCGTTATCATCTATCGACCCATCATCCAGCAAATAACGGGACTGGGTTACTTAGTTTTAGATCGCATTGAATTTTTCAAAACAGGACATAAGTTTATCTTTTTTTTAACTCAGATTTTTAATCCATTTTGTTCCTATCTCGGCCGTTAGTCCACTTAACCACCTTTCCTGGATAACTAACCAGTAATTACCAATTTCTCCGAATGTGACAGATTAATTATCCGACAGAGATAAATGATCATTAGATCCAATGTCCAAAATCAGTTCCGCCTCATCCGAGGATCGAACCAGTAAACCCTAGGTTAAAATTTACATGTTCTCCCTATTGAGCTAAACGAGCGGACAAGAATAGGACAACTGGTGTATATTGACTAAAATGTATAATTCTAGGCAACTTTGTTGTTCGTCTTTACATATTTATTTAGCAACAAAAGGAAATCAGTTCTTTGAATTAACCGGTAAAGCATGGTTGATTTATGCAGTACGGCCAAAATATACGGTCCCTGGATTCAGAGGCAAATACCTCAATTGCCGCTTTGCACCCTCTTGTATATTAATTCAGTCAGGACTTTTACAATGGTCTTCACAGTTTCATTTTTGTCATATTAAAGTTGGGGAAATACCGGGTAGGCATAAATGAAATTCGCCGACTCTTGGGCAATGTATGTCTCAAATTATACTGCACAGAAGTATTTTGGTTGTGTTTCAAGGTAAAATATGTCTTTCCGGGTACATTGCAATGTTTGACTCTTTACAAAGGGAGGTAAACCTTACTTTTTCAAAATTATTTCTTGGTTGTGCCCCTTTAATCCTCTTATCTAATCTTTATTTTCCCAAATGAAATGAAATGGACTGATCACCACCTCAAATGCAACCTTCATAAAAGCAGGATTTCATATTGGCCAAGCTATGCTTTCAAAACGGTCTTTGAAGTTGGTTAATTTGAATTTATTATCTTATATCCATGAAGTTATTCTTTTCTCTTTACAGTACAATTTTGCATTTTTGTTAAGTTCAAGATTATCAAGGGGTTCTATCAACTTTTTACTCTGATGGCTAAGTAAGATTCTGGCAAAGAAAAAACATACAACAAACACAGTATTTTCATGTTTTGAAGGCATAGGATTTTTTTATTTACACATAAAACTTTTCACATAAAGATCATGATTTACAGTTTATAATTTTTGTTTTTTTATACTCACAGTATAAAAATTTGATAATGACTATGGGGCTAATATATAAGTCTCTCTCATAATGTGTTGAGCACTATGTACAATATCAAAAATGTAAAAACAAACAACATCAGTTCATCAAATCATATGACATGGTAGTTTTTTTCATATAATTATATAAGACAGATATGCTCCAGAAATTAGGATTATGTAAAACAACACCCCATCTCCTTCACCCCCCCCCCCAAACAAAGAACTATTACAATAATATTTTCATTTTTTTTTTCATTAACCATGTTTGCATAAATATGGTATCATTAAAGAGTTAGAAATTATTACTTTGTTTAACTGAAGTTTAACATATAATCTTACAAAGGGGTAGTTATAAATACTGAATTAAGTATAGGCAAGTTTGCTATAAGTAGAAAGAAATTATCTAAAACTCAATAAATATCAAATCTTTTTTTTATAAATTCAATATTAATTTACCATTAAGTTGGTAAGGTATTCTCTTGACTTTTTGGTGAAAGATTTTTGGACTACAGGGTGTTTTTTTTATGATTGGCGACCAAAAAAGGCAGAAGTACCAATTCATTTGGTAAAGTGAAAAATATCTTTAAAAAGAATTCTTTTCTTGTTCTTACTTAATTGCATAATTTGTATAGTTTCAAAACAGTAATCCTCCATTTTCCTTGAAAATACATCATAACATGAACTTATTATCTGTATTCACATGGAAGTCCAATAAATACGTTTTAAATAAAAACTGGCCAAGCATGACTTGCCAATAACAAAGAAAAAAAAATTACAAATGAAACCAGGTTTTACATAGCCTAACATGGAGCACAATTTTACACAACTTACAGACAAAAACAAACATATATATCAAAATAAATACAGTTCAGAGATAATAATAACAATATTACTTAACTATAGTAAAATATTCAAAGTCGCCTAACTATAGTAAAATATTCAGTCGCCTAACTATAGTAAAATATTCAAAGTCGTCCAACTATTTAATTATCTTTACTGCCAACAAAGTAATACTTATTGTTACAGGGAAGATAAAAAAACGCAAATATACTCAGCATGGCACAGTCTTTGCCTTATCATTTATAATCAAATCCCTGAATAAATCATGGTACAATTTCTTAACAAGTTTACAAGACATATTTCATTTAAACTACATGTAGTTCAAACAGAATTCATTGTACAGTATTGAATCATTCCCTTCTCTTCTGTTTTTTTGGGGGTTTTTTGGTACCTTCTTATCGCCCATAAGAAAATTAAAAAATCTGAGAAAATTACATAAGCCTAACCCCTTTCCGTAAATCTAAAAAGTTTCCACTATATGTAAGAAGTTGTTCAGTATTAAGTAACAAACAAATTTCTGTAAAAATATTAAACTTAATCAACTCTAACATGCTACCATAGAAGGAACATATATTTGTACGACCATTTATTAAACAATTTTTGTATATCATAATCTAAATCAAGGAAGCAAAAACAGGATACAATAGCAAGAAGATAGAAATAGATTCTGGAGGAGTTACACTGTTTGTTTTTTTTTTTGTTTATTCTAAGAGACATGTTTTCTTTTCTCCTATCAATACCATCTATTAACTTAACATGAAAAAGACAATAAACAAAATACATCTTAAGTTGACCATTGCACCAGTCCTGTTACTCTATTCATACACAGCCGAAAGTGCTTAAATTTTCTTTAGTAAGAATTCTATGTATACCTGTGGTAACTCCATACAGTTCCATTTAAATCACCAATAGTCAACCAAGCTGGGGAAAACAAACATATTTGTCCTAGAGAGACAAACTCAACACATAACACATCTTCAGCACAGCCTTGACAGTCTTACTTTATTTGCATGTAAAACTCAACAAAACCCACTAAAATAAAACCCGTCAATTTTATCATTTTGATCAAATATACATATATCAAATATTTAACATAAATAGTATATAATATATTGGAGAACGAATCAATGCACACTATATAGTTAACATTTAACAGAAAGCGAAAACATTTCCCCCCTTACCACACTATTTATATCTTGTAATAAATTAATTCTTCATTATATATAATACACCCATTTTGAGTATAACAAAAAAATAAATAACTTGAGCTATGTAATCATCAAATTTTGAGGTTTAAATATAAAGAAATTGGCTGTGTCCCATCACTCACTATACACAACTAAAACATTTAAAAGTGGTTTTTTTTTAAACATTTATAAATCATAAACAGGAATTCATTTTTGTTTGTACAAAAATATCAGGAAAGAAGAAAGTCGACTTAGAAAATTGTATACCATGATAAATACAAAGTCATGTGTCTAAAAATATGTCCAAAAATGATCAGATATGCCTGCATTATTAACTTATAAATCATTTATTATATAAAAAAATGTATCAATAATTTTTATCAAAATATAGACAAAGTATAAAGATTATCTCAACATAATCTTTCTAAAAAAATTGTTTTTTGTTATAAATAAAGTTAAGAAAAGGTAAATGTATTGCCTGTTAAGAATACCTAGCATTCTGTAAGATCATTTTACTCTATTAAGAAATAACTTACTTCTAAGATAATTAGTAATACTAATAGACAGCTTCTTTGTGTTCATAAATTGTCATAATAATCTATTGCAAATCAAAAGGTCCCACCAAAACCGGACTTGTAGAGGATAGATTTAAACTTGTAGATATTTTTGCATAAACCCTGCTGAACTAATGGACTTCACCTGCTTTGTATCTTTGAACTGTTCATTGGTAATTTGAAGGATTTCTATACTAAGAGGGCTGGATAATGGTCAGCCAATGGCATACAGGGGTGGCTGCATTGACAGCACATATATGCAGGCTGCTAGTTCTATAAACGATTTAGTCCTGCCATTATAGCCCGTAGCATTTAAAGTACCTATCAGAAAACAAAAATTTCAAATAGTTTGCTGAATTGAAATATTCAATAGCCAATAAAATAATGAATTTTAGAGGGAAAAAATCAGTTTCACCATTATTACAAAATGTGAGATCATGAAGTTTAACATGGTCAGTTGCAGTTAAAAATAAGTGTTTTTTTTTTTTTCAAGAATTTATGAGAGAAGAAGTTGTATGGCAAATTTCTGTTTTATCTTACTGATGAAGGCTTATAGCCGAGCCGAACATATGCAATAAATTATTGTTAATTATCGAATGTTCGTGTTTGTGTGGCTTGTTTGTTAATTTTGTTTTATCTTATGACAGAAATGTGTTCAAATTATCATGTCATGCTGTAAGTTAGAACGACAGCGACTCATCAGGTACAAATTCAAAAGCCATAAGAAGGAATCAGTGAAATCAAACCCTTTAACGGGTTTTAATTTTATAACTTACTGGGGGAACAAGGGTCATGAAATCATGTAACAGACAATTGTCTCAATATTTCCCCATAGTTGAGATGGTAAGTTTACAGGGTCAACATTAATATTGCACCAGTATAAAACGTATACAAATCCAACTATATCTGTATTTTCCCTAACATTTATTCAGTTACCTAAGCAAATATTAAAATATTGGCCTGCCAATGAACAAACAAACTGGTTAATGTATTAGTTTAACAGCATAACACAGAACGAGAGAAAAACCAAATAACAAACGGTTTTGTTTATAGCAAAAAAAACAAAAAAACAAAACACAATAACTTAACAATAGCTTGTGTTGAGAAAAATAACAACAAGGTTAAAAAGAGAGAGAAAAAAACAACATGCCCTTTTCAAATGTGGATAATTGGCCTGGATTTAATTGCCCTAGTTATCATGAACTAACTGTAATACATATATTTCTATGTTACACATCATCATTATGAAGAAAATATTATGTGAATAACCCCACTGAGAGCCCTTTTATTTTTGTAGAAATCAATTAACTTCTGTAACGATACTTGTTCAGACTGACAAAAAATAGTAAAGAAAAAATGTCAACTTTATTTCTAAATGTGTTCTGTGTAACATAAAATGAAATTCATACAGTATGTACCAAGTTGCTTCCCTTTAACATGTTTTTATTACTCTTAATGATCTCTTAAGTTACTTCCCTTTTAAATAATTCATATTACTGCCCAAACTTCTCAGTTGCCTCCCCTTAATATATTTACATGACTGACAGAGCTTACTGTTTAAACTACAAAAATATATTTCGTTATCTATAAATGATTTACATTAGAAGAGAAAATAAGCAGCCTTTAAATAAATAAATAAAAATATCAAATAAGCCGTGTCACGACAAAACCAACATAGTGCGTCTGCGACCAGCATGGATCCAGACCAGCCTGCACATCCGCACAGTCTAATCAGGATCTATGCTGTTTGCAATCAGTTTCTCTACTTGTTATAGAGTTTGTAAGCGAACAGCATGGATCCTGATCAGACTGCGCGGATGTGCAGGCTGGTCTGGATCCATGCTGGTTGCAAATGCATTACATTGGTTTTGTCGTGACGCCGCTCAAATAAGAATTTTAACACAAATCTCACTATTTCGTAACCCGTCCTTATGAAGTACAAATAAGAAGGTTAAATTAAAAGACTTGTATTAGAATTCTAATTATGAACATAAAGCCTTTTAGAAGTATTATACCAATGAGCAAATTTCACAGCCATTCATTATGTTTCAACCCATATTATAATAAATAAAATCTTTAACATTTTTCTTTATCCGAGGACTTGAAAAGAAACTGTCTCAGAAGAATAAATGAATATTTCAACAACAATAAAATCTACAGAAGACATGAAAAAAATCTATATAAAAGGATTTCTATTGTTTGTATGTCTTTTGTTTCTTTTTTTTCCTGATATTAAATAAAATATATTTAATTTTAACTAACATTTCAAGTTGCTTTTTTAAATTGCGACTAACTTTATATAAAACTTAATTTGACTAATAATATAAAATTTCTTTTCTAGTCCCTGAACATATACTGTAACTATAAATTAATTTCCAAATCCTAGAGCTTCATCCATTAGATCATCTTCAAGGACGTCTGGGGAGTTGGCATTTGAGCCGAGGCTTGAATCTTTGCCTGAAGGCGAACAAGGCGGTGATGTTTTCAGTTTGGACTTCATTCCGGGTGACTTTAGAAAGCTGGGAGAAGTTCTATTCTCTATGAAAGTATCCGATACTGGGTTACACTGCGGAGAGTTGGTTTTATTTTGCAGATGTCGAGGAGATGATGGAAAGTCAATGATAAGCCCGTTTTCAGGACTACTGGCAGGGCTTATCGGGTCAGATATTGTTTTAGATAATGAACTTTGGCGGAAATTTCTACGGCCACCTAGATTTTCAATATCTTCAGTGTTCTCCTGTGGTTTTGTAACAGGTGTTTTAAAAACATTATCTTTGGCTTTTGCATCATTCACAGGGAGATCTGATTGAGAATTGCTATAGGAATTATTCATAATATCATTAGACACATTTGCATGTTTAGTATGATGATCTTCTAGCTCACCATTCTGTTTATCAACACTATTAACAACTTCTACACCACCCTGTTTCACATTACACTTCTTATTCACTGGTGAATTCCTGTGAGGGCTCGATTTTTCTTTAGGCGAGTTTAATGGAATGATTTTCGGGGATGAATTTGAGGAAATGTTACCTTTTGATAATAAATGATCTTTTTTCCGTTCACTATTATTCACTTTTATTCCAGATTGTTTAGTACTTACATCATTTACATTATCAGGCTCATTTTCTAATGGAATACTAACAATTTCACGAACACTGTTTATCCGTGACTTAGGAGCACTATTAACACAATTTTCAGGTTCCGGACTTGCTGGTGCCTCAAATATCACAACTTTACTCCCTCCTTTCATTTCTAAACCAGGATTATCCATTTCAGGACTAGCAGGGGATTCGTTAACTATCACTTGATTTAGTTTTTGTGACGAAGAAGCACTGCCGATTGGGACTGTAGCCTTACATGTCAACTTATCAATTACTGCCGAGAGTGACCCTTTACGACCCCTAGCTGCCGCAGCAGCATTTGAATGATTATTTCCACTTTTCTCTACAGAATGTTGTCTTGATACAGGGGGTCCTGGTCCTTTTGGAGCATTTGGCACAGAAGAACTGCCTTTAGAGTTTGATATATTACTACTGTTGCTCACAGAAGAAGTTCGAGCTAAAGCACTGTCACTATTAGAATTGCCTCCTTTGCTACCACCACTATGTGAGGAGCTAGAGTTACCTCCCCTAAATCCACTTTGATTCGAGTTGTTTGAATTATTTGTTTTCTGGTGAGGACTAGCACTTGCTGTACTATTTGACCAGTTTGAATGAGAATTAGAATTATGCATGCCAGAATTTCTATTCTGCGGATTATTTCCTCCATTATAATTATTCCTATATCCACTATTCACATTATTTGCACCACTTTGATTATTGACCTTGTTATATGAACTGTTTGCTCCTTTCTCATGCTTATGAGAAGAATGTTGGGGTGAATTACTATTATTTCTATTTGAATTAGCAGTATTTGTGACCATCTGATTTTGAGGTCTTGAATTTGAGCTCGAACTACTTTTGTTATGTATGTAATTATTTTTCACATGGTTTGCACTTGATATGCTAGATTTGGAAGAAGTTGTTGTAGCACTGCTTGAGTTACTACCCTTGGACACACTTGTAACTGAATTACCTCCCTTTGAAAATTTGGAATTTGTTGTAGACGTTGAACTGTAGGTAGGCGCTGTGCTTGTAGACACAATTGGATTGTTTGTCGATGTAGGCGTGGACACTTTCTGACTTCCAGTAGTTGAACTTAGCTTTGGTATTGGTGGTAGTTTAGCGATTTTATTTGGGTTCAAAAATGAAAGAACAGAAGCCGCAGTTTCCTGTGTTATAACTGTTGTGGTAGGAACACTGGTTTTACTACTTGAGGTAGGCTTATCTCTATCACGTCCACTTGAACTCCGTGAACTCGACTTGGATTTTTCTTTATCTGAATGTGGTGAAGAAGTTCTTATTGAGGAAGAGGATATTGACTTTGACTTGTCCAACTTTAAAGCACTAGAACCTGAATTTAAATTTGAAGTACTTGAGCTGCGAACGTGGCTCGATTTATTACTTTGAGGAATGGGCGAATTTTTACCACTAGGTCCTTGAATTTGAAAGTTTTTCTGCATTCCACTGCTTGTTTTCGATGACGACCCTGATGAAGTTTTTGCTGATGGCCCTGAAGACTTACTTACAGAGCCCTGCGGACTTTTACTGTTAGTAGGGGTAAGCTGTTTTTGAGAGCCAGATGTGGCGAGAGAGACTGCACCAATTTTGCCAATAGTCGCTGAGGTAGGTGATTGAGTGATAGATTTTGGGGTTGTTGGTGTGCCAGGAGTTGGGGGATTCCTCGATACTGTTAATCCAGAACTGCTAGTTGGCACAACAATGGGTTTCAATTTTATAGTTGGAGTCCGTGCCATTTTAGAATCTGATTTAGAGGAAGAGCGCTGTGATTTATGAGATTTAACAGACTTAGAAGAACTGCTTGATCTTTTACTTGTACTGTCATGGGACACATTCTTTTCCCCTGGAATATTTGCACTATCATTTTTACTCATATTTTCCGACTTCATAGCATTTATTTTGTCAAAGATACCTTCATCAGAGGCTGAAGTTGCTTTAGTCACTGCACACAACTTATCTTTATCTCTTTGTTTTGAAACTTTGTCTTTTGAGCTTTTAATATCTTTCTCTGAAGCTTCCCTACTCAATGCTTTATCCATTTTTTCAATTTTAACTACAGGTTCTTTGCCTACTTTGTCTAATTTATCAGATTTTTGGACTGCCTTATCACCTTTACTTTCCAAAACAGAATTTTCCACAGACATTTTAAGACCTTTTTTCGTAATTTTTAATTTTGGAAGGTGGTCATTTTGACTGCTGACATTATCCACAGTTATTGACTTATAAACAGCCATTTCATTTTCAACAGAATATGAACTATTTGCCATCTTTTTCTTTTTACGTTCTTTCTTGCTCTCATCTTTGTCACGTTTTCTTTTCCCTGAATCAACAGATAATGTAATTTTTAACTCTTTCTCTCGCTGTTTCCGTTTAAATTTTTCACTTTTGTTAAATCTATTAAAACTTGCAAGGGTGCTTTTATTTGTGATTTGAAGTCTTGTAGGAGAAGCGGACACTACGGTCATTTTTTCGACCATTGGAAGAGAAAAATCCTCATCGTCACTGTGAAAGTCAAACGTACTCGAGCGTCTACTAGTATCACTATCAGCAGGCGATACATTGTCATACTGCCTCATGTTAGTCACTTTTATTTTCATTAAAGGGGGTTGAGAGCTCGTTGAACAGATTGAGTTCTCTTCCTTAAACCCCTCTCTTTCCTGAGTTATTGCACTTTGCTTCACGTCATTTTTCATGTCTAATTGAGCCTTCATCAGAGACAGACTAGGTTTACCACTCGACGTAACGTGTCCAACATGCAGGTTACTGATTCTAGACATGCTAATAGGTGTCTGAGATCCTAAAATCCCTGCTTTTGAATCACTTGGCTCAGATTTAGTAGAAACGTTTTGTAAGCTAGGAGATGTCACTGTTGCTATATGACTAGGAGACATCTGTGGATATATTCCTGGAGAAACAATGTAATTTGGTGATGGTATTTGAAACTGACCCGGCGATGCTTGTGGATGGTGACCCGGAGAGGTCATCAATGGTGAGAAAACGTCGGGACTAGCACAATCAACGCTGTTCCTACTGAGTGAATTCTGACGTTTGAAGCTTGGGCGACGTTGTGAGTTGCGTCGCTGGTGAGCCGAGTTTGGGCCTTCGATCTCTCTACCTCCTGGCCCTAAGAGCAGTTCCTCAAGAGAGGTAGAGGTTTTCTCGTTTTTTGGCATGGCTCCGTGGTGTGGTGAGTTGCGGGATGTTGGAGTTGGCGGGGTTTGTCTTGATGGCCACTGATTTGGTGGATGAAATTCACCACTTCCATCCCCCATGAACTGATTTGGGTTCTGGCCGTGGTGAAAATCCCCAGGATGCATGTCAAACATATCCAGCCCAAGGTGACTGTTCAATGGTTGACCCATACCAATCATAGCTCCACTACGGGGAGACTCTTTACCCATAATACTGTCTAAACTATTCTCCAATTTTTTCACATGTGATTCGCCAATATCGGTCAAATCTATAACGGAGCCAGTTGACTGGCCACCAACACTTCCTACACTACTAACACTAGATGGACGCGTTATTTCCTCATAAGATCCACCACTAGAATCAAGATCTATATGTTTTTCCCCCATTCCCTGCCCATGTCTTTCACTTCCAACTCTTTCATTGCAAGTCCGTTCTGCCATTTCAGAATCTGATATCCGATGTTTTGGACTTTTACCCGCAATGTCTTTGGACGATTTACGTTTAGTTAATCTTTTACGCGGATTTGGATTTGGGGCAGGGAATGGATTTGAAGCCACTGAAGTATTTTCCTCCAACAGTTTTGATAACATGGGACTTTCATTAACAACTGGCACAGGCGGCTGTTCAACAACTGGCGAGCCTGCGTCCAATAATGTTGCAAGAAGTGGGTTTGCCGCAGGACGCTGTTCCTGAAACTCTTCGGGAGTAGTCACAGGTGGTTCTGATATAGGTGTTTGACTAAACTGTATACTATATTTATGCATCTCTATCTGACCAGCCTGTGGAGTAGGTGTCCAATTTTCCACACTATGATATGGCGGAGGATTTTGAATGTTTGACACTAAGTTTTGTGTTGGCACTGAAGAAGTGTTACTAGTCATTGGTGATGACTTTTTCACAGGACTTGGTTTAGTCCATGTCCACCTTGATTTAACAAGAGGTTTCACAACAGGCTCTGGAGGAGCAAGCAGTTTTATCTGATCATTCACTTTCTTTATAACTGAACGTAGAGCCACAGGTATAGAAAAACTTCTGAAAACAAACAAAATAAAAACAAACGTTGAGATAAAATTATTATGTGTTCCATTTAAAATAGCAACAAAACATCAGATTGAATGAACAAGACAAAAAGATTGGCTAAAAAGCTAAAAAAAATTTTTTAAAAATCAAGAAAATATAAAGTTATATAATGCGTCTTTTGTATATATAACAATTTCTAATATTAAACTTACAAAAGTCATGAACTCATATTTTTATCTTTTTTAATTCTAACCAAAGATAATATTTTATGACAGTTGTTTAACGGACCCACAAATATAGATCATATCATTATTTATATAATTAATTTTCACATCAAACAGATGTTTTGTACAATACAGTAAATTACACAAGGACAACTGGTGATTGACAGAAAATTAATATGAAAAAACAAAACAAAAACAATAACAGAAACAACAACAACATTTGTTATTGAAATTGATATTCCTTCAGAATGTTGACCTTTTTTTATAGATTACTAATTTTTTTTAATTACTTAAAAAAAAAATAATTGTAAACTTGAATAGAGGCCCAAGGTTAAATAAATCATTCTTTTCTTAATTACTCGATTTTCTCAAAAAATTAACAACTTTCATCAAGATGATAATTGTTCAGGTAGATAAAAGTTCATTACCTCTGAAATGCTTTGGAGACGAAATCATCTGAACAGATGGTTTCATCTTTCATATTTGTATTAATATTGCAATGTACACTGGTTAGATCACTCAGGTCAAACTCAACTGAAAATAGGAAAGAAAATATATCTATATATTATATGTTATATGCTTGTCTTAAATTGTGGCAATCATTTGTTTGTTTGTTTGATTGGGTTTTCCGTCACACCTACACATTTCTTTAAGAATTTAGAGTTCTAGCAGTGTTAAATATCTATCTAGTATGAGCCAGCAGTATACAGCCTGCTGACATTGAATACTCTAATGTAGTGATGTCATTCATAATTAACAGTACATAAGCTCCACCTACTGCCAGCCTATCATTGCATGTGTGTAGTGTTACATGTATTATATAGTCTGAAGTTGTGGGACGATAAATGTAGAGCTTTTATTAAAAAGTATAAAACAATTCCTGTTGGATCTTGTATTTAACAATTCCTTAAGGATTTAATTAGCAGCTATATGCCATAGCTAATAAATCTAATAACCAAAGTTTTACATTGAAACACAAGGAAAATAAATGTGTAACAAAGGAATGAGATAGATTACCTGTGATCATGGAGTGATAAAGGGGATGTTCAAACATTAAACTGAGATACTGCAGAGACATGGCCGTCACCTCAAACACAACACCCTCTCTGTAATCTGAATATTGTATAATAATATTATTATCATATTATAAATCATTATCATTTTAACAAGAAAATTTGTTATACTGTACTGATATCCTCCACTGAGCAATAAAAATTAAACGATTAACGCTTTGTTTAAACTGAATTTAACTTTTTTGTGTAGGAAGCTAATAAACACTCGTGAATCAGTACCTGGAACCAACCAGTACTGAACAACAGCTTGTCCCTGGCAAAGTTTGGACCAACCCATCAACAGATCCTTAGATTACTAGTTTAAACAATTATTGCAATAATTCATTTGAGATATCATAACACCATGTTATGTGATTTATTAATTTATTCAAAGTTAAAGTATGGTGACGCATGCACATTTGTTAAAATCATCAAATTTATTTAATTCAATTAGACAAGTAATGAACACTTTTTATTTCATTCAAATGTCTCAGTCTGTAATAGAAAAGATTACCGAGGGCTGTAACTCTAAAATGCATTATCAGATTTCAATAGTATTTGATAAACATCATTTCCTTTGTATCATATTCATTCATGCAGAGTAACTCAGCAATCTAATTGTAAATTATTGCTTTACATCTACCTTTTATTTAAGGACCAAAGGGCTCTAACAGAAACTCTACAGGTAGATTTTGATGACAGTAGGTGACTTTCATTTCCATATTCATATATACAGTGCCATGATTAATTCTGATTGTTTTTATTTATTTTTTAAAATTAAAATCCCCTTTTCTTTTACCTTTATATCAAGCCTGTATTTCATTTAACCTACCTCTTTTAGAATTTGGTCTGATAAGGCTCTGTATGACTGAGTTAAACATAAGCTGTTGACGTAGAAGATTTAGCACTTTTGGAACACATGTAGGAAGAGTAAATGGTATTTTATTGACTAGAGCTCCCGGCTGTCCTAGACAACCATCCACACTCTTGTTGAAATAGTATACATGCTGCTGGTCAGGCAATGTCTGAAATAAACAATAAAGTAAATTCATCTTTTTTGTTCCTTTTTCTTTTATATCCTGGTCAGGCATTATGTTACAGTGGCAACATTAAAGCTACATGCCTCCAGATGAGTTAAAATATTTCAATAAAATCAAATTTGAGAAAGACGTAAGGAAAAGTAAAAGGTTTCAAGATTCAAATAATATTTTACATAATATGTGCGGTTAATGACAGATTTTTCAATATTTACAAGTATATTTCTAATGTGTTACTAACGCAGTAAAGGCTATTTATGCATATTTTGACCACATTTGGGTAATTTGCGTGGTTTGTAGTGCCAATGATAATGTGTAAATTGCTTCCTTTTGGTTAATTCACAATATCACACATTCAAATACATTTTCAAAATTTTGATGAAATTTAGCATGAATCTGGAGGCGTGCTGCTTTAAACATCATGTTGGATTTTTTTTCAGTGGTTCAGGAACACACTTTGTGGTGTCCCTCAATGTAATTTTTAAGACACAAGCAGGCATCAGTGTAGAACCACCAACCTTCTGTAAGCTAGCTGAATATTGTCAGTGCTCACATGAAAGAATCTGTGTGTTCTTGTACCAATTTTAACATAATTCTGGTCATATATCAGTGGTAGATCTGCCTGATCTGTTCAAATTAGCAATTTCTTCCCAAATGACCAAATGCTAATTTGCCCATGATTTTTCAATCAGAGGTGAGAAACAAATGACCATTAAATACAATGTCAGAAATACAATGTCCCTGGGAGGATCAATACCTACAATGGGTGAGTGAGAAGAAATAACAATTCAGTCCTCATTCTACCAGAACCATGTAGCAGTATCCTAATATAACATTATACTATCATACTAATTTCAACTCAAAACCAGAGTGATTTTCTTCACAAAGACAACGCTTGAAAATGTCACTACATGAATCTTTCTTCCTCCAGCATTCAAGGTGACTTACAAATTTACTATTATTCATACTCCAGGCATTGTTGTTTTTTTGTACAAATTCTATGTCACAGTAGCAAACAAAATTTCACTATTTCTGATCAGTAGCTTAAAATAATACAAGATTTTAATCATAAAATGAAATGTAATATTGCTATGTCAAATTTTATTATTACTATGTAAAAATGATAATATTAAGCATTTAACCAGTATAGAGCTAGGCTTGCCTCTACATTTCAATTCAGTCTAACCTTGCCAGCTGCTCCATTAATATTTCGCAAATGAACTCCCTTACACAGTGGTCAGTTCAAAATTAAAAGAAAGGTAAATCAGTAACAAATTATTCAGAGTGATATTTGTTAAAATTTACACTATATCAAAACCCACCACAAATAATTCATTTCCATTTGACATGCTTGCGTTGGAATTGTGTGAAAGGAGGACAGACAAGAATGACTGCTCTTCTCCGTGCATAACATCAATACCTGCAAAACAAAAATTAACATTTCAATGTCTTTTCTGTCCAATTTCTTTTTCAATTTCTCCCTTAGAAAGTACAAGTTTTAAACTAGATCTACATACAGTGTAAAATTAAGCCTCCACACAATCAATGATTATATATTTAGAAAATGTTATTATGGTAATTGTACTACAACTATAGTGCTGGTAGAGGTGGGGATTATAAGAAAATCTGGATGAAGACAATATGAGCTTGTAATCTACTGATGTATCAAGTGGCTGATGAGAAAAAATAGGCAGTAACTTAATGAGAAGTAGATACAATTCCAGTAAACCAGGAACACTTTCTCGTTTAGATTCTGAAACATTTTTACATACTGGCTCTTAACCCAAACAAACATTATAAAGTAAAAGCCCTAAACCTTGTGCATGACAATAACTTGCAGAAACATACAGGCAAGTGCTGTACTGAAGCCAGAGGCAGAAGTCAGGCAACAGTAGGCATATAACATCAGAACATGTACAATTTTTCTTTTTTGTTTAGGTTGGATTTTAAGGTCACAATGACACTGTAAAGGTTGTCATACGGTGACTTTCTCGCAATACTCTTGTTGAAAGATCCCAGGTGCCTCTCTATGCAGTATTTCAGACACAAGCATGCACCAGGGTAGAGCCACTAACTTTTTGTAAGCTGGATGGGACAATTTTCCCAGATAAATAATCTTAATGTCCATAGCAGGCTTTGAACCCAAAGCAGCCAGGAGCAAGTGATTTAAAATAAGCAACCTTTAAATAAGCAACCACAGAGGCCCATAGATATATGAACAAAGTAACTAATATAATGGCCCATAGATAATATGAATAATGTAACCAAAATAATCATGATAAGAAAGAAGGTAAACACTTACCAGTGATATCTTTTATGGCATAAATGACAGATTTAGCAACAGGTATAGGCTGTGGTAGAACGAGGACAAAACTTGCAGATAAACTATAACTGTTGATATTATTTACATTTTGAAATGAAGGTAGACTGAAAATAGAACAAATCACACTTATGTCAAATTCAATAACACAATTAATTAATTTAATTTGATATATAATTGATTAAGTTTCGTAAGTCATCAAAATTTAATTTTCACAAAGCATAGAAATAACAAAAGAAATTACTTTTAAAATGTCGACCTTTCCTTGTTATGTACCATTATCAGTGGAATTGTTGATGATCTTTTCATAGATAAATCATAAGCATTAAGAATTTCTTTTGTAAACTATTTACTTAAATCTACCATTAAATTGAAATGACATTTAGAACATTTAAAATTTTTCTTAAGGCATTATTTCAACCACATATTAAATTCTTAATTCATTGTCACATGATAACCATGACATTAAGACATCAAACAAGATTCTGTGTAGATGATTCCACACAGAATTAGTCACTAAGCTGAGATTTTTTAGTACTGGTGTACTTAATTAACTCTTTACCTTTTTCCATCTTGATTTTGTCGTACAGTCATTAATGGAATTGTTTGTAGTTTATTTACATGTGGGCAAGGCTCTAAACTGACCGTTACACTATGACCCAAACCGTTTTCTGTTATAGCTGAAAACATAGGTAACATTGGTTGAGTAATATGTACATGTAAATAATATGTGGGAAAAATTACAACTATTGGAAATTCAGTTATAAGATAAAACAAACAAAGTCACATCATTTTTTTTTAAAGATTTTAAAGTTGTTACTGTAAGGCTGTCATAGATGCCACTGTGTTCATTATTACTTCACTAACAAGAACCTGTCTACAAGCCAAGAACTCCTGTAACCTAGATGTATTAATACCTCCCATAAAAGAAGCAAACACACTTAATGGGATTCAAACTATGCCTCAGATCATCTTTATTTCACAAAACTTTTATATTTTCATTGTACCTGTATAATTTCCAAAAAGTTAATCTATGGATCTTTTTCCTTCTGTGGATTTTTGGCAATGCTTTTTGGCAATAAGTACAGTTATAGTATTTTAGTATTTTGTATGAAAGACAAAATACCACTTTGTCTTTAAAGACAATTACCGCTTCTTCCGTCAGGTGATAAACATTTAACATGTTATAAAACCATCATTTAAACATTATATTACTCATGTTTTACCTTTTTAAAAAAATAAATATTCATTCATTTTTGATGCATAATGAGTCTGTGTTAAAGTATTAAACGGTAAAAATAATCATTATCTATATAATATATAAAGTAAATTACCTTCAACAGTCATGGGATACGAGGACTTTGATTTCTTACACAGTAAATCATATGGCGAGACAAAGTAAATCAGCTTCATAGGGTGACCTGTATAAAACATACATGTTATAATTAAAAAAATAATATAAACATTGTAAGATCGGCAACATTTAGTAAGGCAGGAAATGTTCTTGTATGGTAATTAAAATATTATTTTTACACTAAATTATTGCTGACAAATGGAAAAAAATCTCACAAGTTTGGTAAAAGTGAACTCTTCCATTATAACCAAAAATAATGACAATATTGCAAACAAATTTTTAAGTCTTTACATAGGTCAATATCCTGTTGATAAGTTAGGTACTTGTAGAATTCAAGATACCTAGGTTTTTGAACATATATAAGATACAGTGCCCAATGACTGAATAAACAATTATCAAGGTATTGCAAGCAATACAAAAGTCTCCTACTGGTCAGAACCTCAGCAACATTTTGAAGGGCCATGGCCATTCAATTATGCCATTGTGGAAGACTTGTATGTACTAAAATCTTTTGAGTTCTTAGTTTGTCTGTATCATAGTAATGTGTAAACTTTCCCTGTCCAACAAAGAAATTATGTTTATACAATAGATAACAAAATGCCCAATTTTATAAAGATTAATTGATAACTAATGTTTAACTTTCCCTATTTTAAGTAAATTTGTTGGAAAAGTTACAAGTTCTTTAAAAGTGATATTGGGAAACAGTTTTAACTCTTGAAATAAAAATACTAGACTTTTTTTAACACTGTCATACATGATGTGAGTGATGACAAAGAATAATTATCCTAAGTCTAAAGTAGACACCTTATATAATAACAAAGAAGAAATGTGAAAAAATAACAATTTTCAAATATATACCATTTACAGTAAACAAAGAAGAAAACAAACAAAAATATAACAATTTACAAATAAATTCCAGGTTCAAAATGAAAATAACCATGGAAACCCAGGTGCTAGACTTATAAATCCTATCACATATGATGTAGGTGTTGGAAATTAACACATATTTGAAATTTGAAGTAAATCCATGAAGAAATAAGAAAGGTACAGAATAAATAAAGAAAATTCACAGTTTAAGGGAGAGATAATCGCTGAAATATGGACACTAGATTTATAAACCTTGTCATAATATTATGATGTGGCAGTTTGAAGAAAATCCTTTAAGAAATAAAGAAGTTTGAGTAAACAATAATTTATAATTATCAACTTCACAAAGTTTACACCTCTAGAAAGAAAAAAATCTAAAAATCTAAGTTCAAGGGGGACATAATTCTTGAAATATTTGAGCCTTCTCACACACAATTTAAGTGATAATAAGAAACATATACCTCAACAGTACTTATTGTGTTATCGCTGGATCCAGATTTGGTGGACGGATGGACAGACTGACAGAGGTTTAACCTAAACTCTGGTTAATCTGATAGTGGACAAATAAGCTAGCCTTTGTTAAAAGTTCTTACCATTTACAGATATTAATTAGTTACAATTAGTCAATATGAAATCTGCAACCTACCTCCTCTTCTAGGTAACAAAATCCCTAATGGAGACTTATGAATGTAATTTGCCACCCCGTTAATAGAACTGAAAATTAAATATACACTTCTGAAGAAATCTGGTAATAAAGTTAATCAGAAAATTAGTCTAGATCTACACAAACATTCAAACTTACTGTAAAATCAGATATTTTTGTTAGGTCAATATTTCACAAAATTGTCAAAGACTAATTAGCATCTTTTATTATTTACAAATTGCTACTTTCATTTCTGTGGAATTTATAAATACTAAGGATGCATTTATTTTCACTCTCGAAATTAAATACCTCATAAAAACTGCTGATTTAACAGTACAAAGAATAATCTTATCAACAAACTGCAAAGATAATTTATATAAACATATCTATAACCATTGGTTAAAAATCTTGGAAAAAATACCGTATAGCAAGATAGAATTGTTACCATCCAGCTCTGAGAAAAAATCCATATATTTGAAAAAAAATATGCCCCAGGTCTGAGCCCAGGTTTCAGGTTGGACCCCATGGACCTGACCATCAACTTGAGTAAGTTTTATCAACCATACATAATATCAAGTTGCATAAATGCCATAGCAAACCCACTGTCACACTATAACTATCTTATACTAGTTGCCAGACAAACTAGAATATCTGACAGTAACAAGGCTCTGTATTTATAGTGCATTTTAAAAACTGTCAACAACAACACTTTATTAATTCACAACTTGATTCATACCGGCAGAATGTCATCATCGTAGGTACCCAATTCAATCATTAAGGCCGTGGAATTATGTCTTTTTAAAAAATATGTCTACTCTTAAACCGGGGGTGTGCCATGACATTTTCCAACATTAGTGCAAATACTAGAAATTCCAGTATGCATGGAATTTTCATTATTACCTAATTTTCGTATTAGAAACAGTATGACCAATTAATTAAACACAAAGTCAAAACAGTGACCATAGTTCAAATCAAGTGAAATTTACTGATTTATTAGAAAGTTATGGATAAAAGATTGTTTACCTTGGCTCGTACAAAAAGTGTACAAAGTTTGTTTTAACATCATTTAAGCTCAAAAGTTCAGAAAGTTAATAATTCATATGAAAAAGTCTCCATTCCAGAACAAACCAATACTGGTGACATGAAAACAAACATGGCTACTACCCAAGTAGGGCTTGAATCCACAATCCCTGGGTTGAGAGGCACAGGCAGACACCTTAACCCTTTCCCTGCCAGAGGGTCCTTGTTTTATTGATCACCTATTTGCCAGAGGGATTTCTAGGAATTTACTATATTATTAATTAATATAACTATTATTATTTGTTATAAGTATTATAATAATTATATACATGTATGTTTTCAAATATGCTAGTATAATAATAATTATTGTTGATGGTATAATTTTCTTTATATTTATTATTATTTTTATTATTATTATTAATTTGTTATTATTATTATTATGATCATTATAGAAACGACAAAAGTCGTCCATATGGCAAATACGCCGAAAATAACAGGGACGGCATAAGCCGTCCCTATGGCAGTGAAAGGGTTAACCACTAGACTGCTACTGCCTGATACTAGTTCAAACATGATATTTCTGGTTCAAGAAATGAAGACAGAAAAACTGCAGACAGTCACTTACCTCTGTAATTGTGCAAGTTGATTGAGATCATGTTCTAGAGAAGACAAGGCCAGGTAACCTTTGTTTTTCTGCTTCCTATATACACAATATACAACAAAAGGAATGTCTAATAACATATCTCTCAAGTTACTCATCTCTCAAGTTACTCATCTGAGAAAAATAATATTCCATTTATATATATATGAAACATTTAAAGGTATAATTTCTTCTAATTGTATATTACTGTAAATAGAACAGAAACACTATTCTGGCTATTTCCAGAATAAACTGAAATCTTGAAGAACAAGAACTAGTTCAAGTCACATAACATTATTTATAACTTTGATCAATTGTATACACTTCACATTCAATACTTCATTGCGATAACTTATGTTATAATAAAGAAATCAGAAAACAAACCTGTCTCCTTGTATACTATAGATGGCAAGTAACCCTTGTAGATGACTCACAAACTCCTCAAAGTTACCCTTACTGTAAAATATAATTAAACAATCAGACATTTTTTACATATAATTTATTATTTTAAGTTCTGTTTGGTAAGTGTAAAATCACATTTATTCACTGAAATGTTCTGCTGGCTACCTTCTACAACTTAAAGTGTACATAAAAACAGGGCCGAGGGGGATTTAAACCCTGCAGCTGAAATGATTGAGCACAAGTGACTCAAAAAGCAGCTACAGGTGCTGTGACAAAACATGCAGAAACCCTGCAACAAATTTAATCTTGTTAAAATACATCAGCAATTTAGCTTTTACAAAAATAGAATTATCAGACTTTTCTGTATAATTAGTATATAACAATTAAAATTAAAAATATTTTAATTTTACACTCACCTTAGCACTTCCACCAAATCTTCACAACTCTGAAATTATACAAGATAAAGTATTGAAAATATTAATATGAAATTAAATACAAACTAATAAATAGAATATCTACAGATTTTCTTTGTTTATGGCCAATCTCTATACTTATGGCACATTTCTGTTGTAACTGGCATCACAGATTCAACAATTGATCAGCACTGGTACAAGTTGACCTCTGACACCTACCCGTATAACAATTACTCCACACATGAACAAACAACAGAATTGTTACTCTAAAACACAGCTTAACTATTATCATGCAGAAATTATATAAGGTCAAATGACTTTACATTGAATTTTGAAAAATCCATTTTTAACGCTGAAAGTTGAAATGCTCAGCTTTTGCCACCAGTATAGAGTTAGGCCAGTGCATACACAAGTGCTGTCCTAGTCTAAACAAAGGTCTTCACTCTAACAGTTAGAATATCAGGGGATTTCAATATCAAAATACAAAAGTAGCTGAGCTATGAACAGTATAGAGCCTGGTCCAGGGCTTCAATTAGTAGAAATTTGGGAGTTATTTACTCCTTTATTCTGGCTTAGGACAAAAAGTAATGCTGTCCTTTCTTTTTTATCTATATTATATAATGTCACAAATGTAACTTCCAATGAGAGATTTTGCAGTTTCTGACTTCCAAATTTTGGAACTTAATGGAAGCCCAGCTGGTCAGACTACACAGTTGTGTAAGATGGTCTAGTTTTATATACAGCTGGCTTGTCACTTTTTAGTTTTCCAGCAAAGTAAGGTTAAATTGTTGTTATTCAGAAGTGCTGTAAGAATTTTTTTTTAAGACAAAAATCATTCTTGGCAACAAAGCAAAGGTAAATTATACTAGAATACAGTGCATAAATTACAATAGTAACATTATTTTCCTGTGATTTCATTTACTCGACAAGCATATAAAGGATAAAGAAATTGTGTTCATTGAAAATATAAACACTTAATCTCCAGGACTCATTATTTTTTGTATTTCAAGTGTCCATTTTGAAGTACAAAAACTGTATCTATTGTAAGTGTATATTTCAAGAGTCTATTCCTGATTACAAAATTGTATTACAATCATGATTATAAATGCAACTGCCTACTTTACCATATATATATGTTGATGTGCCTCTTTTTAAAGGGATATTAAGATAGTAACCAAAAAATTCTCAAAACAAATTTGGCAATTCCAATTATTTGTTACTATGTACCATCAACCCAAACCAAGAAATTTCTAAAATCAATACATCACATAAAACAATTACAAATGCAGTTAACGAGATGTTTGAAATATGGAAATAATTTTTTTTCTTTTGATTTTTAAGAGTTTGAAGCATGTTCAACAATAAACATCGGACATATTTTGACGTATATTGATTTTCTCACTGGAGTAGATGACACAGCTGTCTGCATTGTTACGTAAAACACGTTATATTTGTGCAGCTTTAAATTTTCCTCAGCTGTGAAAGTTTGTATATTACATAAAACGTATGTTAAAACGGTTTTAAATTTTTCTATATATGCACAGTAGATGTTATATCAATTAGCACTCTGTTAACCTTTTATTTTAGGATCAAGACATAACTCCAGGGCTTTCTCTTATGCAGATTTTCTACTCCCAAGAGGCAGGCTATTTACAAAGACAAGAGTGCATCCCCAGGACCCCCCAAAACCTGTCCGCCATTTCAGAATTTCCATTCCTTTACAGCAATTTGAAACTTACATTTACATGTATATAAAATTTAATCTTCTGAGTTATTTGTGCATTCTTTCTATTTAAAATAGCCTGGTTGAAAGCTCTGCGTGTTATTTGTGAGATGGCTAGGGGAAAATCTGTAACTCAATTTTATGTACTAATACAAATTTTGCTCACCCATTGAAGTTTTTATTCCCCATATATATATATTTATATTTCCTTTATTTAAGGCTTTAGACATTGCCCTTTATATTTTGGTATAGCATTGAATGGCCATTGTATTTTGTTAAACAGGAGTGGTTTGGAAAAATAATTTTGATAAAGCATTGTATCTTTTTTTTAAGGACAAATTTATTTGGTACTTTATTGATTTTTTCTATGCCATAATATTTTGTACAATGTTTCTTGATATATCATCAAGTATTTATTGAGTTTTATTTGAAGTGCTGAGCAGTAGGAATATCTTGTCTAAATTAAGCTAATACTTAAAAATTAAAGAGGAAGTATTTAGATTCTTAAGGTCATAAAATAGAATTATTAATAAATAGAAAATAAAGCAATAAATGTTTTTTTCTAAAAATAAGGGATTTATATTTATTTAGTGGTATGAAAATAAACATTTTTCACATGTGGCAGTATTTAACACATACTTAACATAAAACTTTTGAATATTTTTTAAATTAATAGCTAATGACAAAACACTAATTAAATTTATAAGTTTTACTACTTTTGGCAACTTTGATAGGACTAAAAGATGTGCTATAATAGTTATTTATCTGAGAAATAAACTCACAAATTTAAAAAAGAATTAAGTTTTGTTATTTTTGGAGAAAGGAGGAGACGGAAATGGGGGGGGGGGGGGGGGGGTTAAGTCCCCATTTCAAGTCACACTAATACTATAAAGGCCATAATAATCTTTTCCAGCTTTACTGGTGAATGATGACTTTCATGTACACAAAGTCTAATCATCCTGATTATTACCCAGCATATCACTACATGTATACATATACATGTTTAATTTGAGAACACAAAGTGAGACATTTTCTAGCACCCCTGGGCTTTGACTTTAATTCACCATTTCAATACATTACCATACTATAAGTTCAAATCTATAAATAGTAAATGATTAAAAACAAGTCCCTGATGAATTCTGATGACAAACAAATTAAATCTTGTTCTATAAAGTGATAGCAGTCTATTTTAAACAATTTAGTTATATGAAACATCTGAGCATATTTTTCCCCCCCGATATATGCAGTGATTTTTTTTGCACAATATAAGGGCTGTATAAAGGCCTATATCCAATTGAAGAATTTGTCAGAATTCCTCATCTAATCATGAAAACTGACCCCAACTTACCACTTATAATAATCCTAAAATGTACAATTATAACTAACTAAAACAGATTACACATGTATATCATTTGTCATACTTACAACTGGAGTTTCTTGATGGCCAACCTTGACATCTCTGATGCCACTTTGACCTTCAAGCACTACAACGACCTTGAACATTTCCGAGCTCAGGACAAGCTGGTTATCAGAGTGCGATGGCGGTGTAAATATCATTCCAAGCTGCCGGGAAATCAGGTCAAGACGCTCGATCAGAGACTGTTGATTTGTGACTGTAAAAAAAAAAAAAAACAATAAATCATGCATATATTACCAATTATATGTCCAAATAAAATCCTTAAATTAACTCTTATTCTGCCAGAACTGAAATGCATAATCCTTAGTCACCAGTACATGACCAGGCTGGTCTGCATAGTCTGTGGTACCTCATTTTTTTTATTTATTTTCATACTGAAATCAAAGAAGGTCAAGTGATTAGTCTATAACAAAAAATTCATCAGGGAAAGGATAAACAAGAAAGAAACATTTTAAGTTATATATAATATACTTCCCTTATGCAGTAAACACTACTCAAAAATTTATTACATAACATGGGTATGATTTTAAGTAGTATAACCTTATAAAAAATTTACTTCCTTTTTTACCATACTAAATGTCTATTTTCCAATCAGTAACTGTAAGATGATTTAGCATTTTTTGGTTAAGATTACAAAATACTAAGTATTGATTGAATAGTGAACAGTGCAGACTGTAGACAATGATCAGACAGCATGGATCTACACTGGTTGCTTGATTATATATGTTGCTGCCAGCAGAGTAAAGGTTAACAGGTTATCATATTAATACGATATTTCACTAATCTCAAGCTATACTGCCCAAACAATTTCAAAAACTTAACTGCCAGTGTTTTCTTTCACTTTTGGGGCAAGGGCACAAGGAGATGAGAAAATTATGTTGCCAAAGAATCACAGCACACAGTTTTGTATCTTCCTAGGATTTATACACATGTTTGTATAACTTTTTTACACATAAACATAGGCAATAAACTAAATTCACACAAATCAAATCAAATCCAAACAGTTATAAGTCAGAAATGAAGAATCTTAAAAGTGATTTATGATACAATTATGATTATTTCACTTACTTTTCATAGCCCTGTGTAGCTTATCAAGACAATTCTGTATTGACGACTTCTCCAGAGCATCTGCCTGCAACCTCTTGTCCTGTAACAAAATCAGCCGTGTTAATATAATCATAAAATGAGCCGCGTCACGACAAAACCAACATAATGCGTGGCGACCAGCATGGATCCAGACCAGCCTGTGCATCCGCGCAGTCTGATCAGGATCCATGCTGTTCGCTATCAGTTTCTCTACTTGTAATAGAGTTTGTAAGCGAACAGCATGGATCCTGATCAGACTGTGCGGATGCGCAGGCTGGTCTGGATCCATGCTGGTCGTAAACCCATTATGCTGGTTGTCATGAGGCGGCTCAAATATTGAATATATCCTGTTTTTGCACAACAAATATCAACCTACAGTACACAATTATTGTACCTGGAAAGACACAACTTTACACAATACATTTACATAAAGCCTTATATTGTGATTCAATAAGAATTTCATATCTTGTCTGCAGTAGGCAAGTAATAATACCTGAAATTATTAAATTGGAATTACTAAATTATTGAATTTTCCTATCAATTTCATTTATAAAGTAATAAAATAGGTAATAAAGATTTTCCATTCACATTTTAACTTACTTCATTGATTCCAATCAAATTCCAAGACATTTAAAGGGACTCACACACAGTTCTGAGAAAAATCCCTAGTTAATCCAACAGATATGTTTAATATTAATAATAATGGCAGGCATAATTAAGGCATATGATTTTTGTTCAAGATGTCCCTATAAAGTTAATGCAAAATCTAAGCTGTATGTGGATAATCCTTCCAAACACTTTATCAAATATAGTATATATTATATTCTTTTTTTAATTTCTAAATACAAAAAAGAATAGAGGTTACTAACTCAGTATGAAATGAATATTATATTCCATGACAAACTGTGTGAACCATGCACTTATTTCTCTGTAGTTTAAATGATTTATATTTTATATTTCAATATTGACTGTATCAAAATTCTAACAAAAAGTCAATATCAATAAATGTGGGTCATTATTGATCAAAAGCTCAAATTTCTAATTATTTTTCAATAATGACATTAATATTATCTAAATTTTGTTGATATCTAATATTATCAAGAAAATACTATAAATTTCTTCTATTCAGCTGCATTATTTATGTCTAAACCAAGCATGATTTTATATCATTATTAAGGGAGCTCCACTGAGGGACAAAATTTGAAATTCTTACATAGATCAAGTGAGCACTTAAAATTGAAAAATCTGAAATGTATAATATTAAGAAATATACTCAGAACTAAATTGAATATTTTATGTGCGATTTTTAGCCCCATTTGTAATACAATAGGAATACCTCTGAACATCTGAAATACTTAGATACTCCAGGAATATCAGAAATACTGAAAAATTACTGAATGGCCTGAGACAAACAATTAATATTTAACCTTTGGTTTTACTTAATTATGTTGGACATGCCACAGTCACTATTTAGGAGATGTTATAAAATATTGCCTCAATCTTGCACTTAATCAAAATCAAAACAGGTATATCATTTTTTATATATGAAATTAATACAAAAATAAATTACAACAAAAGAACACATAAATCTAAACTAACCTAAAGAATGGATAATGAGCCAAAAGAGAAGCTGTCACATCAAAGAAAATATATATAACTTTTTGATATTTTTCATGCTTACATCATGCGAGGGCATCCATATATTTACAAGACTGTATTTAAGTCTGTATGTAACCTAGGTTACTAGGAAATTCTTAAATTAAGGTTTCCGAACATTGTCATGTATGGTCATAATATAATGACTTGCATTTCTACAATTTTTGATGTCTTTTCTGGTAGTTACATAATGCCATATCTTAATTCTAATATATATTCAATATTATTATAATTATCAACATGTTTTGCTGAGAAACACAACTATATAACTGATTTTACACACTTTTAGTAATGGGTCCAGGTTTCCTGAAGTGGGATTTTTTTTAAGTCCTATTTTGTAAATTGTGAATAAAATGAATTTTGACCAAAGACAAATTTTGTATAAATATTGACAAAAATTGCAAAAAAAAAGGTTATTTTATTTCTGGAAATCTAGATTGTGTGTCTTTTTATAACCAATCTAACTTATTTCTTTTGACTGTTTTAACCCAGTATCCTAATCAAAATTGACCTCTAATCTTAACTTTCTTTTATTCTTTAATTTTTTCACTTGTTGGTTGTCAATTATAAAAATTCAGACACTGCAGTGTTATAAAATAAAATATAATTTTTTCAATAATGCAAGGTTCTCACTTTCTTTGATTACTATGAAATTACAATGTATCTTATAACAATGAAATACTGAGATTCTGGCCGATTTGAATAACTGGTAATAACTATGTGGATGCTGTAGGTGCTTTCAAATGGAAAGTGTTAATTTGACACAAGAGCTTCATTTTCAGTTTTAAACCTTGCTTTAGCTAAAAAGGGACTGTCTTTGAACAAACTGTTATAACAACTAGCAATATCATTATTCATAAGTTGCTAGCATTATTGTTTATCAATTTATCCATTTTTTCTACTTATTTTTTTCCTTATAATTCTATACACTTGTAAAGCAAAGATTGCGAAAAAGGGGTTGGCAAGAACAGTAGAATGGGTGATGCAAAACAGAACTTTTTTTGCCTTATGGAGCAAACTGGCTTGTATTGAGAGACAACCAAATTATTTTCTGTCTTTACATTAACACAGGCATGTACATCTTAAGTTATTATTTCACTTACGTTTGCAATAGCCATACGGATTGCCTTCACACTGTCTGTCCAAGACTTGTGCTGACCACAACGACTTCGCAGACGCTCCATAAGGCCAGAACGAGGTTTACTTTTCTCCAGAACCTTGTCTGAAAGAGTAAAAAAACAACAATAACAAAACATCAATTATATTTCTACACCTAATAGTAAAGGCAAAAGTTACAAACCGGCTTCAACATTATCATATGGACCAAACTACTGCAAGTTTTATTCCGATTTTCAAATACAAATGTACCTGCAAAGTCCAAAAAGTATTTTCATTTTAACATATTCATTTAATAGAGCCTGACTTCAGATGCTGCATTCTTCTTATTTAAAAACTTGCATTTAACAAAAATTATCATACAGTCAGTCTATCCAATCTTGATCTATCTGCTTCTTTTTGAAGCACAAAAATGACAAAATATCCCAAAATCCTCTACACTGATCCATGCTATAGCCAATGTATTCCCAAACATACAAAACAAACTTCCTCAAAAAGTAATTTTTTAATGCAAAGAGAAAATATTGCTTATAACATTTAACCATTTTTTCATGCTGTCCTATAAAAGTACCCTACATATTAAATTATATATGCAGCCCTACCTTATTTTTAAGCAGATGAATGGAAGGTATTCCATGCAATATATTATATGTTAACAAGATGCAGATATTATTTCTATTATCATGCTATTGTTAATTTCTTAGTACTTCAAACTTTTACTGGTCTATTAACAGAAAAGGTGAGAGTTTCAATGAAGTATTTATTGAAACTTAACACAACAATGCTGTAAGTATAATAGTGAACCCACCACAAGCATCATTTGAGAAGCTCTGTAACAAATATTGACCAAAATAATGGACATTCATAACATAAAAATGCCTATCAATTGAAATGGTAAAAACGGCGAAAATTTAAGCAGTTACTCTTGTTACACAAGTGATAAGACGGTAAAAATGTCAAGTTTTTTTTCCACCCTCGAAATATGCCGTATTGGGAAACTGACTGCCATGTATTGATTATAACTAATGAACATTCGTGGTCTAATTAGTTGTAGGAGCGTGGAGGCTAGCATACTGGAGGAGTAAAGGAGACAACATACGAGACACAACTAGAGTATTGGATTTTTCGCTTCATGAATGAAACACAAGCAGCCAAAAGCTTTATAAACAAACCACAGCTTTTTTCTTCTTCTTCTGACCTAGATAATGTCCACTATTACACATAGAGAAAATAAGATTACGGCTATTAAACAATAATGTTAACACTCTAACATGTTGAAATTTGTGAAATGGATTTGCCTTGGTTTAAATTTGGAACAGTTCATTTGAAGATTAAGAAATTTCAATACCAATGCACTAAACAAATAGAATACAAATGGTACAGATCCTAGTCATGCTGGCTGATCTTGAATTCTACAAGTGGCAAAGGTTAAAAACTTTGGGTTCCAGCAGCTTAAGGGCTAGGGTAACATTTTTCTCATGTAATTCTCTGCCTATATCAAAGTACATGTATACTCTTACATTATATGAATATTTTATGGCACAAAGTAAGTATCAGAATCAAATTTTATTTTCCAGAATAAAATAAATAAAATTGTTTCCTTTAATATTTCCTTCCAAAGGCAAGTCTGTAATAAAAATAACTCAAAACTCACTAAACATACATTTAAGATTAATCTATAACTAAACTAAAATGTAACAGTAAGATCATTATTTTAAAAATCAGAACCAAATCATTGGACTATATACGCTCACTCCAGGATGACCCATCTGAAATACATCCTGACCACATGACATATCTGTATGATCTTGACACTGTGTATTCACTATTGTATATTTTGTACATTATACTTACAAATGTATATATTATATTAAACTAATGATTTTTATTTTTTGTGACTTTTTGAGAAATTGTAATACATCTAACATGTACAATTTTGGCCATTGCTTTAAAAAAATACCTCTCTAAAGAAATAATAACATAAAATTTAGACAATGCCTTTTACTGATTTTGTTAGTATAATTATGATGATAAACATTATACATTATCTGAAATTCTTTCCGATGAAATTATGCAAATGGGTTCTGCTTTAATGTTCGAACAGTCCATAGTAAATTTCAATATCAAAAATGCTTCAAACTGTTAAGTCATAACATGTAGTTAGAAGGTCATTTCTTTCAGAATTAACACACTATGAATTCTTTCCAAATTAAATATTCCAAAACTTAAAACAGAAATATTAACACTTATCTCCCTACAAATCAGTCCATGTTGCATTGACCTTTTAAAACCACTATTAATGAGTTATTTCACAGCAGCTATAATGAATATAATTAATTATATGCAATATTGTCAATCAATATTACTTTTTTTTATCTCTCTCAGTCACTTGATGTAACAGACTTTTTGGAATGGTTGGTTTATACAGAATCTAGTTTTGTTTGATTGTGCTAAGGAAGCTATAAGCTTATACTCTCAAATCCTTTCCTAGAACCGGGTCAACCAGTCTTGAGCAATGAGTGTAAAGTTTCTTGCTCAAGAAAAAAAAAAACCCGGCCCCTGAGGGAAGATTCAAACCTACATGGCTAGTGATCCTTAGCCGCATTAATCTGGAATGGTTCTTGTGTAATGTATAAATAGAACCTCGAAAAAAATTTTTTTCCCTCAGAGTATTAATAATACATTAAACTTTTTAGGGTAATTCCAATTATTAGATCTGATATCAAATAAACTCGTATCATTTTTCCTGTTTGATGACATGTGAAGCGCAATAACGGACACTAATAAATATTTCTAATCATCACCACTTCAACAAACAAAATTTATACTTGCCCCAACATTTTGTGTACATAATCCTCTATCATATCAACTTCTCAACAAATTGGGCACATGAATTAAACTGATTCAAAAGGCATCCATAAGCACTTTTTCATATATATTTTTTCTAAATCAGATTAAATAAAAATAAAATACCACCATTACTTAACTTATTTTCTAAATATTTGCCATTAAGTTGTACAATATATTAAAAATAACATTTACAGGCATTATCAACTATATTCTATCAATCTTGTGACATATGGCAGTGTGTTTCATTACAGAGCTTTATTTAATTGTACATGTAAAATAAAATAAAAGTGTCATAGAAAATCAATTATACAATATATACAATATAATGTAGACTTCACTTCAGTGTTGTTATATTTTTCTGGTCCTTCGGGATCAGTGATTCCAGCACTTGTTGAAAATTAAGTACTCCAGCCAGTGCTAGTGGCTGTCGCACGTTTTCATTATCCCTCATGTACAGACTAAATCAAACAGACTCGGCAATTTTCATGTAATTTTGCTGATTTTAATGCTTTGGAGGGATCATAAAAGGTACTTTCATTATGGCTTCATTTCGACCTTAATTTGGTACATGTACATGTATTTCACAGTATGATATTAAGATATTTTTATAGTAGTTATCCCTTTTGATATATTTTATCAATCTTTACTTTTTGAATCTATAATTTTTAACTATCAACTTTTTTCCTGTTTGATAAAGCAAATAATGTAAAAGTCATTCTTAAAATGCATTTGAGCCTTGCCATGACAAAACCAACATAATGGGTTTGCGACCAGCATGGATCCAGACCAGCCTGCGCATCCACTCAGTCTGATCAGGATCCATGCTGTTTGCTTACAAACCTAATTACAAGTAAACTGATAGGGAACAGCATGGATCCTGATCAGACTGCGCAGGCTGGTCTAGATCCATGCTGGTTGCAAACCCATTATGTTGGTTTTGTCGTGACGCGGCTCATTTTTATCTTTCATTTTATGATTTACAATGTTTTTTAAGCACTTCTTTAATTTCTTTTAGTATTAGAACAATAAGAATAGAATCAAATTCATTATTTGCAATATTATTGTTCTAGTTATTTCAACTTTAGGTTTGCAATAGAAATGTCACCTTAATTAAGTGTTAACACCTGTTTTTACATAACATAAAAATAATAAAAACACATTTATAAATTTTCAAAGGCAACCAATAATTGAACACATTTTACTAAATTTATTATATAAGAATAGTAAAAATCTATAGAACCAAAAAGTGAAGGTTAATTCCATTAATAAAACATATTATTCAAAGTCTAGATTGCTTAAAATATTCTTTCAAAATAATTTTGCAAATATTCATTTTGGATCCACAGAGTGGCATTTGCATGTTGGTCCCTGTGGTGCTTAGAGGTGACCCCCAAATTAGTTTATGTTTGCTGCACACAATATTAGTGATAAAGATTTGAAACTTAGAATATTAATGTTGATTGGTAATCCACGATTATAAATGGCAATCATTTAAAGAGATATGCTTTTAGATATTGACCAACATTAAAATGGACATGTCTGTCAAATACATGTAAACTGTGTCTTCAATAGGTTACATCAACCACAGTAAATTCTACCATAAATTACAAATTTGAAATTTTTGTTTTACAATATTCCTGATAAATAGCTGATGAACAACAAGTTACAATCTTAAAATATTAGATATATTTAATTTAATACATTTAAAATCTGACAGCAAGAACTAAAATTGTAATGTGTCAATATATTCAACATATTTTCATTTGTCACAGAATTTCACAATGCTGCTTTTTATGCTTAAAAGAAGTCATCAAAAGGAGGCTATGTTTTGTAAAATGGTGAGCTCGAAAAGCTGGCTCCCGAAGGGCCTGCTCGCAAACGAGCAATATGGCAATGCAAGTACCTGCTAAAGTGATGGGTTTGAAAACTTTCGCCAGAGGTACAGCAAAATTATGAGTGATAAGTTTGTCTGCTCTTTATCAGAGGTGATTAAGGTTCCATGTCCAATTATGTTTGGAGCACATTCAGGTCCCCTTGCCAATTATCGTTAATCCAAACACGAAGTTTCGCGAACTTTCGCCAAGTTACGGGTTTTTGAAATGGGACTATTACCGCGATCACAATTGTTTGATGGATATCATAAGTCATAAAGTATGTACAATTTCGACTCAATTATATAGTACATTATTTTGATAAATTACAGTCAAAATAATCAAATTTATATGCATTTTATCCATAAATTAAAGAAAAAATAGAAATAGATGACAGGGTGTTCACTTGCCATGAAATCCTAAGGGTTATTTTGACTAAGTTTTACTGACTTCAAGGTAAAATCCCCATGATTTTAACAAAATTTGACCCTCCAGTTAAAATCCTGAGGGTCAAATCAGGCCTTTTGAAAATTTGAAGGGTCAAAGAGTCATTTCAAGGGTCAAACGGACACCCTAAGACACTAAATTGATATCAATATCAACTTCTGGTAGTTTCACGTTTTGCAATTCCTTTACCCCCATGGAATAATAAATACCGAAATTGGATTTCAAGTGAATTGCTGTTCTCTGACTGGAGGGTTCACTATTTAGATACCATATAAAACATGAAATGGCCGTATTATGAACCTTAAAATGTGTGTGATATTGTTGAGTGTAAGTATACAGTTAAAGATTAAAGTATATTGTAATTATAAAATGTATGGTAAAAAGTGAGCAGTCACCGATGTGTTCATAGTCATAATATATGTAATAGTGAAATGTATTTTGAACTGATATAAATTTCTCTAGAAGAGCTCACTTTGAGACTTAGCCTTATTCATATCAACACTTAAAATGTAGTTTACGAGTAAATATTAATTAGGGTATTGTTAAATGTAAGTGGAGATGGAGATATTTGTCAGTATGTGTTGATCGAATATTTTCTTAAAGGAGTGTGTGGAGTGGGAAATCTTTCCCATGTGGATTAAACCATAAAGAAAACAGCATAATTTGTCAGAGGCTGCAAGGTTTTAAAAATTATTCTTCAAATCTTAATATAATCACTTCTTTACAATAGTGTTTCCCATTTCGCACATGTTACAGAAAAGACGGCTTTATATATAAAGTCACAATCACTTTTGATAGGTTACAATATCTGTAGGAGATATACAGTATATTAAACTGTTAAGAGTTCTTTATTCTGAAATATGATTTCTCTGCGAGTTAAATCTTTTATTTAATCATAGTGTAACATTTTAATAAATTCTTGATTTTTTTCACATTACAATAAAGAATGTACATGTTGTTCATATAAACAAATATATGTAAAAGATTATCATTAAATACTAATAATAATAATATAAAACATATATTTTTTGATACATTAACATTATGATCAACACTTTTTAACAGCCATTATTACTTTTTAAGCTTATTTCATGTTCATGTTTTCTGGTAAATAGCTTGTAGCTATTATAATGTTTATTTGTTATATATAAACCAATATTAAAATGATTAAATAAAGTTTCTTGTACAGATCTTGTTTGTTTATAAATGTTTGAAACTTAACCCAAATTATTGTTGACAGTCACTAATTCATGACCAAAGCGTTTAACAGCTCATTTGTTTTATATAAATGATTAATTAAATATACAAATGACATTGTAACAAGTTTGGTCTACCAACTTTCTATAATTCATAAATAAACTGATAGAAACAGAAACAACCATGTAAACAAACTATAACAGAAAATGAAATCAATTTCATCTTGACATATAGATATATGCATCACATTTAGTGAAACCCTTTCTGGAAGCACTCTCACTGATGTCACATTCTTAATAAAGCTTCCCAGAAATTAATATCGATTGCAAAATTGTGTCAAAAAAGTGACCTAGTAAAGCGATGTTCATTTCTGGACACTGCATCAAGTTCGGGCATTTCAAGATAAGGTTAATACTATTGAAAGTCATAATATTTGAGAAATATGCGAAACAGTTTGACGAACCGGAACATAAATCGGGTTAGTACAATTACCTGGAGGAAAGGCCTCCGTTTCTAAGATTTCTGGGGAAAGCCCCATTTCGGCAGCCATCTTTGATCTCACATCAGCAAGCGGCCTCTAGTGTCAGTCCAAAATTTGCAGAAATTCTACACATTATGGACACATTTTGCACTTAATTAGCTCAGATATTAATCACATTACATGTCTGATTATTGGTACATTTAAGAAAATGCAACCTCTAAGATATATCCATTGAAATAGGGTACGGAAAAACACTGCCCGTCAAAATGAAAACAAGTACCGATCAGCACAAATTGCTTTTATTGGTCAATTTAGATTTTACGTCACTTCCGATATGTTAATAAAATGCTTTTTAGACGAATTTTTTATTTTTCATCATAACATTATCCTAAAATTTATAAGAAAAAAGTGTTGGCTAGTCTGAAACAAAATCGTTTAAAGAGGATGTTTTATATATAAATATTTAATTGAAAAAAAAAATGAATGTAATTAATGTTTTACCGTTTACAAGTGCTCATGCAGAAAACAATCATATAAATCAGATAAATTAATCAATCAAAATATAACATATTTATGAGGTTTAAAAACTTTACTGAAAATCGTAATAAAATTATTGTTTTATTTGCATGGTATAAAAAACCCTAACATTTTGAATGGTTCCAAGTGGGTTTCAATGTCTTATATATACATGTACATGTACTGTATTATATTAGCGTTTTCAACGAACTTGGGGAAACTTACAACAATATTTCCTTACAAAATGACCAATTGACTATAAATATGAAGAATATAGCTAGGTGTGTATACATGCAATTATTATTACGCTTCATAATAAAAAAAAAAACAAATTACCAGAGAACAGAAAAAAATATACAGCCACAGATAAATATTTAGCTCCATATGATACAGCGTAATAAATTTCCTCCAAATTCAACGAACGACGTACAGATGTAAAATTTTATTTGAGGTGGTTGGTACGTTATATTACTACAAAATATTGCACAAGTTAACTTTTAAAATAGTTCTATCTCTTATAACCGTATTGAGGTTAACAATTAGTTTATTTGGGTTTGAAGTAAACTTTTTTTGTAATTTATAAAATTTTCCTCTTTTATTGTTGAAAGTGATCATAAGAAATAATATTAAATTAAAAAAAATCAATAATTTTAAAAGTGAAATTCATTCCTAGTTCCATGTGCAGTATGTAAAGATTGCAAGTTCTCAACTCACGTCTAGATATTGAAGCAACTGTTTGGCTAGATCAGAGACATATAGTATTTTAACGTCTCTTGCTAGATTAATTTGTAAAGTACATCTCATCTTTATAATTCTATAAACACATTATATACATTCGTTTATGTGAATTTATAAATTATTGACCTCGCTTTGCCAGTTTTGAATGTATTTGTCTTGATTTAAATCTATGGTTCCATGGCATCTGCTAGAAAATGTTTAGGGATTATTTACAATATTAGATTCTATATTCATAATATTGTTTTGAAACAAATAATTTGATAAACCTAGAGAATCAAAATAATTACAAACTTCTTTTAACCAAAATTGAAAAGAGCATATAAATATAGTTTATAAAGGCAGTGCTATATAGAATATGGTTAATTTTATCTGTTTAACAATATAAAATGTGCACATAGCTTTATCACGAACAAGCAAGGGAAATAAATGCTGTATACATGCATGTTTTTCTTTAAATAGATTATATTCATCGTTTTGTTCCAACTAATATATCACAGCAATGTATTTACAACTAATCAGATTTACCAGATTCCATACATGTTTAGAAAAAATGGAATCAAAATAAATCTAGTCCTAAATGTATTTATTTATTTCAAACCGTTCTGTACACATAGGACAATATACTTTTTCAATGTGTAAAAGTTGCTTCCCTTTTATTAATATTATTACTTCCGGTTTGAAAGCAAGTTCTTAATATTGAACATTTGACTTTTTTTACTTTAGTAATGGACATCAAACAGAGACAGGTACATTTTTTTTAAATGTATACATAAAAGATTTTAAGTTGAACTCCATTTGTGACATAGCTTTAGGTGAGACTGTGCTATTGATTTTCGCGTTGACTTTCATTTTTTAATTTTTTATTGCCAACGATGTAATTTTTTGTCTGCTACTGAGTATTGGCGACATATAGGGTCCACTTCTGTGTCCGTCCGGCAGACACAAAACTTGCCCAGACTACCCAAATATATACACATATATAGTGTATTATTATAGACGTTGAAATATGATTTTTTTTTCTTCAAAACCATGGAGTTGAATAGACTGTATGTATATCTGTGTTCAAAACAGATATAGATTTTTTTTTTATATACTCAACATCACTAATTCCGCGTCATCACTTATCTCGCGGTAATGGCATATTTTCATGTGACCAGTGTTAAAATTGGTCAAAATTGACATATTTTATTCAAACACCTTAACAACAAAGTTTTTGTGAAAAATAATTTAAATCTAAAGATTTTTACGTAAAACTGAGCAACATTTTACAAACTTCTGCAAAAAACAATCATAGTCCATTAAATTTGTGCTTACGCCTGAAACAATCATCATTTTCTTAATGTTCTTGTTTGTTGAAAAAATAAATTTTGAGTTACAATGTAAAGATACTGTTAATATTTAAAATTATGCAAAATAACATAAAGAAATTTTAACTGAAACATGAAAAAACTGAAATAAAACACCATTACCGCGAGTTAAATGATGACAAAATGTTTTCAAAATGGCCGACACACGGTCTACATCTGACAAATTAAAACTTATTTTGATTGAATATATTGTTGTTTCCTTGTGTCATATAGCAGAAAAATGACTAAATGATACAGTTTATGACAGTTTTTGTAGTGTAAGTTTATTGTTTGTGTTCTTTACTGTTTTAAAGTGTTAAGTATCGTGAACTAAGAGGAGCACAGTATAAATGTGATCAGTACATGTGTTTGGATTGACTAATATACATTTTATTTGTGCTTTTGAGTTCCACACTCCAAGTATCTGTGAATATATATATATACACAATTATATATTTTTTGTATCAATCAATCAATCAACCCAAAACTACTGGTCCAATTTCATCATTATAAACTTTACATGAATGATCACCACCTAGTCTAGTTGTGCATACAATTTATATCGTCGGCATTTTCTAGTTTAATGATTTTGGTCAGAGTTATAGGCCTTTAATGATTTTGATTTTTAAAGCTTGTCTGGACTTCTAAGTATACATGTGAACTCTCCCACTTTCAGCTGGAGACTCCCACTTTCTGCAGCCATATTTTCAAAGATTTTTCATAAAATAAGGGGTATTTTCACAAATTAAAGAAATCTCCCTCTTTTTTGATGTGAGAACTATCCTCTTTGTTATTGCAAATTCTAAAATCTCCCTCTTTTTGTAGAAAAATCTCCCACTTGATCATTGAAAAAGTTCACATGTATGCTTCTTCTCTAAAACCACGAATGCGATTTGAATGAAACTTAAAAATATTGATCATTGCCTCAAATACTTGGGCATATTACACATATTTTCCGGTTGAGTGATTTTTTGGGTGAGTTATGGCCCTTGAATGAAAAAGACATTTTTTGACTAATTATGATTTTTGTGTTTACTGCTACACAATAGATGATACATGCTACAAAGTACAGTAGCAACTACTTAAATAGATCACTTCTCTGTTATCTGTCTGTCCATCCATCTGTCTGTAAGAAAACTTGTCCCGACTACTACTTTATAACTACTAGTGCAATTTCATCCAAACTTAACAGGAATGATCAGTACCAAGTTTAGTTGTGCATATCACAGCATTTTCCATTTCAATATTTTTTTTAAGAGTTATGGCACTTTTATTATTTTTATGTTTTAAAGTTTGTCTGGACTACTTCTCTTAACCTACAAAATTAAATGCAATTTAATTTAAAACTTAACAGGATTGATTGGTAGTAAGCTTTAAGTACTAATTCATATTTAACAGCTGCTTTTCCGGTTCAATTATGTTTGGTTGAGTTATGACCCTTGAATGTAGAAGTGTTTTGGCTGTTAATGATTTTTGTGTGCCCTGTTATATTTTCGAACATCTACATAAATGAAATACCTTACACACAACATCTTGTTGTATAATGGTAGGCAGCTTTTTTTTTTAAATGCCTTTGAAGAGGATTATAAGTAATTTGCTCTCTTATTCTAGTAATTGAACTTTAAAAAAGAGAGTAAATATCCAAGTGACAAATTATCCTAGAATATAATGAGATATTTCATTTTTCTTAAGAAAACAAAGTAGTATTAGTTCATAAATTTATTTTCATACCTTTTTTAAAAAAGAACAACAAAAAAACATCACATATGCATCAAAACACTTGATGCCCTATTACCATTTTCTATGCAATAATTGGCCATGTTACAATACAATATTTAAATTTAAGTTGTGGATAGGTAAAACCAGAAGAATCTCATCCTGTAATTCTACCAAAGTCCAATTAATATCACAAAACCCGTACAGTTTATGAAAACAAGTTTTATATTGCTTGAATTACAAGCATTAAAAGAATTTTAAAATGCAAGATTTGATTGCTACATTCATATATATGTCCTCATAAGGTGTTTTACACAGATTATTAAAATAATAAAGGATTAAGGTGTTTTATTTAACATTGCCTACAACCATACAATATACATGTAGTTACACATGTCAGCATTTATGAGGTTGTATAAGCTACGTTGCCCATATTCTTTATTTGTTTCAAGGGCACATTATGTCTCAGAAACAAATCTTTTACTTCTTTGGTAAAGTCAAATATGAATTTTATAATGTTTCAATAATTGTTAAATTAGGGAATGTTATATGCTAGTTACATGAAGAAAAGAGCAAATCATGTGAAATTATTTGTCATAGAATTAGCTAAATGTAAACAAATAGTATTTTGACTTCCAAACAAAATACTAATTCCCTATAACTGTAATCAGTGCCAAAATGCATCAAATGAAAAAGATGGTTCAGGTATTTGAGCAATGTGTAACTTTTTGGATACTAAAAAAGAACACCAAAATTCAAAAGCTTTTGAGAAATAAAATTAAAAGCATCTCTGAGGCATTATGAAATTAAAAGCTTAAATGTAATATTATGGGGATTACTGTTTGTGGAATTGAATTAAGTTGAGTAAAAAATGTTTTCATACAATTGTTAAAGCTAAGTCACACCCCCATTTTAATTTCTTAAACACAAATTAACAACCTGGGAATGTTTAAAAATAATGGAAATAATAATACATGTAATTTACGATTATAGGAGTAAGAATATTAAATGGTAAGCCTGACTTCAGTTGTCAAATGGTAGGCCAAAACTCAGTTTTCAAATGGCAGACCTAAATTCAGTTTTATTGGCTGTACAATTTTAAAGAGAAAAACATAAGATAAATTAAGTGATAAATTTCAAGACCTGTTAATTTGTAAATTTACAGTTTTTACTACTTACAGGTGATATTAAAACTTAGTATACAAACAACTTCACAGAAAAGAATTCCTGATTTTTATTGCAAATATGAGTATAATTTAAGATAATTATATTTATTATACATGGTGATTCCATATTGTAATAATATGCAAAACGAAGATAATTCAAATGAAAATTTTTATTTTTATTACAGAAAGATGAACAAAAGGTTCTTCAGCAGGAACTCAAGTCCCTCCCAAAAGGGGCAGTAAGTGATTATTTTTGTATTCATTTAATATATACATGCAACTTTGTTTTTCTGAAGTTTTGTAGTGCACTTGCAGTTATTTAAATTTGGAATAGTCCATTTAAATTTTAAGGGATTTTAGTATCAAAATACAAAAGTTGTCCCAGAATGTACATCTTTGCAAGCTGGCCTGGCTCTATACTGGTAGCAAAGGCTGATCACTTAAACTTCCTGCAGGGTAAGAGTTAATATTGTTACTGAACTCTAGAAGCTATGATTCCTAGCATCTTGGTAAATGGTACTGTTTTAGAGCTATCCCACTGCTGTAAGAACTATCCCACTGCTGTAAGTTTGATTATTATTTTTGATGACAATTTACAGCTATTACTTAACAGCAATATTTATGGTTACACCAAGGTTCATTCTTGTACCTGAAGTTCAAATTTAACATAATTTTATATGAATATAAACTCCACCAGCTTTGGTTTGAACATTACCATGATTAGTAAACAAATGTTGTGGCTTATAGTTCATGATTCAATATGTTCCTTTTTAAATAATAATCTTCTTTAATTAATGTCTCTTTTATTTTCTTAGATTCTTTATTAATTTCCTGTTTTTTGTTTTAAGTCCTGCAACGCTTTTCTTTGGGAGTCATGTATTGCTGAATTGTATTGGGAGCTGCGTCTGGAATGTCGTCCTTCCTTGTTGGTGTTTGTTCTCATGTTCTGTTATTGTGATACAAGAGTATTGAACTACTGCAAAGTCATTATTATTTGTGGGGAACTAATTTTCAGGGTTTTTGTGGAATGGTCAATCCAGGAATTTAAAATCTGACAAAATTTCATACGATCTGTTGCATTATTTACATTTCACCTTTTAGAAAAACTAAACAGTTTCCGAATTTAAGTTCCCGCAAAATGTTCCTTGTGATAAAACCACAAAATTTTATTCTCACGAAATTAAGTGAATTTACAGTATTATCTTCTATCATTCCTCTTACAGAGGGTATACAAGCAACAACAGAATAGTCAACTTTTCTTCAGAACTAGTAAAGACAAGGCTTTTGAGGGATCTAAAAGTAAGTATAATATGATATGTGTTTTGTTGTTTCTAACATTTGTCAGAAATGACTATATAATTGAATGTTGGCAAGTTATTTGTAAAAAGATTATACATTTGCATGCTAGCTGGTCATAAAGCAGTATTGTCTATCAAAAAGATTAAAATAAATTCAATTACATATAGTCAACCAACTATAAAAATATAAAACTTTTACACACATGAACAAATGGCAGAAATTGCTTAAATTTCTTAACATAGGATAACCTTTTCATACCACCTCCCCTTGGATATAGATTTTCCATTGTTTGTCTATCCTGTTTGTTCTGTTATTCCTTTTTGTGGTGTATTTGACATTTTTTTTTTATATTCTGTTATTTTTCTTTTCCTTCAAATGAAAAAATTAATTACCATTGAACCGCCAAACATGGCGATGGACATTGTAAAATGTTTTTGCCAATAAAAGTTTTGAATCTTGAATCTTGATGTAAATATTGATGTAATTGTATGTGTATAATACAATTAATTTGATATTAATGAGATACATTTTTTTCTAAAACATATACACATGTATACCACATTTCCTCACCCTGTTATTCAATTAACAATATTTTTAACATCTTTTACTCATGATAACTGAGTCAATCATTATTTTAATATTTTACAGAAACATTGGATAGCTTAGTTCAAGAGTACCTAGATGCTGAAAGACCTCCAGACTTAAATGCAAAATAGCACATTCAGCATGCGTGCAATCATCATTATGTTCATAACATCCATACATGTGAACTTTTTTTGATGATCAAGTGGGAGATTTTTCTTCAAAAAGAGGGAAATTTTAGAATTTGAAATAAACAAAGTAGGAAATGCTGACACCAAAAGAAGGGAAATTTCTTTAATTTGTGAAAATACACCTTATTTTAAGCAAAATCTTTGAAAATATGGCGACAGAAAGTGGGATTTTCCTGCTGAAAATGGGAGAGTTCACATGCATGAACATCTGGGAGGGACAGTGAAACTCTAAGTTCCATGGATAAACAGTGAACACTGACGTTAAACACTTTGTTGTACAGACAAATTCACCATTCATCATGGTTACTAACACTTAATGCTTTGTGACTTCAAAGATGAAAGTCTTTAAAGTATTTGTAACTATGGTTACTAGGTTTTTGAGTTAATCATACAAATCTGTGATAAACATTTTCTAAAGTTTGATTTAAAGGTTCTGTTATTATGTTTTTTCTTTTCTTTTTATGCAAAAGAATGCAGACATGAGAAGATAGATAAAGCAGCTTCTATAGCTTATGATAAAACAGTTTTAAATTAACTTTTAATTAACCTGTAAACAAACATGTTAAAACTGTTGGCATATTTTGACATATTAGCTTACCTTTAGGATACCAGATAAACATTAACACTTTACAACAAAACTTGATCAAGGCATAGCAATTAGAATGGGGCCCTGAGATGTACTTTAGTGTATGTCTATTGGGCAGTGAATTATTTTATAAGTTTGACTCTTTCTATGTAAGATTCAGATATAAATATATGAGGTGGCCCATGTCTCCGCTGTTACTGATTTAGGAACAGAGAAGTATTGCCTTATTTTATTTGGGGACCAAACATGTTTATTGGTATGTCACACTGAAGTGAAATTCCATATCACTAAGAGATGGACACATCAGTGGGTGATAATTAAATCTTAATTATGCCATATTCTTGCTCCACTTGTACATCCAGTCACATTTTCTTTCAAATGATAATATCTCTTCTGAAAAGATCAGAATTTTCCTGAACCAATAAGCCACATGGTATGCTTAGATATACATGAAACTACCTTCTTTTTTGTCAATGATACTTTTTTTCTTGACCATTTTGTTTGGTATATTATTATGTAACTTTTATGTTCCTTTATGTTGGCACCGTCAATGTAGGTGTCGCTGGCAGGGGCATCACTAAGGCTTGTCCGGAGCTTAACTGAGAGTCACTATAGGTCGGATTGACTCCAAACATGGCTTGCATGCGTCTTTCAATGACCCAAAAAGCATTGCACAATAATCGTTACCCTGCACTTCTTATCTTTTTTGAGTTATTGCCCTAACTTAATTTTAATACTTTATTGTTGTCCAGGCCTTTACTACTAAGCTATAAAAGCAATGCACTTGAAACTTCAAAGGATGATATATCTTATTGAGAAAAAGTGCAGTGCTTAAAAACTGATACTCTGTACTTCATGATTATTGAGTTACTGCCCTTTGTTAATTTCATATTTTACATTTGTCTTGTACAATTCTCCTACATTTTAAAAGCTATTGAATTGAAACTTTTTAAGAAGATGTACGTCATTGAGATGAAGTGCAGTGCACAAGAACTTATACTCTGCACTTCATGATTTTTGAGTTAGTGCCCTTTGTTGATTTTGGTGTCCTCTTGTGCTTATGCAGATTAACGATTCTTGTGCACTGCTCTTCGGGTCATTGAAAGAGGCAAACTTCATAGGATGATAGATCTCATTGAGAAGAGGTGCAGTGCCTAAAAACCTGTACTCATGATTTTTGAGTTATTGCCCTATGTTAATGTTCATATTTTATTTTTGTACAGGCCATTTCTTTTAAACTATATGGACTTGAAACTTCACAGTATGATAGATCTCATTGAGAAGAAGTGCAGTTACAAAACCTGGTACTCTGTACTTCATGATTTTTGAGCTATTGGCCTTTGTTAATTTTCATACTTTATTTTTTTTTTGACAATTCTACTACTCTTTAAAAGCTATTGACTTGAAGCTTCATAGGATGATGGATCTCATTGAGAAAAAGTGCAGTGCATAAACATTTGTACTTTGCACTTCATGATTTATGAGTTTTTGCCCTTTGTTAATGTTCATACATTTACATATCAGTTTCCATTCATTATCTACCCAACAGTTATGCACATTCAAGTCATATTAAAGATATTGATATGCCGTAGAAATGTGCAGGTCAAATTCGAATTTGGTCATGGTTTGATAATTTTTGACAGAGTTATGCCCCATAACTTTGAAAAAATTAAAAGTTTTCAGTTTCCATCTGTACACATTCAACTCAAATTTTACATATGGATACATCAAAGGAATGCGGAGGTCAAGTTCGAATTAAGTTATACCCCTTTAACTGTAAAAAGGGGATTTTTTCAGTTATTGTTCATTATCTTACCAACAGTTGTACATGTTCAACTCAAATTTGATATATGGATATGAGTTATCCCTCGTAAACTTTGAAAAAATTAGACCATAAATTTTCCATATTTCTTCTGTTATTTACTTCTTCAGGGATTTACTTCAGATTTACTTCAGACTTCTAATATATGTTTTTTTATCAACTTATACATTATATGTGTTTAGATTTAAACGTCTATCACCTAAATTTACAGAATTGATAAAAATTTCAATATATTTTAAAACTTTAATCTTTGTTGTTATATATGGTATCAGCTTATCCCCAAAAATATCAAGTCGCTACAGTTTTTGTTGCAGAATGCAGAAAAGCCAAATAATCAAAACATGTTTGAATTGTATGGCTAACAATTACCGTATCTCTTTTGAACTTGTTAAATGGCACTAAAAGTTACAGGGCATTAAAATTAAAATTAAAGTATTTTGTTGGTTAAATAGGCGTTTAAATAATAGATGCATATATGTTAATATGGAAAAGATGTACAACAACGAAATATATATTTATTTTTTATTATTTTAATTTACATTCCGAGAATAGAAAATATCGCTGATTTCTTTGTTATTTTCCATGATGGAGAAGACCCAACTGTTTATCCGATTTCTTGTATATTTGATCAGCAATATTTCAAATCCACAACATATTTCAGTCGTTCTTCCAATAGAAGTCTTTCATAATGAATGTCGTCATATGAATAATTTATTTACTTTTTAAAAATGACATTAAACCAAAAATAAACTTGCGAATCCTATGAAGTTGAAGCTGGGAACTTATTATTGTTTATCATTGAAAGCTTTAAATATGATTATTTCTATAAATATGCGGATTTACACGTCGGTACATATGTTTTCCTCTCTTCGATTTTGCCTGAAATCTTTAGATAAGTTTAATACCATTTCCACACTTGGATTTTCCAATTCTGTAACCATACTTCACTTGGCCTGAATAGTCCCATCTCACAGTAATGGTTCCGCCAGATTCCACATATACTATGGTACCGGGTTTCTTATTGTGACTCTGTAAAGATTTGTAGAATTGTTTCTATTTATTATGAAAATGGTTTGTTGAAATGTGTTCGGTGACAAATTTGGGTACATGCATATTATCCAAGGAGATACTAAGTACTCAAAGATTCAGCAAAATGTCATAAACTCATGTGGATATTTTTTAAAATCATACTTGTCAATCTGGTAATAAAAATCTGAATAGGAATTTACATGATCCTTTCAATGGCTAAGTAATGTAAAGTCTACTTATGGAAGAGGGAATTGGATAATCTACAGACCTCACTTGCTCTTAGTCACTCTTTGTACATCAAAAGAAGCAAAAGCAGTAAATACAAGTTATTGTCATGTTAATTCAGTATAAAACAGACTTCCATATTTTTTTCCAAATATGTACATTTTATTGTCTCATGAAGAAGTGATAATTATAAAACCATTATTCAAACATTATTTGATTTAATACTTAAGGGTATCATACTTACCAGACATCCTAGTGTACAGTCTGGCAGTGGACAGACACGCGCACCAATACATATCGGCCCAGTTTCTACAAAATAAATGTTAAAAAAGCACATTTTATTCGTTCCAAATGCATTTGAAGTACAGAATAATTCTTAAATAATATATACCAGGGTGAGGCTCATCTTCTTCCCATCATCATTCCCTTTACCGAAACATGTTTAACTTTTATAATCTCAATCCCAAAACGCAGATAAACAGTCTTCTTTTGATATTTGTTAGATGATTTCACAAGTGGCACTGCCATGGGAACAATGGTGAGGAGGGAAGGTGGGGTGCATATTTAAAATGGAATGGGATATGAAACGACATGCAAACAAAACATCTTAAAATGTCACTTCATATAAAATCGAACTGTTAGAAGACATAAATGAAAGAACACAGATATGTTTTGAGTTATTGCCCTTATTTAGTTTTGTCCGGAACATTATTTAGATGTATAGGATTTATTAACATGAAACATCATAGATGGATATATTGCAGGGTCTAAGACTAATAACTCTCTTTTGGAGTCATACTAAAACAAGTGAAGCGTGTAATGTGTGTTACTTATTTGTCCGAGGTGGAACTAAAATCATATTGTACACATCATCTTAAAATTCATAGATGGATAGATAAATTTCATTGAGGATTAGTACAGTCTGCTCAAGAACAGTACCTGATACCTGTCTTAAAACTTATATAATTTAAGATGTACTGCCCTTGTCGAATTCTTGCCGAGAGCATAACTGAAAAAGTATTCGAGATATCATAAAAGATTTTAAGAGATATCATAAGACATTGAAAATTTATAAATCGATAGATCTCATTAAGAGAAAACTCAATTTCCAAGAATCATAAGTCCTTTTGGTTTTTATACTGGTGATTGACCACTGTAACTTATGATTTAATTGTTTTGTCCATAGCGTATTTATGTATATAGTGTGCTTTATTAACAACTTCAAGAAGTATAATGTCCCAAATATATGTTATAGCAATAATAATGAAAAAAAGTCATAGAAGATATAAGGGGCAGACAAAGAGGACGAATGGGTGATAATACGTGTAATAAAGCAATTTTAAAAAAGGTAAAAAAGTAAACTTACCATTTTCAAGTTTTACAGTTTTGTATTCTTCTACAGTTTTGTCATCAACTACAGGTTCTGCATCTTCATCATCTCCTGCAGTTTTATAATAACCTACAGTTTCTGCAGTTTTATAATCACCTAGTTTCTGCCGTTTTTTCTTCTTTTTTCTTCTTTTTTTATAGTCACCTACAGTTTCTGCAGTTTTATCATTTCCTGCAGTTTTATAATCACCTACAGTTTCTGCAGTTTTATAATCACCTACAGCTCCTGCAGTTTTATCATCTCCCGCTGTTTTATAATCACCTACAATTTCTCAGTTTTATAATAACCTACAGTTTCTGCAGTTTTATAATCACATAGTTTCTGCCGTTTTTTCTTCTTTTTTCTTCTTTTTTTATAATCACCTACAGTTTCTGCAGTTTTATCATTTCCCGCTGTTTTATAATCACCTACAGTTTCTGCAGTTTTATAATCACCTACAGTTCCTGCAGTTTTATCATCTCCCGCTGTTTTATAATCACCTACAATTTCTGCAGTTTTATCATCTCCCGCTGTTTTATAATCACCTACAGTTTCTGCAGTTTTATAATCACCTACAGTTTCTGCAGTTTTATAATTACCTACAATTTCTTCAGTTTTATAATCCCCCGCTGTTTTATAATCACCTACAGTTTCTGCAGGTTTATAATCACCTACAATTTCTTCAGTTTTATCATCTCCCGCTGTTTTATAATCACCTACAGTTTCTTCAGTTTTATCATCTCCCACTGTTTTATAATGACCTACAGTTTCTGCAGTTTTATAATCACCTACAGTTCCTGCAGTTTTATCATCTCCCGCTGTTTTATAATCACCTACAATTTCTGCAGTTTTATCATCTCCTGCTGTTTTATAATCACCTACAGTTTCTTCAGTTTTATCATCTCCCGCTGTTTTATAATCACCTACAGTTTCTGCAGTTTTATAATCACCTACAATTTCTTCAGTTTTATCATCTCCCGCTGTTTTATAATCACCTACAGTTTCTGCAGTTTTATAATCACCTACAGTTTCTGCAGTTTTATAATCACCTACAGTTCTTGCAGTTTTATAATCTCCCGCTGTTTTATAATCACCTACAGTTTCTGCAGTTTTATAATCACCTACAGTTTCTGCAGTTTTATCAGCTCCCGCTGTTTTATAATCAACTACAGTTTCTGCAGTTTTATCATCTCCCACTGTTTTATAATCACCTACAGTTTCTGCACTTTCATCATCTTCTGCACTTTTACCATCTTCTGGAGATTTGTCAGCTCCTGCATACTGGAGAAAGTCTTCCAATGCCTCTGAATGCAAGATATTAACCAAACTACCCAAATTTCTATTAGAAGAAAGGAAATCAACAAGTTGTTCATCCGGTTGGAACTCGTATCCACTCACATCGTGATCCAGCTTTATTTGTTCAAGTGTCTGTTTTATTGTAACAATTTCTGGCTTATTCTGAGTAAATCGAACAAACAACGTCTTTCCTCGATAATTGTCTGTACTTATTCGAAATTTCGCTCTTTTTATATTGGATGAAAGTGCTTTTAAATCTTCGCCTAACTTCTCCAATAGCGTGTCGTATTCAAAATTTAAAGCATCAACCTCAGCTAGAATAATAGACTCAGCTTCGTCAAAATGCTTTGTCATGTTTGTTTTAAAGACTCGGATTTTCTTCAGTGCGTTTTCATGACTTGTGTTGACTTTCTTCTTATCACCTTTAAGTTTATTTTCATGGAATGTGGTTTCAGATTCCCAGCTTTCAAGTTGTTGAACCATGACTTTGAAATCTTCCTTTTCTTCAAAGTTTTTTGAAAAGTTCTCTATGAAGTCAGTCTTACAATCGCCATGTTCAAGTACCATACAATCACCGCAACCTACACGATCATGGCTGCGACAATAATATTTGATAATTTCATTTGTATGTTGTTCACATGTTTCATCTTTCTCAAGGACCAGCGTTGAATCTATATCAACTAAAACATGATGTCTACATTGCCTTGCTTTAAGATGATGTTGAAAGCATGTGTTACACATATATTCCTTACATTCTTTACACACTCCGTCTGCCACTGTAGTGACATTTCCATCGAGGCAAGCTTCACAAAAGTTTCTCGTTATTCCTATTGCAGTTCTTGTATTCTTTTCAAGCCTTTTCCCAGAGACCGCCATTGTCAACAGCAATTATTTTGTGTTTACATAAATATCGCTACCTTGTGATTAGTTAATAACAACCTTATTCCTTATAATATACAAACAGTTAAAATCATGCGATCAAAAACTACAAGGAAGTTATAAAGTATTGATTAAATGTAATAGATAAAGCCGATTCATTTCAAACAAGTTAACATTATACTTGATCACACATAACCATGATCAATAAAAATATGAGAAATAGGTAAAACATATCGTTATATAATAATGTTTTGATTTTTTTTCACGCGGAAACAATTTGACCGTGTTTGTTTAAACTATCCAAGATATTTATTTACTAACTATAACAACCTTATAAAATCATTCAAGATTTCTCAACAGATAAACCTCATTTTCTGAAAATACATAAATTTTACAGGGATTGGATTGATTTAAATATTAATATTAAAGTGGCTTGTTCTACAAATAGCACATTTTTTTTTCGATAATAATATCAAATATTGATCGACCCATTATGCTAATTTAAATATAAACAGAGTCGGCATTGGGTACACAATCAAACTTGTACTGCGTTTTATAAGTCATCTATGTTACAAGTTTATATACTGCAAATTACGGCTAATTAAGATTTACTTGTATTGCACCTTTTTAAGTACTGTAGTTTTATGCTTCAACCCATTAACTAATTATGACCAATTTGTGGAATTATATCAATAAAGTTCGATTTTATATCACAGAGAATTCTAGTTACTTGTATTTACCGTTATATACGTTTGTTGTTAATGTGTAATCTCATGTTGTCATTTAGAAAGCATTTCAATTTAAACCCTTTAATTTTCATTAGATGTGTACTTGCTCAGTTTTGTTTTCTACGATGTTAAGTAATTTTATGTTTGCATGTAAAAATAATAGTGTTTATTGTGAATGAGAATGGTAAATGAATTAAAACTTTACTATAAAGGTGATTGGTAGCAAATCACAGTTATGCTGATACTAAATATGAAAACTTTTTGTGTTAAATGCATGTCGTAGACCTTGAGCAATTGACCATGCATGAAAAACGACCTGCCACGAATAAAAGAATCTGCGATCTTCCTTCAGTATAAAACTAGACAATTGATTGATTGACCTGCTAAGAATAAATCACCAAACTGCGAGGTGTATTCTTTCAGCAGTAAAGCTTGTCCAGCGACCATAACAAAGTCGGTGTGACTTTCATGTTTATTTTTTTCCATGTTATGAAATGTAACGCGACTAACGGAAATTCACGCTATAATTATATATTCAAATCAGTTTAAGATAAGGGAATAGAGTATGATATATTCGTGAAGAAATATACGGTAAGTTGTTTCCCTTAGACTATTTACGATGCGAGGCAGCTATGCAGTTAGCTCATGGAACGTCGGTGGTTCTATTCTGGTGCCCTTTTGTGACTGAAATAATGCCACTATATGACCTATGTATACTGTACTGGTGCGACGTGAAACCAAACGAAAACCACAAATATTTAAGACTTTGATTTCTAGAGAATTTTGAGAGTTTTCTTTTCACTGAAGTACAGGGTGGGTCACTATGAATATGCAATATGAAGTATATATTTTTTAATTTAGCTCATGATTCTTGTGTTTGTGGAATCAAAGCTTCTTCTTACAAATGATACCAAAGTCATGTGTGTAGTCAAGTGATGAAAATGTATACCTAAGGAGGACTATATTGAAAAATTTCAAAATGATTAAACGTCTGAAACTTTGTATTTCTGTATGAGGGGATTATTTCGGTGGAAAAATATTTGCTCTTTTGTTAAATTTATTGACCATATTGTATTACATATTGACACACCCTTTTGCATTTCATATGCGATAAGTTAAGCGCTTTCATCTATTACACGTACTATGCACCAAAAATAAATGATGTGCGTAGTTAAGATCTTATTTGTGAGGAAGGTGTATACTGGAATAAGCTTATCCGTCTGTCTGGTCATTTGTCCGACCGTCGTTTTTGTAAGGGAAATAACAAAAACAGTATTGGAACTTTAAAGATGGATAGATCTGCAAAGCAAAGTGGCAAAGAACCGTAATTCTTTAAAAAAAAAATGAGTTATTGCTTTTTGTAATTTGTATGCTTAATCTATTTTAGCTGAGCAGGAATCAGGAAGAATTAGAGGTATCAACTTAAAACCTAATAGATGAGAAGTACAGTGTCAAAAAAACGATAACTCATTTGTACTTAATTTTGAAATTATTGTTCGTTGTCAAAGCATCATATAGAGCATATCTTTAGGATAATATGATAATTATGTAAACTTAAATATTCACAAAATATTACTGAAACAGCAGCATGAGGAGGGTAATTAAGTCATAGCTGGTGTCAGTTCTAGTCTTTTATTAGCTCACCAGTCACAAAGTGACAAAGTAAGCTTTTGTGATCGCGATTCGTCCGGCGTCCATCCGTCGTCCGACCGTAAACTTTTACTTTAAAAGACACCTAGGCCTCCCGATGAGCCGCTGAGCCAATTTCATCCAAACTTCCCAGGAATGTTCCTTAGGTGGTCACCTTTAAATGTTGTTTAACGAGTTGAATTCCATGTAGAACTCTGGTTGCCATGGCAACCAAAAGAAGAAACTTAAAAAATCTTCTTTTAAAAAACCTTTTCCTTATATGTACATGATTGCATTGTAAAAAAATCGTCTTGAAAAAAGCCAAAGAGCTAGAGCTTAAGTATTTAGCATAAAACAACTTCAAGTTTGTTCAAATAAAAGCAACTAGTGTCTTTCCATGCCAACCTATGACTTTCCATAGCAACCAGTGACTTTGCATAGCGACTATAAACTTTCCATAGGAACCATAGACTATCCAAAGCAACCACTGACTTCCCATAGAAACCAGTAACACACATAGCAACCAGTGACTCACATAGAAACCATTGACATTCCAAAGCAATCATAGACTTGTTTAATACTAAATTACTTGCCATAGCAACCATTAACTTCCCACAGCAAACAGTGCCTTTCCATGGCAACCATTGATTTTTCACAGCAACCAGTATTGCAACAATTGACATTTTCATAGCAACCATTGACTTATATAGCATACACTTACTTTCCATAACAATCAGTGACTTTCTTTAGCAACCATTGCCCTCCATAGCAACCAGTGACTTTCCATAGCATAAATAGACTTCCATGGCAACCATATATTTCAATTGCAACCATTGACTTCCCATAGCAACTATTGACTTGTAAAGTAACCATTGACTTTCCACAACAACCAGTGACATGAACAGAAACCAGTGACTTTCCATGGCAAACAGTGACTTCTATAGCAACTAGTGACTTTCCATAGTAACCATAGACTTCCATGGCAACCAGTGACTTCCCTTCCAACCAGTCACTCACATAGCAACCAATGACATTGCATTGCAACCATATGCTTCTTAAGCACCCAGTGGCTTTTCATAACTTGGTTTCATGACAGTGATTTCTCATCACAACCAGTGACTTTCCATAGCAACCATTGACTTATATAGCAACCATTAATTTCCCATAGCAACCAGTACCTTTCCCTGGCAACCATTGACTTTCCAAAGCAACCATTGACTTCCATAAGAAACAACTAACTTTCCATAGTGATTTCCACAGAAACCAGTGCCTTTCAATGGCAAACAGTACCTTCCATAGCAATCAGTGACTTTCCATAGCAACGGTAGACTGCCATGGCAATCAGTGTCTTCTTTTAGCAACCAGTGACTCACTTAACAACCATTGACTTTGAATTGCAACCATAGACTTCTTTAGCACCCATTGACTCCCCATGGCAACCAGTGATTTCCCATAACAATCAGTGACTTACATAACAACCATTAACATCCTAATGCAACCAGTAACTTTCCCTGGCAACCAATGACTTTCAATTGCAACCCCCATATCCATAAGAATCAACTAACTTTCCATAGCAATCAGTGGCTTTCCTAAGCAACAATTGACTTTTCATCGCAACCGAAGACTTCCATGGCAGCCAGTGACTTCTCTTAGCAACCAGTGACTCACATAACAACCATTGACCTTGAATTGCAACCATGTCTGAGTTAATAATAAATTTGACCGGGCCATCATTCGAACATGTCCCCTGGCTCCTTATTGTGTCTGTACTGCAGATGTATCTCCCATTGAAACAAGCCTCGTATTTACAATAGACTCGCAAAATAATGGTCATCACAAAGAAGTCTAAGACCTGCTGAGCATTACACTCACAAATAAGATTCCAACTAAAAAATACATCACTATATTGAACTGTGTCAATATATTTTATATATAATATAACATATAATCATATTGTGAATAACAATATATGTGTAACAAAAACAAATATGAATCATAAGAACAATTCTTTAAAGTTTTCGGTACCTTCAAAACTCTATGTCTAAGTTTTTAATAAATTTGACGGGGCCATCATTCGAATATGTCCCCTGCCATTAACAATATGTCTCTGATGAACATATTATATTATACAAAATTTAGTAGTTCGTTAAATCTTATTTTAAAGCAAAATTCAGGTAACAAGCAAATTTGTTCAATACATCCATGTTTGTAACTAACATTTATTCAAGAAATTTGAATATACCGGACCGTTCATAATAATAATTGTCAATATAACGTTTCCTGATCCATTCATTCCTGGAACACATTAATACAAAATGGAACTCGTCTTCCATATCAGAAGAATTACATATCTGTCATTTTATTTCATGAATACTATGTTACTTTTTATAATCTTATCTTTAGATAAGTTCAATACCATTTCCACACTTGGATTTTCCAATTCTGTAACCATACTTCACTTGGCCTGAATAGTCCCATTTCACAGTAATGATTCCGCCACATTCCACATGTTCTATTGTACCGGGTTCCTTATTGTGACTCTGTAAAGATTTTTAGTATTTTATTTTTTATTCAAGACAATCACAGTGTTTAGATCTTTAGAAATTAGATATATTGACTGAGGTAAAGTTCAAAAATCATAAACTAAAATGATATGGACCGGCATCGTATAAACCATTCTCAAATGGGGACATATGCACTTTCGAAAAAAAAACGTACATCGAACAGACAAACTTTACAGAAGAAATGATAGAATAATGTAATTATTAACTGCACGTTATGATCGAATGCTATCAACAAAAGTGGAGAGAAAAGCTTTGTATTTTATTTTTGTGATGATCTTAAAAACTGTAAGTCTCTTCGGACTCAGAGATAGATAAAAGGGGGTTTCTATTGTAAATTTAGTATAAAACAAACAAAGCCAAAGAAGGAGAGATTTTTAAAGTGATACATATATTTGAACCATTTTGATTCAACATATGATATCAAACTTACTGATATTCCAAGTGTACAGTCTGGTAGTGGGCGTACGCGGGCGCCAATACATATCGGTTCAGTCTCTGAGAAAAGAAAACCAAACACGCTAGATAAAGGCAAATGGGATAATATATTATACATAAGCACATTTTTTATTGAAACATATTTTATTGAAGAAATAAATTGTCATAAGAAAGAAATTAATAAAATTTAATTTAATAAAAGCTAACTAATAAACATGAATGTATACAATTATTTTGAGACAACCCCTCAACCGCGAACATTAAGTCACGTGATGGTTTTATGTTACTACAGCAAAATTTACAAAACATAATAGTTAACAGTTTCATAAGCCTAGTTAGTATTCATTTTCTAAAACATTATAACATCCGGGTTCACCAAAAGTTCTAGTTCGTGTTTCTTCTTCAATGGTTTTATATAGTAGATATTCAAAATTATTATGTTAGTCACTTTTTTGTCAAGGTTGTCGGTTTTATGTTACCCATGGTGTAACGTGTAACTCCAACCGAGAGTTCATTTTAAATAAAGTATTAAATGTGTTTCCGGTGGATCAAATGCAAGTAAAAAGAAGCAAAACAAAATACAAAGTACATAATGCACATTTATAAAAATGGTCCTGTGAAGTAAATGATTACTTTACTATACTCGTACTTTCTTTAAAATGTTGTAAATTTACGTCTAAACTAAACACATAAAATAACAGTTTGCATGGAAACAATGATGTTAATGTAATAAATTTTAAAGGACGCATACACTCAAGTGTTATCGTGTCATGTCATTCGATAACGTTAATTCCTATTTTCTCACATCTTAAAATTTGCTGCGGCTTATACCACAGTCATATTTTAACTATTTTAATTTTCTTTTTATGTTATTTTAGCATACTCCACGAAGGACCCAAAACCTTCAATCAGTCTTTCGAATGGAGATAGAAGAAAGTTTGCTGTGCCACAATTAACATTCAGTAATTATGTGTTGAAAATTCTATACTACTGGAACCGAAAGAGGTTAGCCTTTGGCACCATAAAAGGAAATCTAGATCTGCTGTACTGATTGAGTATCATTTTATCATGATATCACATAAATTCACAGTTCACAGCTTCACAGTTTCATGAATAGAAGCAGGTCAGGCCATTCAATAGGTTAATGGTAAAGTACTTATCGTAATATATAGAGGATATTCAAGTTTCTTCTATAAATACAGGATTTATTTTCATCGATGAAAATAAATCCTGTATTAATAAAAAGATACTTGAATTTTCTGATTATTATATGATTTATCTCTTTTTAAACCTTATGAATAGGAAGAATTCCCTTTTAATTTTGTGTATTTGCTGAATTAAGAAGAAAGTAGTCCGGCAAGACACCAGTAAAAATGCGGAAAATATGTTTCACTGCAGTGAAAATGCGGAAAATAAGTATATAATATATACGTATAGAAAACCGGGTAGAGAAACGGGCCCATGTCAGACAACGACACTCCTGGACAACAATAAAATAAGGTCGATCGTAATATAAAATTACCTTCTTCATCTTGTTCAGTTCCTTCAACATCAGCATGGTCAACACAATTTTCCAATTCATTAGAACGAGAAACACCCACAGCTATACTGCCAAAGTTTTCAATGGTTGTAAAAAAGTCAATAAGTCGTTCATTTGGTTTGAACTCGAATCTATTCAAATTATGAATCAGCGTTATATGTTCAAGTTTCTGTTTCATTTCAGTAATTGCTGGCTTATTCTGAGTAAAGCGGATAAACAACGCATTTCCGCGAACTATTTCTTTGTTTATTTGTAGTTTCACTCTATCAATTTGGTACGAAATCATTTTTAAACCTTTCTCTAACTTCTCCAGTAACTCGTCATATTCAGACTTTAAGTCATCAACATCGGCTAGAATTTTAGCTTCAGCTTCGTCACATACCTTTGTTATTTTTGCTTTAAATCGTCTGATGTCCTTCAATGTTTTGTCATGAAGCGCTTCGAGTTCTTTTTTATCAGTATTTACCTTAATTTTATGGTATTTGACTGCAGATGACAAATTTTCAAGTTGCTGAACCATGTCTTTGAAGTCTTCATTTTCAGAAAATTTTCTCGAAAACTTTTCAATAAAGTCAGTCTTACATTCGCCGTGTTCAAGAACCATACAGTCGCCACAACCTACTCGCTCATGGCTGCGACAATAGTATTTGATAATTTCATTTGCATGTTGTTTACATGTTTCATCTTTCTCAAGAACTAAAGTTGAACCTATATCAACTAAAACATGATGTCTACATTGCCTTGCTTTAAGATGATGTTTAAAGCATGTGTTACACATATATTCCTTACATTCTTTGCAAACTCCGTCTGCGACTGTAGTGACATTTCCATCGAGGCAAGCTTCACAAAAGTTTCTCGAAATTCCAACTCTTTTTCCAGAGACCGACATTGTTAATTTAATCTTAATTAAACATTTTCACATAACTATCGCTACCTTGTGATAGTTTAAAAAGGCGTTAATGCTTGAGCACACACATAGTTAAAACCACACTAGATAATGCCCATAATAAAAAGGAAGATATAAAGTATTAAATTGATGTGTTACCGACATGTGTTGTAAATAAAATATTTCCGCTGTATTTACCCATTAAGAAAGTTTTACGTAATTTTACTGTGGTATGTGCAAACACTTCAGTCTGATGATAACAACAGCTCAGAGGATTGTGTTTGGTTTGTTTACATTTTTGAAATTTTATTCGCCGGAAACAGTTTGACCGCAATCGTTTTCCAGCAATTTATAGGACAAACGATTTTTCTGAAATTTATGCACCATAATTATAGTAACCTACATGTAGAGATGTCCCGGCATGTACAGTATAGGACAGGAAAAAATCAGTTGACGAAATGAAATAAAGACACAAATAATCAAAATAATTATTACAAATCTACACAAAGTATAGTAATGCAAAACGCAGAAAAAATTGGCAGTAAATTATCATTTTATCACTAAAGAAGTGGTTCTCAATTCGCTGTTTAACAGTAAAAGTGTTAGAAAAGGTAGAAAAACATGTTTGGTAGAAAACACAACGTACTTAGCTTACTATAAAGAGTATCGGTTTAGTAATCCGGGGTCGCTGGCTCGATCCTCGGACGATGCGAAATTTTCCCGTGAATGATGAATGGTTTGATCCAAATTAATAATAAAAAAACCCGAACAAGTACATGTTCTACTAGTTTTTTTATTCATTAAGTATATGAAGATTTTGGTTATTCTTCAAAAAAAATTAAATGTTGGAATTCAGAATTTTGGGTCGACTTAAAATTTAATCTATAACTGATATGAATCAATGATGCTTTAATATTGTCAAATAATGCCAATTTCTTTATTTCAATATAATAACTACCAATTATGTGAAATAACATTTTTTTTTATTTCACTGATATATTTCTATAAACTAACGAAAAGCATGTAATAAAACATTCATATTGGATTCAATAATGATTTAGTTTGGAATACCACGTGCAAATGCTGAAAGTTCATTGACATTAATGGATCCAATCTAAACAAATTAACCGCGTTTTCATTTTCATGGACATTTGACTGTACATGCTCTCATAATGTTATAAGATCAGAGATGATGTTTGCCATTCTATACTTATCACTTATTTCATCCACATTAAGTATAGGTTAGAGTGCATAAGAAAGCTAAAAAGGAGCGGAGCTTGCGAAGCGACTGTAGCTTTCTTATTTACGAAGAACACCCAATATGCACTCTAACCGGCTTAGTGCTCCGCCCACTTGCGTTTTATAATATAAAACGTCCAGTTTATATAAAATCTGTTCTATTAAGATTTGAAACCTGAAAATTTGAAAAATCCTCGTCGGTGATTGGCTTAAAAAAATTGGCGAGCACTAATCACTAATTTCATCCACATCATCAGATTATTAAGTTTCCATAGGTTGCACCACGTGCAAATGCTGAAAGTTCATTGGCATTAATGGATCCAATCTAAACAATTCAACCTCGTTTTCATTTTTATGGACATTTGACTGTACATGCTCTCATACTGTAATAAGATCGGAGATGATGTTTGCAATTCTATACTAATCACTAATTTCATCCACATCATCAGATTATTAAGTTGGCATAGATTGCATTTATTTGCCAAAATAAAATATATTATTTATAGTGCAATTTTAATGAGCTAATATCAGTATCATATTTTAATTCCATCATAGATATTTTATGCTAAGAACCAATTGTACATGTATATAAAATAGTTTAATAAAATCTTCATTTTTTTTATCATTTTGTTGTTGTTTTGTTTTAAAGAGCTCTCTGTGATTTACGAATATATTTGTTTCTTAATCTCAATCTTAATCTTTAATTAATTACTTTACATTGAACACAAAGATAATGCATCTCACGTACTGCTTAGACGACGGTCCTTAAGATAGGGCTCGTCAAAATAAGCCATCCTTCGCTTCGTATTCACAGAAACTGGCGCCCTTTGATTCTGCGATCTTCCCGACGATCAAATCTCATCAGCATGTCAATACTCTAGGTGACGTTAAGGCCGCGACGATCCACATCATCTAACAGTTAAAGCTTTGTCTGGTATCAGGATGTTGACAGAAAATAGGTTGATGCAAAATTTATCTTTAGGAGGAAGAATGCTAGTGACATTTTATATGTATTTTATGTCATTATGAACGTCATTTATTTTAACATTGAATCAGTTCAAGAGAAGTGAATATATTCCGGTATTTTTCTTAACATATGCAGTCAGTTGTTTCCCTTTGTCAATGTTGATTTCTAACATAACATATTAATGTGAATCTAAATTTGCGATCAGTCTGATTGACACTAATGTATGCAATTTGCTGTTCCACGTATCACAATGAAACAAAAGTCTACACAAAGATGGTCATAGAAAGGCTCTGAGAGGTCAGCTATTTCATATCAATTTTAACGAAATGATGCCAGGGAACCCATATGAAATTAGCCTCTCTTGCCGGGTAATCAATTTGTAACACTGAATACCCATTTCAAACTGAAGAATTATATATATGGTAGCTAGTTCACGAAAGGTTCTCCATGTGCCTTATTGAATACAGCTTTGATGCAAAGCAGGGACACATTTGACACTTCAACAGAAAAAGGCAAAACTGTTAATCTGCCACGTAAATTTAATAGTGCCATGAAAATGGAAATTCAATGTAATTTCGTTGAGAATATTATTTAAAAAAATACATTTTTCCTGTGTTTGTTTCAACATATTGTTGCTTATACTCGGTTGTCGATTCACAGCTTTCCTGGAAAACTAACCAGTAATTACTATTTTCCCCGACTATTTATCCAAAATGTTTTTGAAACAGTGGTGAGAGACAAATTGCCATTAATTGGACTCTAGGTCCGAGATCAATTTTCACGTAGAAATTTCCACCTCGCCCGGGGAACGAACTAGCGATGCCTATATTACTAATCTTTGATGCTCTACCTCTATAGTGGCCTGAACCAACAAATACAAAAATATTGTTGTTGAGTAAACGTCATTCACAATGCTTGTCTGTTATTCCTGAAAGACAAGACTTAGTTTTCTTTACCTCTTTGTATTATATAGAAAATACTTAATTTTTTTTATTTTCTATAACATGGTAAATATTTTTTTTTATTTTCCTGTGTACGTGGTATTTGATAACCCCAATAAAGATTTTTCCAAACATTAAGAAATCTACCAAATTCAAAAATATCTAAATTTTAATATTGATAAACAGTTTTGGTCTTACAAAGTTCAGATAATAATCCTGTAGTTTTACAAGGCACATCACGTTATGAAAATAATAATCATCCAGCTTTACAAAAATCACACTTTAACCGATTCAAATGGTTCATAAAGTTCATTTTCAACCATGCAGATATCATCGTCAGAGTCAGATTCACTTGTTACCGATTCCTTTTTCAGTTGCTTACTCCGGCTTTCTTTCCCTGAACCATTGGTCTTCTCATCACAGTCTGCATATATGATTGGCTGATTTTGATTGGTCAATTTATCAGACACGCGGTCTTTTTTAGACTGGTTCACCATATCTTTGGAAACTTTACAATGAGGTACGTATTCAGACTCGTCTGCTGTTTTATGAGTCATATCGATATAGTGTTTCTCACCATCCGTTTTAGACACATCTTGACATTCGTCATAAATATTACTTGCATTAGATAACTTTTTCTTATATACGGGGATTATTTTGGACTGGTTTTTCTTGTTTTTATAAATAACTTCTTTTTCATTTCCCGCGTCTTTCTCGTCAGCGTCTTCTATTTCTGAATATATGGAATTTTGTGCCTCGTCTGGTTTTGCAGGGAGTTTACGTTTAGAATTATCAACGGAACGTTTGTTTACTAAGGGAAGCTTAGGTTTTATGCCTGCTTCACTGTACTCTTCTATTTCAGCATATGTTGGTGACGTCAGACTAGCTTGGACTGGTTGCCTTGGAATTTCGTCTGCGACTACACTATAACTTTGGTTAAGAATAGGTTCATCTAATGCCTCTAGATCTGTGGATGGAATATATAAATATATTGATATTTATTTAGATAAAAAACACGTATATTTCTTATATTTTTCATGTGTTAAGTCATAGTTCATACAGATTTATATTTTTAACAAAATGTGTGTTAAAATCAAATAATTATATTGGATAATAAACAAAGACAAATGTACCGTATAACGCTGACTTTTATTTACTAGTAGTTTCATAATAAGACACATTTGAAAAAAAAAACATATTAAAAGAAGAAAGATACATGTATATGTGTTATAATTAGTAATTTTGAGCATAATATGACTGCTACAAAGATGTCTTCCGAATAAGTGGTCAGAAAATTCATGTAAAATGGCTAAACATCAGCAATTTCGTGAAATACATAGCAAATTTAGAAATAATCTATATTTTGACACATTTTAAGATTTCATGAGTTTTTTCGGACTTCGTTAAATTTCTGATTACACAATTTTCCTTTAACGTATACAATAATAAAGATATTAAAATATTACCTGTCCCTGATTGTTTCGAGGGAAGCGGCCGCTTCTGAATGTCACTGCAGTTTGTTAGTGAATTGGAATTAGACAAGTTGATTTTGGAATCTTTGCTGTCTCCAGAACTCAGATATCTCCCTCTAAAATTTTAGTCCAAACAACAATTATATGAAATATTAAAATATTATACTGAAGTTTGTATATCAAATGTATTAGACTGAGTAATAAATAAGAGCATATATACGCATCAACACACACACTTTTAATGTAAGCATATAAATAATGTGGATGTTGATGATGATTATAATTCGATATTTGACCAAAGAAAAAATAAACACACTAATATTCACTATAAGCTGACCACTGGTGTTCTGCGTGGCCGAGTGTTGAAGGTCGTTAAATGAGTACCTGTGTGGCCGAGTGCTAAAGATCTTGACTGATTACCTGCGAGGTCGATTGGTATAGGGGTCATTGACTTGATACCTACTAGGTACGTGCATTATTGTTAAGTGGTTAAGGTAGCTTACTTTGAACCACTTTGTTCTCAACAGTGTATATTCAAATCCTGTCGGAAATTCTTTCAAGTGATGAAGCTATTCAGTGTAAGTGGTTCTACGGTGGTGATATTTTTCTATATTACAATAATTTCAGACAACAAGGCTTATTCAATATGCACTCAAAATAAACAATATGTATTACCTTAAGTAAATGACAGAAATAATAATGATGACAATGATGACCAAGATTCCAACAGCCAATCCAATGTACATCACTGAAAATATGTCAAAGTGAAAAAAACTAACATTTATATAACATTAATGTATGTTTAAATAACTCAAAGAAGCACGTCTCTCTATTGTGGTATTCTTTATGAAATGTTCATAAATTCTAATTAGTATTATCATGTAAAATGTTTGTGACGTACTGTCCACATATTTCATGCAAAACTATGACAATTAAGAACTAATTATTGGAGAGAGAATATTTGAATGTTTCGCAACTATAATCATATTCTCTTTAGAAGATTAAGCTTTAAAATAATGATGATACTTTTTTTCTCAAAACTTTTTAGAAATTTTTTTTGATGTCCTGTTACAGTTTCATTGACTACACAGCTGACCATCTTTTGCTTCATTTGTATTTTTTTGAATATAGTATAAAGCAATTTAATACCACCTTGTTCGCATTAAGCTATTTTTATGGTAAATCATTGTACATTCAGCTTTTCTTATGTCAAACATAATCTAAATCCATTATTAAAAACATAAATATATATGTAAAACCTTTCTAAAAAGAAAAAAAATGTGTACACATTTCTGAGGGTTAATTTGCCTTTAATTTAAACCTGATCTAGCGCTACATAAAAGGAATTGTGTTTCTTTATTTGCAATTAAGAGATTGTGGAACTCGGACAGTTTGCATGACTTTGAAATCTAGCCAGACTATTTTATAGACAGTTCAAATTAGAATTTCGATAATGTAATGGCAAAAAGATGAAATAACTTTACTTAAACTTACAATATAGAAAATTGAATGCGGACGGCTATTACTGTAAATATTAAAACTGTTACAAGTTCTATGTTATCAAAAGATAGGGTTATAATGTCAGTCAATTCCAAAACCTATTAAAACCAGCTTAAAATAATTAATTATCTATTATTTTAAAAAGTAATGAATTACTAGAACTGTATAAACCCTACATTTCGAAACAGTTTTTGTCGATGTTGAAGCCTATTTGTTATCCATTTATTATTTGCATATTTTTATACAAATTTCCCAACACTTGATAAAGCATTTTATATAAATCCGTTCAAATTAATGATAATACACTCATCAACTTTTCAAAATAAGGAACAGGTAAAATTTCTTACCATATTCCACTTCGTCCTTATCGTCCTCCGTAGAACGATCAACGTTGACTGTGCCGTTACCTATATCATGGTCAGGTGTACCTAAAATTATAAAAGTGCAGAAGACTGAGAAATTTGACATTTACTTGGCATAAATTTATAATCATGAAGTAAAAACAAAATCAATATTGTATGAATTTTGAAAAAAAAACTTCTAAAATGTCTGTAGGAAAGAAATATGTTAATAATTCTCCTTAAGAGCGGATGACACATTTACAAAACAATTACTTATCGGTAGAAAATCCTACTTAAAATAGCAGCATAAAATTATGTTTCGGACACTCTGTTTAGATACACTGTTCATTCGTGTTAAATAACAGAGACATTCTTTATTACATCTCGAAAAGTGACTCTTTCGAGAATCGACCATAAAATCGGGGCAACAATATAAGTTTACTGTTAATAAAAGTTTTCAAAATATTTCAACAGATAAATCTTTATACCATGTAAAGTATAAAATCTGGACGTCCTTGAACTTTTTGCGTAAATGAACCAGATTTACCTGTTGTGTTAACATTGCTCGTGTCGTTTTCTTGGTCTGGAATGTGGTATGTGAACGTATCTTTAGCTCGGACGTTACACGTGATGTCAATGTTATATAATGACACGTGACGTAGTTCCGGTACTTTGACAACTGGAAATATAATTGTTAACAATAGTGCATTGTTTCTTTTTTTTGTTTTTATAAACATCATACAATTAGTTATACATGTACAAGTGCTGAAGGGAAGCTCGGGAGTATATAGCCTGAATGAGAAAATATATCCTGAGGCGCTAGCCGAGGGTTATAATAATTTCAGCATGGCTATATGCTCTCATATATCCAGTGGACGACAAGTTCAAGAGAAAACCCAGCAATTCAAAGAAGCGGGGGAAAAGGCGCACATAAATAAGACGGCGTTCAACGGCAACGCAAATGCTTTGCTATAAGAAGTAATACAAACACCCATGAAATAACTGTATAATATTGTTTTGCTCTTTATAACTTGAAGTTCGGGTATACTTTCATTACACGATGAGCACACATAATTATCATAATTTACAATCACGTTTCTTTGCATTTTGATTCAAGACAGTCAAATAACTTTTTTTTATTTGATCATAACATTTTTAACGGAAAAATTGACCAATAATTAAAAGTATATATTTCATTTTTAGTTGTTAGATTTATACAACATTTATGAACTGTTTATACATTGTGCAAATCCTTTCGGGTTTCCCATAATAAATTGCTTGATTGTATTACACATAATAAGAATTCAGAAATAAAATTTTTAATAAGCTGTTTGTGTAAAATATATACTTAGATATGTTAAGTTTACCACTTTTGCATCTGCTTCTTTTGAAATTAATGTTCGGAAGCATGAAAATGTTAAGTGGCGGATGATAAACGTTATGAAAATTTCAACAGGTTTATCAATTACCCTTTATAACTCTTATACGAAAACTCGAATATATATATATTAGTTAGAACCAGATATAAAAAATAAATTGCCCTAAAAATTTTCAACACGTAAAATAATCTAAACACCCACTTCACTTTAGTCTAAACAATTTAAATGTAAGGTAAAAGTTGCTGGAAAATATCCACGTCAAATAAATCAGTTGTTCTGTCATTAAACAGCTGTTAAGGTTTGAAAGTTGCAACAAAATATGTGAAGAGGTTGCACTTATCTTTGATAATTGTAATTGTCTTAGCGCACTTCTCGTTAAAACGATTAACGCATTAATAAGAACAAATGATACGTTTTTAAACGCTGCCAAGTATGCTGTGTGGATGATAACTTCCGGTTTGGCAGCTAATCGGATTACCTTGGAGTTGTAGGCCACACGCGTCAGAAGAAATTGTGTGCCAGCAATTTGTAAATATTTATAATAGCATTTGCAGGAAGTGATTCCTGAATTGTTGTATCTAGTAAGAAGAATTGTGCAGATTTGATTTGATATATATGTAATGTAACACACGTAAATGGTTCAAATGGACGAACATTTGATGTAATTCCTATATTTAAATTTGGCAAAACTGCAATAAAAGATTGGACAACTAAATTGAAAATGCTCGTTTTTGTCATTTGATATAATGTTTTGTTTGACAACAGAATATAAAAAATTCGTTAACTTAACTTCATTACATTGCTGGAATGAACCAAACGCGCATACAATGTAATACTAACCGTATAATACAAAATCGCGTTTTATTGACTGACAGGGTAACATATCACTGTGGTTTACAGGCTGTAATCGTCATCCCTGCTTCTCATGAAATAAAACCACATACTGGAAATGTTGGAAACCGGTTTTCTAAAAAAAAAGTGACATACAATGGTGGAATCATAGTTTTCTATCAGTTTCCTGAACATTAAGTATAGATTAGCATTTATAAGTAAGCATTTACTAAATTAAAATGGTTCGGCCAATTTAATTCGGTAAATAGTCATAAATGAATATTAATCAATTCTTAAAATTGTAATTATTCGAAAATTATTATTTGAAACAGTAGATCTACTAGATTTAGAATGGTAATTGATTACGGAGCTACAACAGTATGGCCATTTCACATGAAATGTGAGGTTGTTTCCATGCTATAGTGCTACTTATATTCTGTAGGGCCTGAATGGTATTGTTCATAAATTATTTTAATATTTTTACATCGGTTTTACTCTTGACAAACGCTATATCCCATGAATATTTGATACAATCATCAATGTAAAATTTGTACAGAAGTGTTTTTCTTTGAATCGAGGTATAATTGCTTGGCGCCAAACGTTGAAAAAGACGTCATACCAAGCGCGATATGTCCACACTTCATGAGCATAAGTGGCTATCTTAAAATGAAACTCGTTGTATTTATAAAAAAAACGCACTTTAATCAGGAAAAATACGATAAAGACAGCAAACAACACTACTTTTATAGATATTAACACTTAAAACCCCCGTAATTTAGACGCTGAATGTAACCAAGATTCTAAAATTACATAACTAAAAGAAAAATCAGCATTTAAACATTGTTGGATGGTAAACGCAACTTCCAAACCTTGTATTTTATCTTGTTTCCTCAGATTCCATATTCATCTGTTAGGAAATATTTGTTAAAACCACGTTTAAATATATCGCATGCACTTTGCAAAGAACAAACACTTACTACCACAATTATCGTTTGTTGAGAACCTAAGGCCACCTTCGCCATTCCTTGTGCACTGTTCAGAAGAGCCCGGTACAACCTCGTGCAGAAACACGTGCACATAATGTTGCGGAGGTACTAAGATCTTCCATTTACATTCCCTAGAAAGTGAAAAAATAAAATTGTCGTTCCAGCCATGTCTTGCTTACTAGTGAATGTCAATGATACTTTGAACTATGACATTAAATTGATACTTCGACTTGGTCATTTGTGAATGATTTAGTCTTGTAATTATAACTGTTAATGAATAATGATCCATTGCTCTTTCATTAAAAAATCAACAACAACAAAAACACACACAAAAAGTAAACAAACAAACGACAATAAATCATACATAAAATTTGATTTTAAGTAACAAAAAGGGTTTGAATTTCATTATCAAAATATATGATACATATTCTAATAATAATTGAAACAATTTTTTTTCCACTATTACAAAATAACACATATACATGTATTTATACAATTTACACAATATATTCACATGCACATCGAATAATATTGCAAAATGTCGCTAAATCATATCATCGAGCGTATATAAACAAAGCAAACTGCCATTTATTAAATACGAGTACATGTTCTACTTTATTAAAAACGTCTTAACCTTTTACCTCATATAAGCGTGTTTTGACGGCTTTGTCCCCCCTTTTTGAGGCCTCAACAGTGCCCTATTTAGGCCCCCAACACTATTTTTCGTTTGAGAAATGTGCACCGTCCCCCATTAAAATGGTACATTAGGGGGTTGCCAGGAGGGAGATGTGCCCTCTTCTGTTTGGGGGGTTTGAAAGGGGGGCGGAGTCCCCCCTCATCGCCAAGAAAATTTTGGACATGTGATAGGCTAAAAATGGCCTAAGGTCGATCTAAGGGTAACTAGTTACCGACGTTGAAAAGCCTTTTACTCTATCTCAATTCATTGAGAAGTTGCAGCAATTTGAAGTCAGTTTTGATGGGGAAAAAACAATTTTGAGACGTCCCCCCGTTGCCATGGTAAGAGGATATTTACAATTGAGCATGCTGTTACAGAGGCTATGGTCCAGTTAACATTTGTACCAAGTTTCATCAGTATCGAAGCATTTTTCATAGTTTCATAGCAGTTTGAACTTGTAACAGGAGGCTTTTCGATGAAAACGGCCATTTTTTAACAATATGCTCATGGGGTAAAAGGTTAACGGTGAAATCGCAGCAGAACGACCATGACAAAAGCAATAACCACTTTTACAAGGTAACTGTATTATTATTTCCAACAAATAAATATAATAAATTATAATATCTACAGTACCTATCTGTATCAACAAAGATATCTTATACTCAAATTTGAAAATATTAAAATTTGCCACACAGTCTCTTTGTTAATATAAAATCAACATGTTCCGGCTTCATACAAAGTATATATGCTATGTTTTAAACTAGGCCACAATATGAATATATAGTGTCATTTAAAAAAACTGGCAGTTTCTTTAAGAAAGGACCATCTTTACTTCACTTGTAATAGGGAATGCAGCTTCCCATACACAGTTTGTACATTCTTTTACTTCAATATAACATATTCAATAAGAATTTTATAGATTTCAATAAATTTCTGCGATAAAATTATTTTACTCAAAGATGAGCATAATATATCTTTAAAAAAGAGTGTTGTTCCGAAGATTTTGACCCTGAAGCTGTGTCAGACTTTTGATTCTATTTTAGCCGAAATGTAATGTACATGGTAAAGTTAATGTTGGGAAAGCGCAACGTTTAAACAAGATCGCTCATAAACCCATAGTCAAATGCAAATCACAAATAATATTATCTTTCTTAAAGCATATTATTCAATAGTGTATCATACATTTGTTCAATTACACGCTCAATCATCGGTTAAAACAGCGTACAATTTATTTAGCAATTTAAATTTAAATAAAACAAAGGTCTACCAGTACATGCAGTACTTTACGCCATATACTTACCATACAAAATCTTGTATTATATTGTATTGTAATTTTTATCATGTCTTTGTGTTTCTTCATTTCATAAATGGTGTGTATTATGCATGCTGCTCTCCTATGATGGAGGTAATAAAGAATCTAGGGGCCTATCTATGTTTGAAAAATATTTCTTTCGTTTTAAAAATACAATATACAAATGCTTACAACCAATTAGATTACTGAGGATGGAATTAACGCCGTTTGCTTCTTAGTTTATCGGTCGATTAAGGAAACAAATGTGAACATTATTTTTAGATATGACAATTGAATTATTTTAATCTGGTAATTCTTTTTTAAAAATTTTCTTCATGAACAACTCGTACTTTAGGTATTAATACTCTGACTTAATTTCGATATGACGTTGCTTTGTCAGGAAAGTAAATATATCACAAAGCAACGTCATATTCGAATCATTTCTTTATGAGTAAGCTATAACTCTCTACTTGCCTTAACATACAGATATGTTGTATTTAGTTTAATATATGCAAATGATCTGATAAGTACCTCATTGATGTCTGTGCGGGGTAGTTCGGGTTGGTGATAAAACCACTTTTATTTTGCAACACTATACCCATCTTATCACAAGTTTTGTCGATATACTTTTCTGAAATAGGACATAAGAAATAGATGTAATAGAAATAACACATATTCAGAAATAGGCATTTACATCACAAAAACAACAACAAAAAACAAACTAACAAACAAACAAACAAAAAAACAACAAAAAAACGAAAACGCCGAATCAAGATACAAATATGCATACAATTTAATATGCTTTAATCAAATACATACATGTACATGAAGAACACGATTTTTTTTTCTAAGTGAAGCTTATCGACTCTTTTTTATCGATACAAAAGATTTATTGGGCTAATAAACTCCGTCGTATTTTCATGCAGGCACTGTCTAGAATCCAGAAAGAACCATCGACCTTCCGTAGTCAACTGTAACATACCGACCTTCTATGATCAACTGTAATAATTTTCCAACATGAATTTATTCAAAAGTGTCGGCAAGTGACGACGAGAAGACAACGACCTTGACCGTAGGCTACGGATGTCTTTTGTTATAGATGGCTGATTGGGTTTAACCGTCGCTTCATCACTATCATTGTCATATGGTGACTTTCCAGCTTACCTAGTGGAGATAGATCTCAGGTGCCTTTCTGTGCATTATTTCAGGCACGAGTAGAACCACTGACTTTCTGTAAGCTTACTGGACAAATTCCATACATGAAATAATCCAAAGTCCCTAACGGGATTCGAACTCGCAGCAGAAATTTTAAGATGTTATTAACTCTAAGTTAAAAGATGGTATAACCTCTAAATAATAGAGTTACCTTTAACACACGTATAGCTCACGTTGAATTGCATCGCTTTATTATGAAGACCACAGAAACCAGTTTGATCGGGATTACAACTAGTCATCCCCATACAAAAACGACGTAAATTCATATAACTAATTTCGTCAAATACATGTCCTAGACCGGAAGTGACGTTGTTGATGATAATTTTGGAATCCTTTTCACACTGGATGTTTAAATTGCGCGCGCCGCATATTGTTGTATCACAGCTGTCCCATAATACTGAAAATAGAAAATTAAATTGCTTATGTAAATATGACGTATAGAGCCAATCTCTTTATAAACATAATTATGTATACTTGCAGGAATGAGTGAAAAAAACCCTACACAGAAACAAACAAAAACACCCACACAAAAGAGAAAAAACAACAACATGGAAAAAAGCGACAGCGACAGAAAACAAACAAAAGCAACAAATATATAACCATACATTACCCCCAATCACCACTCACCTCGACCACAAAGACATAATGATTACATGAGTGTCAAAACTATTTAACGCTTTACCTCATATAGATGTGTTTTGACAGCTTTCCGAACCCTCCCCCTTTTTTTTGAGGCCTCAAACAGTGAAAAATGCCCTATTTAGGCCCCAAACACTGCATATGTTGATATAAAAGTGATCTCTTCTTCGGCGACGCCCCCTATCAAAAAGGTACATCAAGGGGTTACCAGAAGGGGGATGTGCCCCCTTCTGTTTCGGGGGTGTGAAGGGGGCGGCATGTAACCAATGCTGAAAAGCAATTTACTCTAACCTATCCATTGAGAAGTTGCAGCACTTAAAAATCAGGTTTGAAGGTAAAAAAAAAACAATGCAAAATAGTGATTTTTGGCAATTTTGTGACGTCCCCCCGTTGCCGTGGTAACAGGAAATTTATGATTGAGCATGCCGTTACAGAGGCTATGGTCTAGTTAACATTTGTACCAAGTTTCATCAGTATTGAAGCATTTTTCATAGTTTCATAGCAGTTTGAACTTGTAACAGGAGGCTTTTCGATGAAAACGGCCATTTTTCACAATATGCTCATGAGGTCAAGAATTAAGTAAGGCTTTTGATTGTAGTTATTTTTATTCTAAAAATAATTCATTTTTAAAGAGAATGGCTTTTCAGAGCTCTATGCTTTATGAAAGTTTTTTTACACACCGATTCACATGGTTCATACAGATCATCTCATCGCTTTAATATGAGAATAGATAAGTCGACACTTTTAACTGTATGTCTTATTTCCACTTACTAAACACTTTATTCCAATGCATAAATAGTAGAGATACAACGCCTATCTGAACCTCTCTGAAAATAAAGATTATACTAAAAGTGTTTTATCTTTATTGTAATAAAACTTGAACTTGATTTCAAAAGAAAATCTTTACACTATTTAATCAGACTTCTCCAGGAGTTTAAAGATTATACCAGATAAGCTTGCAGGAAAATAGTATTCTCTATTTCCTGTTAAAATGTTACCTATGTGTATTGTTTTGCCCTGTTCAGTCATTGAATATATATACAATTACACTTGGTATACTATATAATGTATGTATTAAAATATTAATTGTAGAAAAACGTTTGGTCTTGCTCTATATGTATAAGAAACAGGTAATATAGCTGCCCAGATGTTAAAATTCATATTCTCAGTAAAGCGATGATTGTAATGTTATTTTTTTCTCCCACCATTTAAGAACAAACAAGCATCAGGTATTTGCGTTCATTGGTTTCCAATAGCAACCATACGCATGCGTACTGCGATTATTACAAGAACAGACGCCTGTTGAAACACTTTCAAAGAAACAGGCACGAGAGAATTTACCTATTCTACAGGTAGGTATGCACGTGTTATGGATTTGGATAAGACGTGCTGCCGATGAGAAAGCTTTTATATAAGCACCGACTGATCGTTAATGGCTTTTCTGATTATACATGCTTTTATTGGCTTTTTATTGAAACCAATTAATGACCTTTGAAGAACATATTCTTCTTTCTTGATTATTAAACGGAACATTTGATTGTGTATTAAAACTAACTTAAATTAGTAATCAAGCGCAGCCAAAACGTCTTTACATCTTACCTAATCGATTATAAAACATGAAAGTAGTGTAATAATAAAATTATCTTCTATAAAAATGTGAGTCTTCAAAAAGCCTGTCGGTTCTAGAAAAAATTTGCGATCATATGTAACAGTAAGACTCTTGTTCCCCAGACTTTTCTGGTTTTTCTTTCTGCATCAGTTATAAAATATCCTTGTCTTGCAAACACTTTAATAATGAAAAGGAATACGAACCCAAGGGATTTGGTATATATCAACTCTTCCGGATTTTCAAAGCATACTTATAAAACTACTTTTACTAAAATCAGTTTATGCCATACTTTTATACAGTGTTTCAAACAGATACTTAAATCAAAGAAAAAATAAGTTTCGTCTTAATTAAAACATTCGATCACTTTAACGTTTCCCACTTGCATTCTCATAAAAACCACTATGTATCTATTTGTTTTATTTTCTTATTTGTGTAACACATTATACCTCTGCATGATACCCTTTAGTATGTGAAGATGAAATCTACTTTCCTCAAAGATCTCTCTTGATCGTTGTTCAGACAAAAAGGCTATCTTCATCAAGAAAGGCTGTAGTGAAAGTGTTGTATTCTAATTTTCTGGCAAGGTTAAGAAAGTACACATTAATTAAGGCAGACAGTATGAAAGTTGCAGATTTTAAGGTTAGATTACGATATCGTTTGCATTTCAGAGTAGATTTTCTAGTGTTAGCCGTGTTGCCGTAAATTTTCATCTTCCACCACTGCAAAATCTAGTTACAACAGTAAATTGTTATCCTCGAACCATATGCTCTGTTGTCGGTCTGTACCGGTAACCAGTGTAAGATTCCTACTGCATTACATGAACACATTAGTGAAAAGTAAACAGTGCGAATAATGAATGATACAGACGAGTTCAAGATTACATTATGGCTATATTATATATATACAATTCTCACTTATTGAAGATAAATTCAAACATGTGTGTATGTATTATGTCTTAGAAAGTGCACAATTACGCTATGAACATAATCTGGCCGGGGTATTACCAATATATGGAGATTATGAAAAAAATCATCCTTTGCAAAAAATATGAATATCTACAATCTGTTGCTTTATAACAAGTAGTCATAATAATTAAAAGTGTTATGTTAAAATAATAGCAGTAAAAATACTAAATTGGTATGTACAAATAGCAAATTCATTGTTGTTTTTTTTCTTTTTAATTACAATTGTTTTTCTTTGAAATATGCACTATTAGGTAAACCTTAGATCCGCTGAGCGCGATCATAACTTTAAAGCCATTGAAAACAACTTGGTACGAGACCACTTGGTACAACCTTGTACTAGACTAGACGCTTTGTAACTTGTCGTTTGGTTGTCAGTATCTGACATTTAGACTACGAGTATGTTTTCAGAAAATTATATATAAATTAAACATAAAGCAGACGACATCTGTAGCAGACGTCAATTTACAACTTATAAAGGGTTAAGTGAGTTCAAAAATCTGCGAACAATGCAATGTATGAGCTGGTTGGACTATATTAACTGGTAATTCTACCATTAAATGTCTTTAATAATTCTGATGTTTCTGTTGTACATAAACTGGTGCTAAAGACAGGTCATTCAGAGTGAATCTATCAACTTATAGTTTCATAAAATTTAAAAATCCTGTATGATCAAGAAATTTGCAAGAAAGTTATGGAAAAAAAGAGTAATATATTAACTATGTTATGACAAAAAGAATTTTTTACATTTTTTTTGAAATTGCACTCCACAAAATAATTATGTCTTACATATTTTCCGGTTTCATAGTAATCTGTATTAAACTGGATATTTCCGTTTTACATTCTTACTGTATGAATCATGTAAACATTTATGTAATTTAAAAAATATCTTACCATATCTTACCATATATTTTTATGACAATTGACGTGACAGTGAAATAATCATATAGTCTATTCACTTGTGTAACTCATCTAAATTACTGATATTATATCTTTACTCGGGAATGTTGTAATTTTCTCAGTGATACATGTATTATGATGTGCAGCAGGATAACAGTTGCATATAAAGGGATTTATAAAGGACATCATCTCACAAACATACAAAATATGTACTTAAAATGTAAATTAATAACATAAAATACAATGACAGTTACGAATTGTTTTGCTCGGAGTCATACATCATAATATTCATAGTTACAAAAGTACCATATACATGTTTGTTATAATCTTATTTACACAAACCTTCTAGACTGACCAGAAATAATATAATCGTCTAATAGACGGGTTGTGGTGAAGAGTGGGTCCATATTTTACATTTAATCGGTCAAAGTATAGACAATTTACAATTTGTAATAACAAATCATTCGTTCTTTCATATTTTATGAAAATAAAGAGTGTTTTAACAAAAATCCCTTTGAGCACATTCCATTTTACAATAATAGCATTTCTAAATAAAATATTATACAGACCTTTGTTGCAAAATGTTTTCTAACATTAATACTGTTATGCTTCAAAAAGGGACTAGTCAAATACCAAAAATAAATCATATACATTTTAACACAAATGGAATTTAACATATTCTTTCGTTGAGTTAAACTTAAGCGTTATTTTATTTTTTATAGTTGATAACTATAAATGGCTTCTTCCAGTAATGCATTGCATGACAATATTACAAAAATGGTATTCATTGCCTATATCAGCATAATTTACATTTCTGTACTAGAGTTTCTTCTTTTCTATATTGACTTTTCTATTTCATAAGCTGTCATGATTCATTCTAAGACGGCATGCATAGATATCTCGATTTTCGTATTTCTAATGCAGTAAGAAACTACTTTCCATAAGTTTAAATGTGACAAAATATCAGCACATTTACAGAACCTGCTCATTTAATGAAAGCAGCATCAATAACTAAAACATGACCCCGTAACATTTGAATATGATTTGTAGCGTTGATCCATTATTTTTTTCTCTCACTTGATTCAAGTAAAATCGACACTGTAAATGTGTTTTGGCGACGTTGCTGAGCGGGCACCTGAGTAGAACCGACGACATTCCGTAAGCTATTGAAGTTAACGAACTGTAACAGAATGGTTGTTTCCAACACAATTCAATCAAATGATTAAAAAAAAATTAACTCCGCAACAACAGCATTCTAACACCAATTAAAAATCGGAAATGATTTGA